CTGTCGGGCTGTGACGGTTCCACCTGAAGACGGAAGCTTGTGTTGCCTCCGAAACGTCGTGATTTTTATTTTTTATTTTTATTTTACTTTTATTCATTAAATTTTTTACCTACGTGACTTTACCGAAAAAACCTAAGAATATGAATTGCTGTCAGCCGCACGTGCGGGGCCAACCGCGCACTTTGAATCTCGGCGCGACGACACTCACCCACGTGCTGCCCGTGGCTGGGTCAGCCTCTGCACCAGCTGCTGGATCTCGTACTCGGTGAGGACGCTGGCTCCCGCGAGCTCTCCCGGTAGACATAGCTGATGCTCGGCACACAAAGACACACACACACAAAGATACACACACACACAAAGATATACACACAAAGACACACACACACAAAGACACACACACACACAAAGACACACACACACAAAGACACACACGCACAAAGACACACACAAAGACACACAAACAAACAAACACACACACAAACAAAGACACACACAGATCCTCCCTCCCCGTATGGCATGAAGCAAGTGCTGTAAGCGAGCAGCCGTCAAGACGGGTGAAGAAGATATCACTCGTAAAGTCACGTCGGTAGAAAAATAAAACCAAAATAATATATCACGACGCTTCGATCGCAACACGAGCGGTCGTCCTCAGGCGGAAAAAATAATCCACTACTCCTGTTCACAAATATAAAACGATTCACCTTAAAGCCTCGCCACAACTCACCCCCCCACCCCCATACAAAAAATACAAAGGTAAAGATCCCTCGTACAGCCTTTAACAGACTGTTGGGGCAAGTGCTGTTCGCGAGCATCTATGATGGGCAGCACGGCACACAAGGGGGTTGGTGACCAACATCATGCCCGACCGCCTTTGTCTCCCAAGTGACGATGTTTACATACCTCACCGTGTACTCATTTGAGGCTGAGTCGACTTAGGTTGAGATAATCCTTAGTGGTCTTGGCCTTGAGCGGGAATTGAACTACGCTACTGATCCCTGCTTGTGCTCCCCACATATACGCAAAAAATATTAAGACAAAGATCCCCAGTATAGCCTTAACAGACTGTTGGGGCAAGTGCTGTTAGCGAGCACCTCTTAAGGCCGGCACAGCGAACAAGGGGGTGTGTGGCCACAACCACGCCCGGCCGCCTTTGTCTCCCTAGTGGAAATGTGTTTTTTTTACACATAGCACTAGGTACTAATTTGAGGCTGAGTCGACCTAGGAGAGGCCCGGGACCGGTTCAGGTAATCGTCACCGGTGTTGGCTGTGAGCAGGAATCGAACTCGGGTCTCCGGGTTCGTAGCGCAGTGCGCTAACCGCTACACCACCGCTCCCCATTGTGCTCCCCACACACACACACACCGCTGCATGTTCACGCGAGTATATTCCATGAGAGAATAGAACATTTTAAAAAGCCTTACCTTCTGCAGGTGCGTGAAGATAGATGTGAACCTTCCCTCGGCCTCAACCCCAGTTCCTATCACAACGCGTGACGTTTCGGTGGCGGTTTCTATGGCAGTGGTGTCAACATTCGGTGCACTCACTCCAAGGACATTACAGACTCAGCCTTGTTTGCGTTTCACCCACAGAGGCAGCTGCGTGATGTGCAGTGGGTCATGACGTGGGGTCAGAACGCCTGAGTTCAAATCCTGGCTTGAACCGTCCAACCCTCATTAAACCGGGTTCTGAAATGTGGCGAATTGTTGGCCTCAGCCTGGTCACCGGTGACTTGCATAGAGACCCATAGATTTTCACAAAGACCCATAGACTCGTGCAGTTGCGTGCAAAGATGTGAGGAGAGACAGCTATGGCGGGGGGAGAGAGACATGGGGAGAGACACGGAGAACGAGGAGGGGAGAGATGCAGAGAGAGACATGGAAAGAGACTGAAAAACATTTAGAAACAAACACAGATACAGAGACATGGAATCCAGACACACACACACACACAGGTATAGGATGAAGAGAGATAGACGCGGAGAGACAGAAAGATGGAGAGACATGGAGACAGAGAGACATAAAGAGACAGATACACAGAGAACAACACAGTGACACACAGACACGGGGAGTCAGAGCAATACATCCTCTAAACAGGAAGATTATATCATAGACAACGTTTTGGGCAGTGGCCTTCTTCATGTCACCACTGACAACGCAGTAGAAACAAAACGCGTTTCATTACAATTCGAGTATTAGATTTATGATGCTTAAAACTGTATCATTAAATGTATTTTGTATTTTATATTATGAACTTACGGGACTGCAAAGTCAAATCCTGAACATGGGCAGTTTTACTGTAATAATTCCGCTGTTGATTTAAATTGATACATGCTTCCTCGATAATTATGCCCGATAATTATAAACTGTGTACGCTGGTTTTAGCGCATCGGCTAAATATTTTTAAAATAGCTTCGCTGCCATGGTAATTTTATTAAATAGCTGCAAGTATGACCGGATTTTTAAATCCTTTATATTAAGTACACTTGCTTGCTTAGGACCGTGCAAATCTTTTGGTCGTTTTTTAACCCACTTCCCGTGATCCAATCGAGCTGACATTTTGCACACAGACTCGTTGTGCGTGACAATGCATTTTAGTGAAAAAAAAACGTTTCCAAAATTTTACACTGTTTAGGGATTTTTTTTAAATATTTAATTACCAATTGTTTAATGCTGGCACACAATCATCTGACCCATAGGTGGCAGCCAGCTCAAGCCAGAGGACGAGAGGACTCTAGCCGCCCCGATGCCACGCATATAAAGGATTTATAGTGAAAAACTTTGTTTTTACGGGTTAATTTTTTACTCTACTCGTTCATCAGATTATTTCTTTAACACACAAATATAAATTCTTCAAGCCCATCACAAAATCTCCCTTGCCCCTCCAACTTGATTGGTGATGGAAAGTGACTAGGAATAAATTGTATCGTGGCATTGTTTGAAATGTCACTTCAGTGTAAATTTGACATTGTAATTACCTTCGGTGTTTATTCCTTGTAAAAGTAATACAAATGTTAATTGTCAATGTACATCTTGCATTTTGCAAATACGTCGGCACTTTATTAACACGACGACCTGATTAGCGTCGCCTCAACCCCACACTTACGTCGCTGACAAGGTCATCATCCGTCCTTTCTCCTTCGCCTCCGCCTACCCTGTAAATCACTTTCATTGACGTCGTTTCGATATTTGTTGTCGCACCTTGTCAGGGACGCATCCCCGACGTAAACCGGGGGTATTACTGTACCACATTGTTGTTGAATGCATTAATTCATTCCTGACAGGAAAACTTCAGCTTTCTCCAGTGTATTTTATTTATCCAAGTTTATCAATTGCTCCAGCAAATAAAAAATAAGCACGTCCAATTAAAAAAAGTTGAAACTTTACACACGATGATTTTTTATTTACATCGAGGCCAAACAAATCACGTGAAAACCTTTAAAGGGTTGTTTAAAATTGGTTATAGAATTAAAATACAGTTGTTATTTTTAGTTTGCAGTTATATCGTTTTTTCTATAAACATTAGCATACACATTTATAAAAAGTTATTACCTATTTTTTTGGGTGGTGATTTATTAAGATAGTAATACAAATAATGGGCAACCCATTATCAATCGACTCGCCAGATATAAGTTTCATAATAAACGTTTTTGGGTTAGATCGTGTTATTTATAAATGTGTCGTAACCCTCCACCACCCGACACGGCCAATCAGTAAAAAAGTGTCACGTTGACAAAAGACAAATAGTTCACTACTTTAGCCCACCGGTGTGTTGAAGAGTGAATCCACAACATTTACATCGGGCAGTTAACTTGGGTCGATGATGCTGGATGTAATTCCCAGCGAAACGTCGTACTCAAAAATTGTAAATTTTGTGGATCCACTCATCACGTAAATACAACTTTGATAAATGACGATGTGACCTTTACCAACTCTGCTTGAGGGCTGCTGTGAATAGTAATTCTTCTTTTCCAATACACAACTGGGCTTTAGGAGGCATCGGGTCGTGTTTTTTTCCACTGCAGAAGCCAAGCCCGTGCCATTGACTTCATACGCAATGAATGAGTCCCAGACGCATTTAGATGACACGGTGATGCTGCGTTGCCGCGACCTCATGGCGCACTCACTGACGTCGCGCAATGAACACCAGGCCCTGCTTGGCCCCGAGCCCGATTCAGCCGCCTTGTGAGGTCACCGTATCGTGGTTTGGTTCTGTCTTTGCTTGCCAGTGGAAAACCATCCATCCACGCGCCGGCTCGGCTCGGATATGCCAATGGAAAAGGGGTACAATGTGGCTGTTCAGGTGCCGCAGCATTCTCCTACACCTAGCACTGCCGTATTTCCCTGTGACGATAAAATCAAGTTCCACCCACATTGTGTGTGTGTGGGGGGGGGGGGCACACGGTGTATATGGGGAAAGAGAAAGGTCCCATCCCCTTAGTCACCTTTTTTATTTTATCTTCACAAATTGCATAAAATGTGAAAACTTGTAATCGCTCGTATCCTTTTCCACTGGCACACCCAAGCTGAGCTAGCATGGAGCCCTCACGGCTTGGTTGACTTTTCCACTGGCTATTTGCCGAGCCTGGCCAGAACCAAACCTTGCCCCGCTGGCTTCAATGGACATCTAACTCAGGCTTGAGGCCTCAGCAAGGCCAGGGGTGGGACCAAACGAGATGCGTTCATTGGACGTGACATCAAACGCAGCTTCTGAATGTTTAGACTCGTTCGCTACGTGTGTGGTGACGGCAATATGCTGACGGTCACGGCTTCTGCGTTGGGGAAAAAAACACATATGCCCTGGTGACTCCTGAGCACGGCCCTGACCCGGCTCGGTTCTGCAGTGGAAAAAAAAGGCGTCGTCCTTATGACGTTTGGTAACTCAGTTTTAATAGTAGTTTATGATGTACTCTGGGTAGATCTGATCAGAGTAAAATATCGCGAAGATCAATGGATTTTTCAGGTCGTCGACGGCACTGTCGTAGACGTTCACCAGGGATCCGTCTTTGGAGGGCGTGTGAAGGAAACATGGGTGCATCCTGTCCGGGGGACAGCTCTCCCCAACAAGGACCCGGGCCAAGAACATGCTGTCATGCACCCCTGTGGAATTGCGGTGTCTTTCGAAATACTTGTGAGAATAGTAGGGATTCCACGAAAAATAAACAGCTGTGGATGACAAGAGAAGTAGCATTCGTGTGACACACACACACATACACGTGGAACAAACATTACGTTTATGTTACATGTACAGGGTGGCCACGCAGTTCCTTGCCATTAAATATTGTTATATTCGGAACGTTATGCCCTCACAATTTGCGATTAAATTTTGATTTAAAGCTTTCGTAACTGCAGGGATTCATATTCTTGGTTCTTTCGGTAAAGTCACGTAGAAGGGAAATAATAAAATAATATAAATATAAAACAATAAAAAATTCTCACGACGTTTCGAATTTTCAAATATTTGGGATTAGTTGAATCAGGAATTCAGTGGACGATGGATTGGGAGAGGATCTAAGATTATGTGACCCAAGGCCGTAATGATAATATATTTTGGGGGGGGGGACACATACCTCCCCCCCCCCCCAATATTCAAATATGCTCAAAATGTCCCCCCCAATATATTGCTATAAATTAGAATTTTGTTTATACGATTGTGGTTATGGTTGCACTTAATTAATCCCTAATCTCTGCCATTACATACAATGAAAACAAGAAAAGGTAATAAAGAAAAAACAGAGCAATGTAATACAATACACTATTAGACATTATTGTAAAAAAAGTCCATCCCATGTGTTAGTGATCTTTTCTATATTTTAGGCAGGAAATTCGTTTTCAAATTTAGATTTTTTTTTCTTTCTGGGGAGGGGGACCCCCAGACCCCTGGAAGGTTTGGTCCCCCCCAATGTTGACTCCATTGCAACGTTCTTGATGTGACCACCCCAAAGCCCAGACCTGACAACATTCCACAGAGGGAATTATCAGGGAGATTGCTTTATACCTAAGATTGACTAATATTGAGGAGCTCAAAACAGCTGTGCGGAACTGCTTTTACGGTACCCAGCCATCCACGTGGAAGAATCTGTCAAGGACAAGTTCGGCACGAATCCAGCTGTGTGCCGAGAATGGAGAGCAACACGTGGAATGTTATATTCTTGGTTCTTTCGGTAAAGTCACGTAGAAAGGAAATAATAAAATAATATAAATATAAAACAATAAAATTCTCACGACGTTTCGACTGCAACACAAGCAATTGTCATCAGGTGTGAAATCCACCTGTGGATAATTTTTATTGTTTTATATTTATATTATTTTATTATTCCCTTTCTACGTGACTTTACCGAAAGAACCAAGAATATGAATCCCTGCAGTCACGAAAGCTTTACACGTGGAATGTTTTCTTTTCATGCAAAGGGACTTTGTTGCCACCCTGTAATATCCATTTCACCTCGTGAGCTTTCAATACACAAGTAGCGTGACGATTTCACAATTATGAATGCAAATGTAGGCAACCGTATCGTGTCCTTAAATATTGAATGGTCCAGGTGGCCAGGAGGCTCAAGAGGTCGGAGGAAAGATCTAATACGGCTGAGATCCCGGCTTTGAATCTGGGTTGCCACCCATGCCTAAGCCGAGTTTGCAAATGTTGCCTCGTCACCAAGGCCTGCACAAACAACCTATCACATTTATTTTGACTCGTATGTATGCATGTACGTTGAACTTCTTTTGCACCGTACGTAGCCAACTGTGCGAATCGGAGGTGCAGGGAAAAAGACAACAGACTAAACACAAAAACAAGTTCTTACGTTGGCTACATTCCCAGCTCTGGGAATTAAAAGTATCGGTTTAAATGTTACATGATTATCATAGCAAACAAAACTTAATTATTTTCATAATTTCAATAATCCCTGTCGTACAGTATTTTAGCATTTATTCTTTATTCTGTTGTATTTGTAAATACGTTTTTATGCCGCACTTTTGTGCTTACACGATGGAATTTGCCATTTTCCTGTACTTATTCAAACTCAGATATCAAATAGACAAATATATTCATGATATCAGTGGCGTTGTTAGCTCTGAAATGCCTTGCTCATGCCGCTGCTGGAGGAAGGGCTTCCCCTAGAACGAGATCTAGAAAAGTCCCTCTATCAGGTATTTGGCTTCCTACACCAACGGGCCACGCGGCCCACACAGGCGGGATGATCCACACTTCACTCCCATCGCACGTAACATACCGATCAACGACTCATTTCCTGGCAGCGATTGAAGCCGCACCACCTCTACATAATAATAGGCTCAGTCAACCATTCTACACAACAAAGACTCATTTCCTGGCAGCGATTTCAGCCGCATCATCTCTACATAACAAAAGGCTCAGTCCCTTTAACACGCACCTTTACATCATCCGCACCTAGTTTACACAACAAAGGCCCATTCCTAACAGCGTGCTTCAGCCGCACCGAACCTCACAAAAATATTATTCAGGGCCTACCTTGGCTCCTCCCACCCTCAACCAGTATATATACAAATACTGTGTTCTTGGTATTTCTCTCACTTGATACAGCTATCGTGCTGTGACGGTTCCACCTGAAGACGGATGCTTGTGTTGCCTCCGAAACGTCGTGATTTTTATTTTTATTTTACTTTTATTAATTGAAATTTTTTACCTACGTGACTTTACCGAAAAAACCTAAGAATACCGATCAACCAAACTGTGGTGTTACTCAATTATGCTGCTGCGTATAAACGTGCACCGTTGTCTCATCTGCCGTGATCGGAGATCGAATGAGAGACTTCGACATTAATGAAGAGCGCGGGAAATGCAAGAGGTCATTCATACTGCACATTTTCACTGAGGGAATGCAGAAAATTCTTGTGCTTTCCATCCGTCACTCTTACTTTCATTTTCCCCGACCATAGCTTGGTTTTATTTAGTTTTCCTACATCATAACTGGGGGGGGGGGGGTATTATTGTTACACTTGCTTTGGCCGGTCTTCCAGATATCGACGTTTTTCATGTACCTGCTGTTGTTGAAAAATATAAATGCAATTAGTTATGGAAACACATGGGGAGAAGAAATCGTACCCCTGCCAAGCCGGAGTACATTCCTGGAGTAGCGCGAGTCAAAGTTTCTGCGGCAGATGGAATTTAATACGTTTGGTCTTGTCTTGTGAAACAGTCGCTGTTCATTCACGTTCTCTTTGCCGTTGTCTCTTGCCATCTTCTCTTTTTTCCTGTAGGTAGAAATGTAATTGGTTACATACGCAGACCAGTTGGTTGCAGGATGGGTAGTGCATTGGCTGGTACGTGAGCTTTTGCGGTGGTCTCACTTCTTTGTATAGGAGAATTATATTATATTTTACAAACTGAACTCCAAATCCAATGCTAAAATGGAAGGTGAGGCACACAGTCCAGTCGGCTTTCTTTACAGATATAATGAGATTATGGCAAGATTAGATTCGTGCTGTTTACATTGCAGATGCTAACATCGAATACAGTGTAGACATCATTGCAAGTAAACCAAGCAACAATTTACGAAAACATTACCAATTTTACAGTATTATAGCATTCATAAAATACGTAATTTAGGGATTTAAAAAAATACATCATTCATTACCCCACATTAACAGAAATTCAACGAAAACTTTAACACGAAATACGGATAAACCATCGTGTAACACTGCCTCAATTCTGTAACGCTTTTCGACGTGTGTTTTCCCTCGGAGGATACTCTAAGGTTGTTTCGGTAAAGTCACGTAGGTAAAAAATAAAATTAAAAGTTAATAAAAGTGATAATGGAAATAAAATAAAATAATAAATCACGACGTTTCGGAGGCAACACAAGTCTCCGTCATCAGGTGGGACCGTCCATTATTACTTTTACTAACTTTAATTTTATTTTTTACCTACGTGACTTTACCGAAAAATCCTAAGAGTATGAATCCTTGCAGTCACGAAAGCTTCAAATTTTAGAAATCCCTCGGAGGAATTTCACGAGAAGTGGAGCGCCATTTTCTTAGGTTTTTTCGGTAAAGTCACGTAGGTAAAACATCAAAATTAATAAAATAAAAATAAACCAAAAATCACGACGTTTCGGAGGCAACACAAGTCTCCGTCATCAGGTGAATCATTGCCTCACTTGATGCAGCTAATCCGGCTGTGACGGTCCCACCTGATGACGGAGACTTGTGTTGCCTCCGAAACGTCGTGATTTTTGTTTTATTTTATTTTTATTAATTTTGATGTTTTACCTACGTGACTTTACCGAAAAAACCTAAGAATATGAATCCTTGCAGTCACGAAAGCTTCAAATCTAGAATGGAGCGCCATTGTTGCTCTGCGAAATGGAAGATACGAGCCACCACCGTCACGTTCACGCTGTTCTCACGATCCTCCTGCACTCGGGGCAGTAAAAGTAGTCCAATTTTTGAGAGAGAGAGATGTGTATCTCTGTGATATCTGTCTGCTTATATGTCTGTCTATATGTCTCTGGTTCTGTGTTATATCTCTCTCTCTCTCAAATTTAGCATTCTCAGGAAGAACGTAATCAACCAGGTAGGGTGTTGACTGTTATGTTATCCGACTCTCTGTTGTATTACATTACATTTCTAAGTATACTAGATTTGTGTTTCTATTTCATTTATACCTGATGATGATTGCTTGTGTTGCAATCGAAACGTCGTATGCTAGTATTTAATTTATTATTTTATCTTTATACGTGACTTTACCGAAAGAACCAAAGAGTAATTCCTGCAGTCACGAAAGCTCCAAATTAAGTTTTAGTTCAATTTTGTGTTTTTTTTTGTTTGTTACACGGAAAATCCCATTTCAGACAGTTGCTAAGCTAGTTTCAGAGACAAAGGCTCACAGCTACTAACAATAGAGCTCTACGCGGGTTCGGTTTGTGCGGGTTCGCGTAAATGCGGTTCACCTATTTCTATCCAAAATTCGCTCGATGTGGTTTGAATTCACTCATGTGCGGCTATGCGGTCTAACGTGGGACAACATTGTGTGTACTGCGCGTGTGTACTGCGCGTGTGTACTGCGCGTGTGTGTACTGCGTGTGTGTGTACTGCGTGTGTGTGTACTGCGTGTGTGTGTGTACTGCGCGTGTGTGTACTGTGTGTACTGCGCGTGTGTGTACTGTGTGTGTACTGCGTGTGTGTGTGTACTGCGCGTGTGTGTACTGTGTTTGTACTGCGTGTGTGTGTGTACTGTGTGTGTGTGTACTGCGTGTGTACTGCGTGTGTACTGTGTGTGTACTGTGTGTATGTACTGCGTGTTTGTGTGTACTGCGTGTGTGTACTGCGTGTGTGTACTGCGTGTGTTTGTGTGTACTGTGTGCGCTACTCGGCAGGCAGCTGCCTCCTCGTGCGGTTTCACTTTGTGCGCCCTCTTTTTTGGAAAGCATCTACTACCGCATAGAGGAAAACCTGTAATGTAACATATCATACATACAATGCAATTTGTGTACGTAAGGCAAGTGAATTCCAATAGGCTCAAATAACTACTGGCTCAGCAACACAGCACAAAGGATCTTACTTACGAATTGAAGGCAATGCTGACGATTTACCTTTGGTATATGTCCCAGAGATCGGGGTTGTGCACCCTTTTGATGCTCGAAATAGTGAAATATTTTTGGAACATTTTTGTATGGAAGGTTTTAGCCACAGGTATTGTACTCAGGACTGCACTCGTTCAGCACTGACATCTGTTAAAATCAAGAAAGAAATGTATAAAGAAATGTATCTTGCGTCCGAGTTCAAACGAATTGTTGAGGATGACATGACTATGAAGACGGTGGCATACAAATTGTGACACATTGCAAAAGTTTTAATTTACCGTATAGTCTTGCTCATAGCTGACTTTGAAGAGCTGCGGTATTTTTTCTTCTTCCGCAAAGCTTAAATAAGAAACAAAAATACATTTTGAAACGGTACAATACATAAAATACAGTCGGGCCAGGTGATAGACAAAGTGTAGGTTGCTTTTTCATTGCAAGCACCTTTGCTTTGTGACCATTGTCCCGGCCTCCGCCGCCCTTCTTTGAAACTCAGGCCGTCGCCTGATAGGCCGTTTCCATTTTGCTGTGCATTCATGCATCTCTGCAGCGAGAAAACAACCGTCATCGCATTCTCTCATCTCCACGTAACCGTGCTGAGCTGGCAATGGACGCCAGACCTCACACAAAAGTGAGCCCCAAAGCGCAGGCCTGTTGTTTTGTCACGAATGAATAAGGGTTAGGTAAGCCGCCCACCCCCCTCTCCACGTGGCATTTGTCCCGGGCCTCCAGGACTCTTCTGGGTGGCCCTAGAAAGATTGGCCTAGTGTTGCCATGGGGCTGTTTGCAATGGTAGGTCTCGTGGCAACACGAAGCCTACATGAGGCCTACCTTGGAAACAACCCTATACAATGATAATCGGTTTTTTACCCTTCTATCTGGCAACAAAACTGACACCCTTTTTACAAGGAATCATGTTTGCATAAACCACAATACCTGCAGTCATAATGCAAAAAAAACATAACTCTGATAATGTATGCACTGTCCTTGAAGTTGATTGGTCCACCCCCGAGACAGCTTTCCTTAGAGCCTAGTCTCACATGGTTTGGACCAGATGACGCCTTTTGCATTATGACTGCAGGTATTGTGGTCTATGCAAACATGACTCCTTGTAAAAAAAGGTGTCAGTTTTGTTGCCAGATAGAAGGGTAAAAAACCAATTATCATATTTTATTACTGGCAAATGAGGTTCTAATGGTGTAAACCCTATACAATATTTATCCATCTCTGCAAGCATCATAACCTGCACTAATCGGGTGCTAGAAGGGAATATGTTCGACCTCTCAATGGCGTGTTTCTAATTTTGGCACGATCACCGCTGTCACTGCAAGGGCCTCTTCATACTTGGTCGATATGCGCGTTTTTCACGTTGTAAGTGTAAAATGCCAATGTGGGCATTAAATAAGTGTGGGCTTGGGCAGGACTCGTCACTCAAACGCATGACAGCCGGTGGACGAGTCTAATGATAGAGTGTTTAGCCAAAGGCAAGAACATGTAAGAGTGGGTGCTTACTTTGTAGATGGGTTGATTAAATCGGTTCGTGTGCAGGCGCTCTATGGAATTGTTGAATCGCAGGAGCATGAGAAAGGTCGAGGGCCTTGAGGCAGGCCTTCACTCAGCAGTGGGTAGATCATCACCGATGATGAACTTAATCCCATCAGCAGAGTTTGAGTAAAGTCAAGGGAGAGGCCATAGTTGATTTGAAGTTACCACTGACCTGTCAAATCCAGCAAGCTGTCTTTGTATTCAATTACGACACAAGGATTTTGGGCATAAACCTCTTCAATTTTGGCACTTGTCAGCTCGGTGGTGATTCCCCAGGAATTCTGAAGCATAATAACAATAACATTAATCAGGGGTGGGGAACGTCCGGCCCGCGAAATCATTTCAGTCTGTTCCTGCAACGGCAACCGCAGGCAGGGACTCGAAATTCAATAAATCTAGGAGCAAACCTGCAAAAGCAGTTGCGAGTAGCAACATCATCAATACCAGCTAACGTCACACGCCTCACCAAAGAGAAGCAGTTCCAGCCATCACATTAGGGGTGAGTTAATTACATGTTTGACCAAATATAACAGGCTAATTTTTAAGTTGATTATTTAGTATGGCCCGCGAATGATGTTATAAATATCCAAATGGCCCTTGGCAGAAAAAAGGTTCCCCACCCCTGACATAAATGAACGCAATTTTCTACATGTGCCTATTTTTGCAAATTGTGCTTTTTTGGAAATGGATTATATTTGCTTTGTGAATACTAACTTTACCGAAAGAACCAAAGAGTAATTTCTGCAGTCACGAAAGCTTAAAATTAAGTTTAATACTGACGTGCTTGGAATGTTGTTCATCTTTAGGTCTATTTTTATTCACTGTCATAATTTAATTAAAGGTCTCTAAAAAAAACATGTACAATGACATTATCCAAAACACAATGAGATCGCTTTGACGTGTTTAAAACCACTTAATTTTACAAAGGTTAGTTTGTTGACATAAAACTGCTCGTAGCTGTGTTGCGTGCAGTGATTGTGCGAGCCATGAACAATCATGGCACTGTACTTAGTTACTCCAAGATCACTCAAAGAGTTCACGTTTAAATTAACAACAATCATACCGCACCTTTTCTCCAAATTTGACCCATTCCTCATAGCTGTCCTTGGAGTACCACACCCAGCGGTCCACTGACGGTACTGACAGGCGCCGAACGGACCTGGTTTGTGGACCGTAGCACTTCATGGTGTCAAAGTCCAGGTATCCGATGAGCGAATCACTACAGGGGCAGTCATAACAGTTATGGCAGGTCAGACAAGTAGCGTTGGTTGACATCGGCCCTGGTGCGAGGAATGCATTAGGCCAGTGTTCTTCACTAATTTGCAAAGGTGGAGGGAGGGCACTTTCGCTGATAAGACATCATCATTGTGAGGGCCGCCACACATTTGAAACCATTGGGGTTTGACAGCACGATGATGATGATGATGGGGGGTGTTTATTTTTTGGTTCTTTCGGTAAAGTCACGTATAAAGATAAAATAATAAATTAAATAATAGCATACTACGACGTTTCGATTGCAACACAAGCAATCATCATCAGGTATAAAGGAAATAGCAACAAAAATCTAACCAGAAAACTATAGACAGACATATAAGCAGACAGATATCACAAAGATACACAGAGAGAGAGAGAACACGTATCGGCACAAAGAAAAAGATCGTCTCTGTGACGAGGCCTTAAATATAGAGAGAGGGGGCGGGGCAGAGAGAGGGAGGGGGCAGAGAAAAAATTAGCATGTCAATGAGTGGACGACGACGTGGTACGGTACGCAAGCTTGAAAATTAGGAGAAAGACACACTAAAATTAAATAACCTAGCAAAATATCGAAATGTAATGTAATGCAACACAGAGAGTCGGTCAACACACAATTAACGGTGTTTTCACATTTGTGTATTGTCGGGGTCTGAACGTCAGGGCTGCGCTATAAAGGACACCAGGGGCTGCCAGTGACCCATGGGCCTTGCAATGAGGAACACTGCAATTGGGAATTCCTGTCAAATTTCTCCCCTTTTTAAATCCTTTATATTAAGTTCGCTTGCTTGCTTGCTTGCGTGCTTGCTTGCTTGCGTGCTTGCTTGCTTGCTTACGACCGTGCAAATCTTTCGGTCGTTTTCTAACACACTTCCCGTGATCCAATCGAGCTGACATTTTCCACACAGACTCGTTGTGCGAGACAATTAATGTTCGTGAGAAAAAAATTCCCAAAATTTTACACTGTTTAGGGAAAACTAATTAAATATTTAATTACCAATTGCTTAATACTGGCAGAAAATCATCTGACCCATAGGTGGCAGCCATCTCAAGCCAGAGGACGAGAGGACTCTAGCCGCCACGCATTAAAGGATTTATAGTGAAAAACTTTGTTTTTACGGGTTATACTTGTTCATAGCCTCAGCTCGCCTGCAGCTGCAACGTCTACAAACTCGATAGCTAGGCCGCTGCGCACTATCAATGACAATGACCAATTCACCATTACGCACGCTAAGATTGAGTGCGTGTACAGCCGGAGCGGTAGCGGCATGGTTATCGACGCTGCCGATGAACCCCTTCACCGACTGAGTTAAATTGATAACCTTGGCCAACAATGGGTGTCGAGTGACATCTGAGCCGTGCTAGACTGGCCCCACCAACACGCACCGGACCAGCGTGGTGACGAATGATCAAACAACAACACGCACGGACTGACGCAGCTTTGCGGAGGAATTCATCCGGCAGTGCATTGACAAAGGCTTCAACTTGTTTTTTGTCATGTTGTAATAATGTTGAGGATGCCAATAGGTAGCAAAATGTGAATTTAAAGAGAAAACCTGAAAAGTTGATGTATATTAGAATTAAATAAGCGTCACATTGTCTATGTTAACATAATATCCATGGTTATTTTTGTTATTTTCTTTAAATCTATCTACGTGACTTTACCGAAAGACCCAAGAATATAAATATCCCTGGTCTTTAACCAAATCAAAGAAAACCCGAAATTCAACCAATCGCTTGCATGAAAACAAGCCTTATCTCCCCCCTCCCCCCCTAAGCACAACACCAGGTCAGAGTTGAGCCTTATATCAATGTCAACCCTTACCTTAAGCTTCAACCCTCACATTAACCTCCCCCTTAGCTACACAACCGCATCTTTATCTTAACTAATGCTCAAAAAACCCCTGTCACTCAATTCTCAACCGACAGTAGCATCTTAACCGTACATTCTAACTCTAACCTTTATCTTAACTCGAACACGACTTGGATTGAATCTGTTTGGGTACCTTTCTGTTGAAGTGAGCCTATAGCTGTGATTTTGTGGCCTACTGAAGGCTCGCTCAATTGCTTCATTCCGCCTGAGATTTTCCCACCGCCCGTCCTTAAGAATTTGCCACAAGTAAGGCAATTCTGAGTGGTAGTCAGAGCAACCTGCAAACAGGAGAGTACACACTGGTTAGGCCGCCTTGTTGCTAAACATCTGAGACCATGTTGGAATATGGCCAGTGACATGGCCGAGGGGTAGCACGTTTGGTGCTGAGGTATGTGGTTCGAGACCTGTGGCCACCCTTCTTAATGCCTCGCAGTGGACATTAACGATCCCGTTTTTATTGTCTGCTGAAAAGTAGGTCTTGCGCGCCAGGATTATGGTCCACGTTTACAGGTCGGTGCTGCATACACTTTATGCTGCGTAGGGATAGTTGCCCCTGGGGGATCCCCTAGGCTAGATTGGTGGAGATGTGATGGAATGGTCGAGGTGAGTTGTAATGTAAGGTGCTTTGAGTTTCTGAGGCATGTAAGCACCCTGTGAATTGTATATCCTTATCATATCTGTGGTTTAACTCATACTAATAATGATGATTTACTTATTTATTCACCCAAATCACACCTGAGTCGTAGGATGTTTTCAGCCAATGAACGATAAGATGTGTTATACCACAAGTGGGAGGAAACTTGAGTACCCGGAGAAACCCACGCGGGCGAGGGGGCAACCCTCTATCCCCGTACAGATGAAAACAGATGACGAGTGGTCCGCTTGATGCACTGCCTTCTCATGGCTAGCCAGGGGTACGGCTCCTTCTCGTCGCCCACGAGAAGGGAGTTTCACAACATTCGTGCGGTGGTCCACCAACCCTCGCTGCTGCCTCCACGGCGCTGGATCACGGGCGGCCACGTGCGCTACGTAGCCACCGCCGCGTAACGGGAGCTTACCGGCGGTTTTTGTGCATTTTTTCTGAGTTAAGTACTGAAGGCAGAGGCCGGTGTGGGTCGCACTTGAAGAACCCTCTTCCTCTGAATCGGAACACGTGGATATCTACACACACAACAAACAACAATTTGATCCTTATGGAGGTACCTCGGGGTACCAAATAATACAAAATAGGCCGAGGCAATTCAGTATTTTATTTCTGGGACAGTATTTTTTCCAGGGGTGTACTTAACCCTGCGACTGGGGGGTACCAATCAATCCGAAATCGGTGCCACTCCGCGATGTCCAAACGCGGCGAGGAGGATTGCGCCGGAACCCTGAACGCTCGCGGTACGCACCGTAGTGGTGGTGCATCGTAGTGTACAGCTCGTCGAGATGAGTCGATAGCCGCATCGCCGACCATCAAGAGACTAAAAATGACTGCATCACGGACATTATGTGAGAGCCGGGTACAATGGTACCCCGGGGTTACCGCTATGAGGTTCATTTCAATGAATCAATCGTCCTTGGAAGTTACATCGGTACTGTATTTGGCTACAGGACTGTGAGAAATTACGACGGATTTGGGAGGCCTTCATCCAGCAGTGGATCGATTATAGTTGATTATGATCATCAGTGCAGGTAGGTCTTGCAGGTGAATGTCCTAAACACCTCTGTATTCGTTTATTGTGTACAGTATATTATAGTTGGTGGTGAAGCAGTAACACATTCCTGCGGAGGGAGCTGGTAGGAACGTTGGGTTGCTCGTTCAATGGCCTGCAGGGTCAACGGCGGCGTGGTGTATTCCGCAAATATGCCCGACTGTGAGGGCGGGCACAAGCCGGCGTGAGTAGGTTCAACGTTGAGTTTTATAAGGGCACCACGGGGTGACGGGGCTTGGGGTCCAGGGTTTTGTCTTCAGGCAGCTTCTTGGCTTCGGCTTGAGGCGAACTGCCCTCTGCTCTCAAGATCCCACCCTTTATACCATTCCCCACCGAGGGGGTAACACAACCACCCCGCACCAGAGGTCGCAACCGGGTACCCGATACCCGTACCCTACCCGATACCCGGCTACCCGTACCCGGCCAGGTACGGGTACCCGTTTGCGACCCTGGTGCGGCCGGGTACGGTTACGGGTAGGCCGCGAGTCACTGGTGAGTAACCGTTTATCACTCATTTCCCAACGCCTTGTCTCTTCTCACAATTCAAGTTCCTAGAATCAACCCACCCGCGCCTGCAACATGGCTTCATCCCAGAGGTCGCAATCAATCAGGTACCCGATACCCGTACCCTACGGGTAGGGTACGGGTACGGCCGGGTACGGGTACCCGGCCGTACCCGTTTGCGACCCTGGTGCGGCCGGGTACGGGTACGGGTAAGGAATGAAAACCCGTTTTCGACCTCTGCCCCGCATCAGTAAATACCTGTGGCTTGGCGCGCGCGTGTCCCAGCATGACCACCACACATGTATGCTTAATGCGAATGCAGAAGTGAAACCAGGAGTAAATGAAACAAGACGAATGACTGTAGTCAAAGTGTGTTATTGTTTTTTTATTTTATTTTAATACATTTGAACCTTACCGAGCAATAGTCCTCTGATGACGTTGAGTCTTCGCAATGGAACGGCAATTTTAGGGTCATTTTGGCCTCTTCGGCTTGAATGTCTGGTGGCACTTGACTTCGGCAAATGTCATATAACCTTAAGCCTTTGACGACAAAAACACTTCGATATTTTTAAGTTGCTACGAGAGTAAAGAGCAATTGTGACATCAATAATTAATCATTCATTGGACTACATTTTTTATATATATATAGGGAGCATTTAAGGTCGTTTTGTGTATATAGGAATGGCAGCCAAATGATGGATCACACCCAATAAGGAGGCCACTGAGGATATGCAATTGTGCTGACGATGTGGGGAAGCCTTCGTCCAGCAGTGAAGAGATCATGGCTGATGATGATAATTAGCTATAGGTCGGTCTTGATGGCCATCTAGTTTCACGGCTGTCCAGAGTTTACATTGCAATTGTGGTACAATTTGGGTTTAGATGGGAAAATCTGACCCCATTATCTAAAGCTGATCATGGCCACATTTGTTTTTCTGAATTCGTTCAATAACAAGTATAACCCGTAAAAACAAAGTTTTTCACTATAAATCCTTTATATGCGTGGCGGCTAGAGTCCTCTCGTCCTCTGGCTTGAGATGGCTGCTACCTATGGGGATGATTGTCTGCCAGTATTAAGAAATTGGTAATTAAATATTTAATTAGTTTTGCCTGAAAAGTGTAAAATTTTGGAAAAAATTTTCACGAACATTAATTGTCTGTGCAAAATGTCAGCTCGATTGGTTCACGGGAAGTGGGTTAAAAAACGACCGAAAGATTTGCACGGTCGTAAGCAAGCAAGCAAGCACGCAAGCACGCAAGTGAACTTAATATTAAGGATTTAAAAAAAGACCTCCTCACCTCTCAAATTCATTGATATCACGAGAGGAAAAACTGAACCGAGTTACATAGCCATATAACCCCCATAAGGGGTACATATTAAATTCTGATGCTGAGATATGACGATTAACAAACAGGCTTGTAATTTGTCGGTTCACAAAGTATTGATGATACAGTTCATTATATTTTGTTTAAAAAAGCAACGTTTTTCAAGTGCCTTCCTAGAGAAAGGTGAAATATTAATATTTATTTTACCGACATATAGATAACATGCGAGCACTTGTAGAACAGCTGGATGAAATCCATAATAGAGGTTTTTTTGGGTTAATATATAAATGTGTCGTTAAATCCACCACCACCCGACACAGCCAACTCGTAAGGGTTGTCACGTAAACAGAACGTGTCAATTCGTCACTAGTACAGCACTAGTGTGTAGTATATAGTGTAGGTTTCAGTTTGGTGTTTTAACATCTTAACACCTGTTTTGTTGCCAGATAAAAGGGGAAAATCTATTCTCTCATTTTGGTACTGGCAAAGGAGGTCCCATGATGTAGCTGCTCACCCCAAGCTCTCATTACTCTGATAATGCATTGTCTTTGTGCTGTACGCCTTTTGGCGTCCTCTGGTCTAACACCTTTTGAGACTAGGCTCCAAAGAAAGCCGTCTCTGGTGTGGACCAACCAGTTTCAAAGACAATGCATATACAGTCAGAGTATGTTTTTTTGTTTGCATTCTTACCACAAGTATCTGTGGTTAATGCGGACATGATTTCAGTTTGGTTTTTTAACATCTTAACACCTGTTTTGTTGCGAGAAAAAAGGGGAAAACCTATTCTGTAGTGTAGTGTATAGTGTAGTGTACTAGTACAGCACACTGGTGTGTTGGAGAGCCAAGCCACACCATTTACAATCCGAGTACGACGTTTCGCCAGTAATTACAACTAGCCTCATCAGTCGACAGCCAAATCTGGCAATCTGAGTACAAAACGTCGTACTCAGATGGTAAATGTTGTGGCTTGGCTCTCCAACACACCGGTGTGCTGTACTAGTGACGAAATGGCACGTTCTGTTTACGTGACAACCCTTACTAGTTGGCTGTGTCAGTGGTGGCGGGTTTAACGACACATTCATATATTTACGCGATCTACCCCAAGAAACCTCTATTATGAATGATATTGGTCACGAAAGCCTACGTGTTAAGCTGGATGAAATATAAAATTATGCCACTATTCTTAACAAAATATCACATAAGCCGAGGTAGCTCACTCATTTGCTGATGTCAAAGTCTCTCTTACCTTGAGCAAAATCTTGTTCGTAAACTCTAACCAGAGCATCCAACGGGCTTGTCCGTCAGTGAAGACTGTACCATTTCAAATGACCCTTTCAAACGCCCTCTTTAAAAAAAGACTTGCAAGCACCTTACGACGATGTGTGTCTGTCAGGGTATTTTTGACGTTCCTCTGTTGACGCACCCGAAAACACACAACACGGATGCTCGGATACAGCTCCGACGTAGACGCTGGGAACCCCCCACCCCGTGCGTCATCGATAATTACCTTTTGAGAGAGCTACGTGTTAATGTAAAATGAGGTTAAATGAGTTTATAACGACACGTAAATGTGGCGAACACTCGTAATTCACACCAGCATTGCTAGTGTGCCATAAAAATTAAATTTTGGTCATTTTTTTTTTGTTGGTAAAAGCATTAAATAACACTCTCCTGGTCTCTTGAGGTCTCACCTGGTTCAACAAAAAATGACCTGTAACCCGTTAATTTCGATTTAAAGCTGTCGTGACTGCAGGGATTCATCTTCTTGGTTCTTTCGGTAAAGTCACGTAGAATGGAAACAATAAAAATAATAAAATAAAACAATAAAATAATTCTCACGACGTTTCGGCCACAACACAAGCAGCCGTCATCAGGTGAAGACCAGGTCTGTCGGGGAGACAGAGTCTGAATGAAACAGCACCATGCTTGGAGCGTATATTTAAGCTGGGTTGGAAGGGGGGGAGGGAAGGGCGCCTTGACAAAAGAATTTGCATATCAAGAGGAATTTAGCATATTTATGGGCATATTTATGAGAAATGCGGGTATGTGATTAGTACTACTTATGCCCGTGCATTATGCAGGACTAGCAGCATCAAAGGGAGGGGATAGGAGTAGCACTAATAAAGGGAAGGAGTGTTAATAGTATGTACCTAGGATGAAGGCAGCGCAGTGAGAGAGAAATGAGAGAATACTTGAGTGAAGGGGGACCGAGCCGACGGCCAAGGAGCGGTTCAGACAATCGTCACTGGTGTTGGTGGCTCTGAAGGTGAATCAGTAGCGGAGCGCACAAAACACTACACTACCGCTCCCCCCCACACTCTTTCACCTCCAACACACAATCGTTGTCCATTTGCAGGAGCCAGGGTGGATTGTTGCATGCCCAGCTTGCGTGAGAGATTGTGACCGTTGTTTGGGGGGGCAGGGAAATCCTTCGTCCGGTGGTGGATTTATCACCACTCGTGATGAATTGCGTTGTGGAATCGCCTACTTCTCAAATTATTTAAGTCACCTCGACAAAATGAAACCGCATCTCCTCTTCCTAAAATTAAACATTTGAAAACACTTACATTTTTAGCGTTTTTCCACCCCTCGCCCAAGGTAAGAATTTATAATTGTCTCCCATCTCCTTTCTTTTCCAAAGTTCTTACGACTGCGCTCAATTGCAGGCACGTGTTGTGCCTTACAACTTAAGTGACATTTGTCTCTGGCCACTGCGTGTGCTGGGCCTGTGCCTCAGCAACCGCGATTTAAAAAAACACTCCAATGCCCACTATCCACCTCCATTTCACAATTTTGATTTCGTTCTGCCCTCAAAAGCCATCCTAAACCCACATGCTCTGCTGTGTTTTCTTATTCGTGTCCCTCTGAATATCACAAGCGATAAAAAAAGTACGTTCACTGTGTGCATATTGATATTTAAGAATAACCCTTGCCATCTGAGTTTATATTTTGGGGAAACTTACTCTAAAACTGATATGAACATTTTTTCGAATGTATTTGATATATTTTTTATTACTAAAAACGTCAAATGATGTCACTGCCATCCACACAAAAAATGAGCAACGCAAAAAGCATGACGTACGGTTGTATTTGTTAATTTAATAATAAAGTCAAGTTGTGTAACGCGACGCCGCAGTGTCCGCTCTCTTGTCGAGAGCGAGAGAGAGCGGACGACACAGGAGCGCGAGGAACCACAGACAAGCGGGTGGAGGCCGCCACACCGCGGGCCGGCGACGACTCCTCCCCAAGCTCTGCCCTCCTCTGTGTATGAAGTTATTATTGGGCAATAATGAGTGTTTACATGTGAGAGGAAAACGGAGCACCCGGAGAAATACTACGTGTACAAGTGGGGTGGGGGGGGGGGACATACACTCCATCTCATACAGACAGAACAGGTGGCCCTCCACATTGTTGCTGGTACGGACTTCTCCCGCACAAGCCAGGGTGTGTGTGGCACCTCTCCTCCATGCCTACGGGAAGAGTTCCACAGCCCTTTCACCAACCCTCGTTGCCTCCACAGCGCTGGAGGACTAGAGGCCACGTGTAGAGCGATGACCGATCGGCGAGCTAGCGGTTGTTTGTATGTGCACTGCTGCGGCAGCGACGTCCCGCCGGGGCTAGCGGCCACCTTTTCGACCCCCTTTTTTCTTGCCGCCCTCCTTGCGGAGCTTGGCGCGCGTGTCCTTCTTGAGGCGCGCGTCCACCACCTTGTAGTGGCCCTTGACACCGGCGGGGCGGCCGACCTTGCGGCCGGAGGATCGCTTGGCCACGACGTACGTCACGTCCTTGTCCTTCTTCTTCACGCCGGCCTTCTTGTAGATGCTGCGGAGGCAAGGAGCAAAGTCTCTGAGTAATAGTCACGATGAAAATAATCTTACTTAAGACTGCCCGATTTGAAATATCATGTCATTTATTTACCCGGGAAAGCTTCACCTCACCCGAGGACGGCTGCTTGCGTTGTGGCCGAAACGTCGTGAGAATTATTTTATTATGTTTTATTTTTATTATTTTATTACTTCCCTTCTACGTGACTTTACCGAAAGAACCAAGAAGATGAATCCCTGCAGTCACGAAAGCTTTAAATCGAAATTTGAGGCTGTACCTGCGAAGCTGCGCCATCTTCTCCCTCTCGGAAATGTCCACCGTGTCCACCACCGCCTCCGCCTTCTTCTGCGCCTTCTCCACCTGCTTCAACATCTGCAATCGAGAGAGGGGGCATCCACATCGTGTTACGGTCACGTGACGGTGGCGGCGGCGGCAGTCACGGCAATGGGTAAGCGATGGTGAAAAATGACATGATACGGACATGATGGTGACACGAACATGATCAGGAGGCGACGGCTGTAATGACGATGACAGCGACATTGACGTGTTGGCGAAGGGTGATCTCGAAGCAAGCGATGGTTACGACGAGATGGTGATGCCGACGAAGGTGGCGACGCGATGGCTCATGGTAACGTAATGCCGCGTGTGCGCACCCTCTTCTTCTTGCGAGCCTTGGCCTCGGCGATCTTCCTGATGGGCCGCGCGTTGATCTCCTGCCAGCGCTTGCGGTACTCGGCCACCGTTGCCTTGTCCACGGGGAGCATCTTCCGTCGGTGCTTGCGCTCGTCGTCGGTGAACCAGTCTGGCAGTTCCCCCTCGTCGTTAAACGCGAACCTGACGCGCACGTACGGAGACAAAGACTCGCGTCGTGAGGGATAATCCAGTCGAGGTGTCCTGTCAAAATGGGATGATATACGTTCCGCTGTAGAAGGGGACCGTGCAATGGCATCACTTATCAACTGTCAACAGGTAAAGCCTCGCTTATCAACCGTTGCCAGGTAGGCCTTACTTATTAGTCGTCACCAGGTAAAATCTCGCGATGTGGGCCTTGCTTGTTAACCATCGCCAGGTAGGCCTCACCTGTCGAAGGAGCCGTCCACCAAGTCGCGGGTCCTCTTGCGGGAGGTGGCGATGAGGCTGCCGATCGCCAGGCCCTCGGGGTCCAGCACCCGCTCGATTTTCGCTGAAGCAAGACACAGACAGGGTCTCGATTAATATTTTCAAAATGCCTCATTTCATTTCTTGACATGGCACTTCAGCAGATTTTATCCACAAACTGTTGTGGTGGTTCCTAGGCTTGCGTTGGACCGCCAGCATATGCGTTCCATGTTTTTCTCGGCCCAAGATCCTTTTTTTTTTTGGCCGAGAATCTTGAGACCCCGTCACAGTGTTGGTAGTGGAGTCACGACCCCAGTACGAGTAACGCTGCTCTGAACCATGCAAATTGTGATGAGAGCTGCTGGACCGGGGAAGAAATCGGGAGGTGTCACTCCAGATCTATGTTTCTCAAAACTCCAGTCCTTGCTACGCCGCCACAATCCGGCCTTCGGTCAATACCAATCATCAGGTGTGTGTAACGTGTAGTGGCTCGATTTGCATATATACGGGAGAGCTTGGCATACTGGGTAGAGAAATTATTTGTTGATTGCTGCACTGGCAGTGGTGTACAAGCATAATAATAATAAAAAATAAATCCTATTCATGTGCGATGAAGAACGGCCTTTGCCTGAAACGTCACCTGTTACATATTTTCCTTTTAAAGCCACGGTGTTATTGACGATCATGTTGAGTTTTTTTTACGAATGAAACCCGTGAAGGCTCACCGTGGCGTGGCATGGACTGGAGTTTGAGAAACACCGCTCTGAGGCGAGGGCGACGCTGTTGTGCCCCAGATATCGGACCGCGTCAAACGGACTCACCTGGCTCCTCGATCGGGACCGTCTCAAAGTGATCGTCGTCGTCGAGGTCAAGGTCCGGAGCGGTCGCGTAGCGGCCTCGCCGTCCGGTCTTGATGGAGGCGGAGAGCTCCTTGAGGCGCGCGATCTGAGCAACGTCGTCGTCGTCGTCATCATCGCTGCTCGCACGCAGACGCAGCGACGCACAGGTGAGCAGCGGCCCATCGCTTCAGCAGACGCTCACGCGCTTATTTATTCGCTCACCTGGCCGGAAATCGAGCTACACAATAACCCAGCGTCCCGACAATCTACTAAGCAATTAAACAAGACAAGAACAAATATACATCAGTCAACTAACCATTCAGACGCGAACCACAGTGGGAGGGGTGCCGCAAGTAATAGGATTCCCGAGTTATTGGAGAATGGATTTTATGGGTTCTCTGCTTACCATCGCCGCTGGTCCTACCGACTTATCTCAGAAGCACACACGTTGCGTGGCGGGTGAAGCGCGGAGGGTGAGGCGCGGCGGGTGAGGCAAGATGCTCACCTATTATCGCTGTCCGAGCCGGACTCCTCCTTGTGCTGCGAGGGTTTGGCGTCGCCCCCCACGTCATCCTGCCCACTCCCCTGTTCCTTGGTTGACTGCTCGTGCTCGTTCGCGGCTGAGAGGAAACGAGGATTAAAAACACGCGGCACGCACACGCGTTGGCAACATTCAGTGGAAATGCCCGGGGTTTAAACAGCCAAACTAGGGCGTCCTATATGTATGCATTAAGTCTATTGGGGCACGTGCTGTTAACGAGCACCTATAAAGGCCGACAGCACACGAGGGGGTGGTGGTGGGTGGCCAGCACCACGCCCGACCGCCTTTTTGTCTCCCCAGCAGGCGATGTTTTTAGACACCGCACCAGGTACTTATTTGAGGCCAAGTCAACCTAGGGGAGGCCCAGGACCACTTCAGATATTTGCCACTGGTGTTGGCCGTGAGCGGGAATCGAACTTGGGTCGCCGGTTTTGTAGCGCATTGCGCTAACCGCGATACTACCGCTCCCCATTACAAAGGTAGTAGGAGGCGCGCCGAGGTAAGGGGGGGCCCTTGCCCGCCATCTGTCGGCGTCAGACGGATGGCAAGACCCACAGTGGTGGGAGTGTCTTGTTGTTGTTATTTACATGGTAACTGACTGTATTGTTATTGTTATTTACATGGTAACTGACTGTATTGTTGTTGTTTGTGTGGTGACTACAGCGTGTTGTTGCTGATGTTGTTTACGCGGCGACTGACTATCTTGCTGTCATCGTTTGTGCTGTTGTTTAGGTGGTGACTAAAACGTCATGTACGTGGTGACTGGTGTCTAGTCGTTGCTGTGCGTGTCCCAGAGAGGCTGCACCTGCACGGGCCATCTTCTTGAACATCCTCTGCGCATGTTTCAGCTCCATCTGCTCGTCCACTTCCGTCTCCAGGCCAGCAAAGATGTCCTGTAAAAAACCAACACCAACGGTCATTACCGGCAGCTATAGCTTCCCTCCACATGGTACGGGATTTCGTGCGTCAGGGGTTGAATGACGGGGTTCATTGGACAAGGGCTCAGGGTCGCGAGGCGAGTGGCTCGCAGGGTTGTGCGCGACTCGCCTTGCCGAACCACAGGTTGGTCTCGCGCTGGGCCCTGCTCTCGCTGTCCTCGTACTCCACCACCAGGGCGTTGGGCTGCTCCTCCGACGGCTCCGGCGTCACTTCCCTCCTGCCGGACGGCATGCTCGGTGAGGCGGCACGAGGTGGACACGGCACGCGTGTGCGTCAGTGGGTGTGTGGCGCGTGAGCCTAGTTTCCGTGGGACGGCCAAGTCTAATGGACGCGAGTTACCATGACTTCTACAGATTTCAAGGCAAAGGACAACTTTCTGTGGTTTTCCGAAAAGTGGCATTTCCTTGATTTTTAGTGTTACCCGAGTCATGATGCAAAAAAAAATCTCGTTCGCAAAAGATCAAGGCAGCATTGACGGTAAAATTCAACACTCAAGTTAAATTTACATGTTGTCGCCACCTGTAACAATTTTTGTTCCGGCAACGAATTTCCACTTGGCTGGAACTCTGACGCAGGGTATCGAGGTGCGCTCACATCGAGCGAGACGACTGACAAGAGTTCGGACCCGCAGTCGTGGCCAACCAAGTTGAGAAGAAAAATAAAACCAAACGTGCGCGCCATCTCAATGCTCACCGGCGAACAGCAGCTCCAACTACAAACTTGAGGTCGCGTTCCTCGTGGAGGCGGAGCGTTAAACACCCCCTGAAATCAGTTTACAGTTTTTTTCGCGGTCGTTTTCTCCGTTACAAATCACACCACCACCCCCTCCCCCTTACCCACCACCCCCCCGGCCGAGCCTCGGTTCGCACTATCGACAAGAAGGTGCTGCCAAGACGAGACCGCCGTACCTTTTGCCGCCCCGGATCTTGTGCAGCGGCAGCGCGACCTCCTCGTCGTCGGCGGAGTCGCCGTCCGCCTCCTCGTTGAAGTCGCCCATGTTGACGTCGTCGTCCGTCGGGCCGATCACCTCGACGAGCTCCGCCAAAGACATGTCCCCCTGCTCCATCTCCGCCATCTACACACACACATTAATAATGACGGTGATTTTGATTTCATAGGGAGTGCCTTTCCTAATGACATCTCAAAGCACAGTACAAAAAATATATATACACGACATTCCAAACGACAAACACTAAAAGCTGATGATACAATTAATAGCACGAAGAACAAGCTATCAAAGTAAATAATAAAATTGACACACATCGGTAAAATGCACGCATGCACGCGAGCACACACGCATGCACAGATGAAGGTGTTTTGGGCGCAGGTGAGTGGCTGATGGTGCTGTGGGTGGAGGCAAGCGGGCACATTGGTTTTGTTGATGCTCTTCAGGTTGAAGAGGCTGAAGTCGGAGCTCTCGGCCAGGGAGTCCCCGGGCACGTCCATCTTCAACTCCATCCTCTCGCGCAGCTTCCGCCGCTCCTTCAGCAGCTTCTTCTTCTTTCTGCGGGGGAGGCGACGGGGACCGAAGGCTCGGACTGACTCTCTAGGCCGCTACACGAGGCCGCTACACGAGGCCGCTACGCAACACCGCTACACGAGGCCGCTACACGAGGCCGCTACGCGACGCCGCTACGCGAGGCCGCTACACGAGGCCGCTACACGAGGCCGCTACGCGACGCTTCTGCAAAGTAGCCCAGGGTACAAACGTAGTAGAGCTATCAGGGGCGTAGTCAAGAAGCCCAGGTGGTCTCCAGGGGAGGTGGGGGGGGAATCCCACCCTACCCCCTCCCCCAATGTACACCCCTCCCTTAATCTCGACCCCCAACTCCAAATCTACATCCACCAGTCTACCCCCCCCCAAATCCACCCCCACATCTACTCCCATCCCCCGCCGACCCCCACGTCCCGCTTGGAATCCACCACACTGTGTACGGGCGTTACAGCAGATCCAGTGTTGCTGCAAACGGGGTTCGCCGAGGGAGACTCGCACACACCGTGGCACTTCGACACGAGAAAGCCTCGCCGCACAGGCCCTCACCTTTTGAGGTCCGCCACCTCGTCGGATTTCATGTCGGCCAGCTGCTTCTCCATCTCCTCCTCGTTGTCGTCGTCGTCGTCGCTGCCATCGACCGCCCCCGCCTGCCTGCCGTCGCTCTCCCCATCGGACGAGTCGAGGCTGCGGGAAACGAGAGGCGATCGCAGGGCTCAGCCGACATTTATGCTCGCCCCGAAATATTTTTTTGTCATCCCGGAGCAACGCTCTTTCAAATCTGCGATTCATAAGGACAGTACGCCGACCCCTGTCTATTTGTCCGACCCGTTGTTATTACCGTTGGACAATCCTAGAAATCTGCGACACGCCTTCCAATTGTCTACTAATAGTTCCCAGGTTACAGACAATTTGGATCAGAAGGATTTTAATGCAGCTGCCCCAAAGATTTGGAACCACCTCAGAGGTCTCTTGGCATCTCCATTCTGCCATCTCTGTCCTCACTTAAACTGACTATTAAAATCACTAAAGTTTAAGTGTGAATGTAATTTTACAAAATAATTGCTATTTATTTAGTTTTGCCTGCAATTGCGCTAATGCTTTGATGTTGTCTGCGGGTCCGTTAAAAAAAGAGCATCTTAGCTCGGTGGACTTTACTCGGGAAATAAACTTGCGATTACGATTCATACGGTGTTGAATAGCACACCCGGTCGAACGCACAAACAAATACACAATTAGACGCACGCTCCCGCGATGCTAGCGCGTTGGAACGCGTCGCCAGGATTCACGAGTTTGTGCGTGGGTCGTGCGTGGGTCGCGCGTTCCCCGCCAAGGCCGAGTTGAGAGCTGGGATTTATTTCACAGGGTAAATCCCCGAGCAGCTGCGGCAGTGGAATGCGTGCGCTCACACCGTGTGGTGTCTGTAATATGGCGAGCCGGACGGAGAGCGAGAGAGAGTCGCTCACCCCGTGCACACTGCCCCCCCCTGCTGCAGCGGACCTGGCTGCGATGAGAAGCGACCGACCGTGAACTCACCTGATATCTCCGTCTGTGGCCGTGACCAGCGTCGCCGCTTCCTCCGCGGGGGCCGCTTTCACCGCGGGTGCCGCTTTCTCCTCGGTCGCCCGCAACAAACTCTTTTTCAGTTTCGTCCGCCAGTTGATGAGCGACCTGAAGAAGGGGGTGGTCACCAAACGGGGTCAACTCAACACCGCTCCCTCCCATAATATCTCACCCGCCCCCCCCCCCCCCCCCCCCCATAGGTTTACACTCGGGGCATAATAACAATTTAGTACATTTGGAATGAAAGCCATTCTACATCTAGTCGTTCGTAAGGCGCTATTGTTTCACGGACACAGTCTGTGGTGTTTTCACAGCGGAGGGGGCGCGATGTTGCCTTGTGTAATCCCAATTTAATAATTAGCGTGTAACGTGTGAAATTTAGCAGATTTTGGCCATGACGCCAGCGTACAATGGCCTTTTGTTTTTCGAATGACGTCAGGGGATCGTTAACGTTCACTGTGAATCGGACGTGCGGGTATTTTATGGTTAATACATCCGGCAGTATTAACCAGGACAGCGTGTGGCTAACACGCTACTGCTGGGCCGTGTCGCTCCCCAATAATCGTCAACGCGTTCTCAACAAATACCAACTTGTTAACGGACAGCCGTGAGATTTCACTCAACTATTTGAATGCCCAATATCGTGACTCGATAATTATTACTCAAAGAGTTACGACAAATTTGATCTTAAAGCGAACTTCTGCCATTTCTAGGTTGTTGTACGTCTGCATCTGGTCCCCGATTTATTCAACAGTGCAGGGGCCCGAGTTGAAATTGCCTCGCGTGCGGTCCCAATTTCTGCTGTTACGACTGCTGCCGTTGCTACTGCTGCCGCTAACAATGCTGCCGATACTGCTACTGCTGCTGCGACCGCCGCGATTGCTACCGCTGCCGCCGCTGCTCACCTGAGCTCCTTGCGCCCGAGCACTTTGATGTCTCGGCAGCACTCCGCGATCTCGTTCGTGGTGCTTGGGTGAGAAACCATGCGTGGGTCATCCAGCACGATCTAGAGGGGGAGAGGCAAGGTGAGGGGGGGGGGCAATTTACAGACCATTGATAATCCACTGCTGGATGAAAGCCTCCCCACGCTGGTCTGTGTAGGTTTGTGAAGCTGAGCCCAGGACCGGTTCAGATATAACTCGCCACTAGTGTTAGCCTTGGACAGGTGGGGAGGGTTCATACTGCAGTGCGCGGACCACATGAAGTACTGCTCAACTGCATGTAGACAATACACACATGCAACAAGAACCGCCGTTCGCCACTAAGGTTGCGGTGACGTAACCACAGCACTTATGCCTGACAAATATCGCCTCTATAGCCTTAACAGATTGCAAGGGCAAGTGCTGTTAGCCAGCATCTATGAAGGCCGGCGCGGGACACGAGGGGGTGGGTGGCCAACACCACGCCCAGCCGCCTTTATCTCGCTAGTGGCGATGTTTACACACCGCACCAGGTACTCATTTGAGGCTGGGTCGGCCTAGGGGAGGCCCAGGACTGGTTCAGATAATCGTCACTGATGTTGGCGAGTGGGAATTGAACTCTGGTCCCCAGGTTCGGAGTGCAGAGCATTAACCACTACCACTCCCCACAGCGGTGCACATACGAATACACAAACAGGGCATCTTCAGCTTTGGCATGAAAACCTTTGGTTGAGATTGTGTTGTAATGGCACAAAACATTTTGTGCATAGCTATATTGCAGTGGCTGAATCTTGATAATAATTCTAAGAGTTTATAAAAAGGAAATTGGAAAAACTCAACACACGCATCAATAACACTGCCTTCAAATTCGGACTTTTTTGTGCTCTGAAGAAGGAGCCATCACCTGAAACGTTGCTCATTACATTTGATTTTAAGGCCACGAAGTCTTACCGACAAAAGTGAGTTTTTTTTCTTATCGACTGTACTTTCAGACCACTGCCAACGCAGTATCGCCAAATTATTTGTTTTCACTTAAAAACATTGGCGTGATGTTGAGGGAGCTGACAGGCCCATAGCCTCGTGCGGCCAACGACCGCCACCTGAGCGTACGTTTGCACGCACGCACGTTGTTAAGCCTCTTTCGCGCCGTACGTAGCCAGCCGTGCAAGTCGGAGGCGCGGGAGAAACCAACCGTGCTCATCGGAGGAGCGGGCGGCGGCAACTCACCTGGCTGCACTTGTTCAGGAAGTCGATGGGGTTGCTGCACTTGAGGAACTCGGTGGCGGGGAGAGGATGGAAGAGCGTGTAGTCCCCCTCCGTGTATCCCTCCGCCTGTGACGCGGCGCACACAGCCGCGGGCGCGGCGAGTCAGCGTATGAGCAACAAGGTGGGGCTAGATCGTTTAGCCAGGCAGAGCTGCAGCCGCGTCTCAAAGATTTCCTCACGGGAGGGATCTCGCGGAGGACATTTGACGATTTCCTTTCAGGTATTTTGTTTGGCACAGAACGAAAACCGGATACCAAAGAGGGCCAGCTCCTAACGAGGTTATCTCGCTTGACCCCCTGAAAGTGAAATTGTAGTTGTTTGCTCTGCATCTACACCGACCAAACGAGAGGAGAAGACTGACGCTGACCGAACGTTAATTTGGCACGACCCAAGTCCACTCCCCTTAGCGGCATACCACTGTTATGGTGACCTTCCCACCCCCCCCCTCTCACACAAAAACTCTACAGGCACACCCCCCCCCTCACGGCCCAATACAAACCCTGAACGAATGTGAGAAACCCACTCGACTCCGCCGCTTTCCACAGCATCAACCGAGGCAGGGCACAGCACGTCATCAGGCTACTTCCGCGCAGACGCGCATTACCTCCGCCGATATTGACCACAACGCACCATTAGGCTCAACGACCCCAATGCACCACACGTTCCGCCACCGCGCCACGCAACAGACAACCGCGCGCGCACGCAACGATGCCTCACTTTGGGTTTTTTCTTGTCGTCGGCAATGTCCCTTATGGTCTTAGCTTCGATCTCGACCTCCTTGAAGGCGTACTTTGCATCGAAAAACTTGCTGTCGATTTTGTCTGGAGCTTTGTAACCTAAACATAAAATGATAACAACGACGACAACAACAGACGATAACGTACGGCACGCGGTTCATTTTCCAGACGCTGGAGAAGTGTAAAACCAACTCCAATAGTGCGGCACGGTCTCCTGCGGGGAGCCAGGAGGCCGTGGCGCACATCGTCGTCGCCGGCTGTGAAGTCCGTCAGGGCGTACCGGGCGGACTGGTTGCGCTGCATGTGCTGGAGGAGGAGGCGGCTGTCACATGGCTCTATGGCTACACGGGCTGACGTTCACTCACATATAACATTGACAAACATATTCATCTATTTTTCTTGCATATCTAGCGCTCTGAAATATATGAGTCACGCGTAAAAGCATTTGCTTCATAAATAATGATTTCAAGCTCTCCGGCAACCACTGGTGCTGATTTTCAGTATTTTATATTTGCAGGGAGACTGCAGTCATGCCCAGTGTATCCCGAGCCACGTTGTGCATTTATCCGACTGTCCACCCCGCCCCCACGACGTTGCCCAATGGCAGTGGCTTTGGCCGCTTGTTGCAGACGTTCGCGGTTCTAACCCGGTAGACCACCTTGGTTAATACTGCCGGTATAACAGCTGCCAATCGTGTGCTGTCTGTTCCACGGTGGACATTAATGATCCTGTGGTGACATTCAAAATCAGCGAGTAGGCAGGCCACTGTGTGACCGCGTGATGGTCCAAATTTGGGAGTACACAGAGTAACAAAAAGGCAACATCGCCCCCCTACTGTGAAACTACCACTACGTGAAATACAGTGCCTTCATGATGGCCTTATGTCAATCATAATTATGCTTGCTGACTGGCTGTTGACCCCGGTGAGACAAACTATGCGTGCCATCTTTTAGTCGACTGGCGCATCCTCCCCTCCTACGACCCCGACATGTGCCGCCTCCCCCCCCTCCCCCCCGGGGAGACCCACCTTGGCACACGACGAAGATCTCGGCAGACTCGCTACGCGACGCCTGCGGCTTGGTGGCCTGGACCTTCTGGAAGAACTGCTGGAAGAGCCACATGAGTGGCTGGTAGTCGCGCGAGCGGAACACCTTGGTGATGAACCAGCCGCCCTTGTTGAGGAAGTCGCACGCCAGCTTCAGCGCCTGCAGCGTGAGCCGCGCTGCGGTCGACAGGAACACGGCGGGAAGACGTCACACGACGGCCAACCTCTGCCCCACACCACGCTGCTCGACTACACACCCCGCTCTGCCCCACACCCTGTTCTACCACAACCCGCTCTACCGCACAGCCAGCTTTACACCGCTCCTCACTCTACACCACACCCCACGCTACTCTACCACACACCCTGTTCTACCACAACCCCCCTGCTCGACACCACATTCTACTCTAATGCAGACCGTCTTTATTAAGAATACATGACGATCGCTCCCCACCCCCCATCCCTCTCCTTAAAACGTAAGGCATTCGCGACCAATATCACGGGTTTAACGACGTAATAATTTACGCAATCTAACCCAAAAAAACCTATATTAGGCATCCCTCTCCTGTTAACTCAATTCGAATCCAACTTACAGAGCATACGTGTCATCAGCTGCCCGGGCCTCAAACCACATGCATTTCCCGTTTGTCAGACCTTAAGGGAAACCCAGACATGCAAATTACTATGATGGACCAGCTGTGGTGCTGTCCCACAAGGGAATTCCTCCGTGGCTAGCCGCCCCCTAGTTTAAACGCTGTCTGCACAGGGCAACCAACTAACCTCAACTACTACTACTACCCAGCCTCACACTCCCCCCCCGCCACTCACTGCCCCCCCACCACCGTCTCACCCTGGGCGTACGCGTCGTGCGACCAGTTGGCGCCCACGTTGGGCGCTCCGTCGTTGAGCATGCAGTCCACCTTCCACGTCTGCAGCTCCTTCTTGAGAGCCTGCGAGCACACGGACGCGGTGTACACGGCGTTAAGGTTTGTACCGTAAAAAACCCAAGCTATCAAGAAACCCCCCCCCCCCCCCCCCCGCCCACGTCACTGGCCCCAAAACACAAAAAAGCCAGCCCAAAGAACGTGGAAAAGCTCATGGTCGAGCAGGAGCAACGTCGCGAGTTGAATTGTCAACGCCGGCCAGATCAAGGTCTAACCCACAGGAAGGCCTCGGCAAGGAAACGAGGATCGGGATGCGGCCACTTGCGTCGCCCGATGCGATAAAACTCCCGGCGGTGCAAATGTCGGAAACAAACGGCCACAGCCATAGGGCATGCCCTCTGCGGTGCACGAAGAGAAAGGATGGGTTTGACGGTCTTAAGCAGTGCATAAACGTAGCTCTTTGCATTAAAGCTCGGGTTCAGGGAAGGACTAAGTTTGCAGTTTGGAGTGGCCAGCGTAGGACTGTATGCTATTTAACAATATGCAATGTCCTCTTGCAATCGCCCTTCCGCAGGATAGAGAAGGGGTTGCCTAGCTGTACAAGTTGTACGCAGCGCTGGCCAGCAGATGGGCAAGAACATGCCAATAGAAAGCGGCGTCGCCATTTATTTTTCCCAATCAAGTAATTTGCGGGCAACTTAACAAAAATTTGATGTGTACTGCGAAGAACGTGAAGGGACCCTGAACGTCCACTCTGACGCAGATGGCACGTATTCGCTGTTAATCAGAGGTCGCAACCGGGTACCCGATACCCGTACCCTACCCGATACCCGGCTACCCGTACCCGGCCAGGTACGGGTACCCGTTTGCGACCCTGGTGCGGCCGGGTACGGGTAGGCCGTGAGTCACTGGTGAGTCACCGTTTGTCACTCATTTCGGGTAGGATACGGGACGGGAACGGCTACCCGTACCCGGCCAGGTACGGGTACCCATTTGCGACCCTGGTGCGGCCAGGTACGGGTACGGGTAAGGAATCAAAACCGGTTTGCGACCTCTGCTGTTAATGCACCCGGGCACCATTAACCAGGGCGGGCAGCCGGGCTGAACCGGGCAGAAAAACCTCCACAAGCGGCAGACGCACCACTGCTCAGCTGCGTTTCGTCCCCCCACCCATGAGCGCACCTGGCGGCACTTATCCGTGGTGATGTCCTCCTGTAGGGTGACCACGTTCGGGATGGACTTGATGGGCACGAGGTCCACGCCTGCCGACGACAACGACCACGAGGCGTCCAACATCCACCCGCACCACGCGCGAAAATGCCGACGCGCGCGGATGGCACGCAAACCAGTGCCGCATTATCCAATAGGCAACAGTAACCATTTTTTCTGTTTGTATAATAAAAAAATTTACCCAAGGTATCTTCTTGAATAAATACATATAGCAAGGATAAGCACAGTGTATATACAATAAGGCAGGGTCATGTGAATAATTTTTTTGTTCATGAGGTGAGATTAATCAACGCCGTAAATACAGTTTTCACAAAATTTTCCGTCGTAAAATTTGCAATAACAGCTTCAAATTGTGTTTTTCGCACAATCTCATTCTCAATCGAGCAGTATAAGGCAAGACAAGCGTTGTTGTCCTACGGTTAATCAGCATTTGCAAGTGACAACGGCGGTAGTAACATGGGGGGGGGGGCAGCAGTAGCACCTGTAGAAAGTTATCACTTAAGGCCTAAGAAACAGAAGTGCCGAGGGCCTACAAGAACCTTCATCCGGCCCTGGCGCAAATGCGCCGTTTGCTTTCGAGGCAAACCTTACCGATGACGAGACTTGAGATGGGCATGAACTTCGATGCCACCTGCAGCCTGGAAACACAATGAGCAAGATATCAAGAGTTGCTCACATATCACGACGCGACGGGATTCCATGCAGGTCGTATCCAAAGCGCCGCAAAGGGTGATCGCAACAGCACTGCGTCTCTATCGACTATCGAATGGGTGTGCATGGCTTATTGTAGGAGTTCAACTGGTGATACATTACAATAGACGACACGCTGGTGCTCAACTCGTTTTCAGAACGGGCCTGCCTGTTTGGAGAATTGTGGTTTTATCGCATTTGGGAGGAAGCAATCATCTGGATTTTTTTTAAATGCATGCAAGAGAATTACCAAGCATATCTGTGGTCTTGTGATCGTCAGATTTGCTGTACTACCTTCTGCAGGCACCTGGTTGGCCGGCGGTAGCAGTTTTCGTCTTTGCCGTCATTCTCACACCACTGGCTACAGGTGTGTGTCACTACAGACTGCAGCCAGTGCGTGCCTCAGTCGTGTACCAACCTGCAGGCACCACGGAGTGCGTGCGTGTGTTTGCACTTGACTCTGCGCATCAGGTACCATACTGCAGACACCACAAGTGTATGTGCATGACTCAGTGAGGCATGCACTTACTACCCTACAGGCGCCACACAGTCTGTGCGTCACTTAGTGAACCGCATACCACCGTACCAGGCACCACGCAGTGTGCACGACTCAGCGAATCGACTACCAACAATCCTACAGGCAGCACGCAATGCGTGCGCGAGTCGCGTATCAATCTTACAGGCACCACGCAGCATACACGGACTCTGAGTCGTGTACCACAATATTCCAGGCACCGCTCGGCGTGCATGAGCCGTGTACCAATATTACCGTCAGCATCCTGTGTGTGTGTGAGCGTGCGTGGGGAGCGATAGTGTAGTGGTTAGCGCGCTGCGCTATGAACCTGGCGACCCGGGTTCAATTCCTGCTCACGGCCAACACCAGTGACAATTATCTGAACCGGTCCTGGGCCTCCCCTAGGTCGACTCAGCCTGAAATGAGTACCTGGTGCGGTGTGTAAACATCGCCACTGGGAAGACAAAAGCGGTCGGGCGCGGTGCTGGCCACCCACCCCCTCGTGTACCGTTCCGGCCTTCATAGGTGCTCACTAACAGCACTTGCCCCTACAGTCTGTTAAGGCTATACGGGGGATCTTTTATCTTTGTATGAATTTAAGTGTGCGAACCGGTCCTCCTCTAGGTCAATTCGGCCTTAAATGAGTACCTGGTGCGGTGTGTAAACATCGCCAGCTGGGGAGAGACAAAGACGGCCCGGGCGTGGTGCTGGCCACCCACCCCCCTCGTGTGCCACAGCGCCGGTAGCCTTCATAGGTGCTGCTACTCGCTAACAGCACTTGCCCCTACAGTCTGTTAAGGCTACACGGGGGGATCTTTGTGTCCGGGTGTGATGTCGTCGAGTCGCGTACCATCCTCCAGGAGCGGCGCACAGGTCCACGAGGACGCGCGCGCGCTGCAGGAAGCCGAACTTGCGGTTGAGCTGGATGAGCTTGAAGGCGGAGCGAGCGCGGTAGCCTGCAGCAGAACAGCAAGCGCACATGTTTTATGTTTGCATTACGACTGCAGGTATTGTGGTCTATGCAAACATGACTCCTTGTATAAAAAGGTGTCAGTTTTGTTGCCAGATAAAATGGTAAAAAAACAATTGTCGTATTTTTTACTGGCAAATGAGGTACCAATGGTGTAAATGCTTACCCCGAGCTCTCATACTCGGATGGTGCGTTGTCTTTGAGTTGTGCGCCTTTTGGCGTCATCTGGTCCAACCCATGTGAGACAAGGCTCTAAGGAAAGCTGTCTCGGGTGTGGACCAATTAACTTCAAGGACAGTGCACACATTATCAGAGTTATGTTTTTTGTTTGCATTATGACTGCAGGTATTGTGGTCTATGCAAACATGACTCCTTGTAAAAAAAGGTGTCCGTTTTGTTGCCAGATAAAAGGGTAAAAAACCAATTATCATATTTTTTTCTTCTGGCAAATGAGGTACCAATGGTGTAAATGCTTACCCCGAGCTCTCATACTCGGATGGTGCGTTGTCTTTGAGTTGTGCGCCTTTTGGCGTTATCTGGTCCAACCCATGTGAGACTAGGCTCTAAGGAAAGCTGTCTCGGATGTGGACCAATCAACTTCAAGGACAGTGCATACATTATCAGAGTTGTTTTTTGTTTGCATTACGACTGCAGGTATTGTGGTCTATGTAAACATGACTCCTTGTAAAAAAAGGTGTCAGTTTTGTTGCCAGATAGAAGGGTAAAAAAACAATTATCATATTTTTTAGTGGCAAATGAGGTTCCAATGGAGCAACCGCCAGCCGCCCTGCACCTGACAGAACTTTGTCGTTATTTTTGGCTCACAAGTGACGACGTAATATGTATCCCTCTATTTAAGAACAGGACGATTTCTCCACAAATCTGGCTGTGGCCTGATGATGCTAGTTGTGGTTTTATTCGCTCGATCATGATCGCTTTGCCTCGTGCTCAGCTCCTCTCCAACCACTCATCACTGCGTCCTTGTTTTCGGTGCAACGCGCCTGTTTATTTCGTTCATACTGTTACTTTTTCTTCTTCACGAACTAGCGTTGCCTGCACATCGGACGCGTTCTGTTCCTGTGTTGCCCGTGCTTTCGTACGGACCGCTTTGATGTTGCCGTTACTTTTCTGCAGTGATGCGCCACGGATCCTCCGTGCAAACTAGCTGGATGACTGGCTAAACGGGACTTATCGTGTAACAAATAAACAAAGCCTACGTGTTAAAACCAAATAAATAATGATTTAGTGATTGATCGTCACTCTTACTACAATGTTACTGTTTTTGTTTAAAACACAGTAGCTGCACACTGTCACAAAGGCCCAAAACGTCAAGCGGCCTGCAACTTACAGCACTCTTATCAAAGTTGTAATGGTAGTAGTTTAAGTGTTTATTAAATTGAGCAACGTTAAAGAGCTTGGTTAAAGAGTCAATGGGAGGGAGGTCGTGATTGTTGTGGCGGCAGTAGCTGCAGTGGTTGTTGTAGTGGTGGTAATTGTTGTGGTAGTGATTGTTGTGCGGTGGTAGTGGTATTATTGTGGTGGTAGTGGTTGATGCTGTGGTATGGTTAAAGTGGTTGTAGTTATGTTTGGCCGTGGTTGTTGTGATGGGTTGGATTGGTTTTTTTCCGATGGTTGTAGATGTTGTGGTTGCGATTGCGTTAGCGGTTGCTGTGATGGGTGGTAATGGTTGTTGAGATGAGGGCAGTGGTTGTTGTGATTGTTGCTGTGGTTGTTGTGAGGGTGGTAGTGGTTGTTGAGATGGGGGCAGTAGTTGTTGTTGTTGAGGTGTGAGCAGTGGTTGTTGTTGTGAGGGTGGTAGTGGTTGTTGAGATGGGGGCAGTGGTTGTTATTGTTGCTGTGGTTGTTGTTGGGAGGGTGGTAGTGGTTGCTGTTAATGTTGCTGTGGTTGTTGTGAGGGTGGTAGTAGTTGTTGAGATGGCGCAGTGGTTGTTGTTGTTATTGTGTGAGCAGTGGTTGTGGTTGTTGTGAGGGTGGTATTGGTTGTTGAGATGGGGGCAGTGGTTGTTTTTGTTGAGGTGTGAGCAGTGGCTGTAATTGTTGTTGTGAGGGTGGTAGTGGTTGTTATTGTTGCTGTAGTTGTTGTGAGGGTGGTAGTGGTTGTTGTTGTTATTGCTGCTGTAGTGGTTGTTGTGAGGGTGGTAGTGGTTGTTGAGATGGGGGTAGTAGTTGTTGAGGTGTGAGCAGTGGTTGTTGTTATTGTTGTGAGCGTGGTAGTGGTTGTTGAGATGGGGGCAGTGGTTGTTTTTGTTGAGGTGTGAGCAGTGGCTGTAGTTGTTGTGAGGGTGGTAGTGGTTGTTATTGTTGCTGTAGTTGTTGTTGGGAGGGTGGTAGTGGTTGTTGTTAATGTTGCTGTGGTTGTTGTGAGGGTGGTAGTAGTTGTTGAGATGGCGCAGTGGTTGTTGTTGTTGTTGTGTGAGCAGTGGTTGTGGTTGTTGTGAGGGTGGTAGTGGTAGTTGAGATGGGGGCAGTGGTTGTTTTTGTTGAGGTGTGAGCAGTGGCTGTAATTGTTGTTGTGAGGGTGGTAGTGGTTGTTATTGTTGCTGTAGTTGTTGTGAGGGTGGTAGTAGTTGTTGTTATTGTTTCTGTAGTTGTTGTGAGGATGGTAGTGGTTGTTGAGATGGGGGCAGTAGTTGTTGAGGTGTGAGCAGTGGTTGTTGTTATTGTTGTGAGTGTGGTAGTGGTTGTTGAGATGGGGGCAGTGGTTGTTTTTGTTGAGGTGTGAGCAGTGGCTGTAGTTGTTGTGAGGGTGGTAGTGGTTGTTGTTATTGCTGTTGTGGTTGTTGTGAGTGGTAGTGCTTGTTGAGATGGGGGCCAGCGGTTGCTGTCGTGGTTGTCGTAGTGTTTGGTAGTTCAGGCTGCGGTGGACTCAGGCCACGCCACGTGGTGGTGCACACTCGCCCGTCTCCTTGGCGAGCAGGTAGAACTTGTCGCGCCGCGCCTTCCCGATCTTCGACTTCTTCCCCATCGCTGAGTGGAGTCACAGGCGCGTGTTAGTACACGACTCGCGCGCACCACCGCATGCGCCACATTGAATACACTCTGGTGTGTCGTGCGTACTGCTCGAGTGGGATGCGGTCGTGCATCGAGCTTGCAGGCGAGCAAGTTTGGCTGTGCAGCTGCGCTAGTGAGGAGTTAGTTCCTCTGCACCGTGAAGCTGCTGTGGCAACAGCTCTCTCTACGCTGTGCAGCGGCGGTAGTGATGAGTTAGTACCACTGCGCTAGTGAGGAGTTAGTACCACTGCGGGTCTGCGCTAGTGCGCGTTGGCAAATCTATGGCTGTAGTAGTGAGCAGTGCCTCTGTGCAGCTGTGCTAGTGAGGCGTTAGTGCCTCTGTGGGGCCGGGGTAGTGAGGCGTTAGTACGCGGTAGTAAGTCGTGAGTACCCCTGTGTGGGGTCGCGGTAGAGGCGTTAGTACCTGTGTGTGTGTTAGTACCTGTGTGTGCTAGTACTTGTGCTAGTTGAGGTGTTAGTACCTCTGTGTGTGTGTGTGCTAGCGAGGTGTTAGTACCTCTGTGTGTGTGGAGCCGGGGTAGTGAGGTGTTAGTACCTGTGTGTGTGTTAGTACCTGTGTGCTAGTACCTGTGTGTGTTAGTACCTGTGTGTGCTAGTACTTGTGCTAGTTGAGGTGTTAGTACCTCTGTGTGTGTGTGTGATAGCGAGGTGTTAGTACCTGTGTGTGTGTGGAGCCGGGGTAGTGAGGTGTTAGTACCTGTGTGTGTGTTAGTACCTCTCAGTTTGTTAGTGTGTTAGTACCTGTATGTGTTAATACGCGCTAGCGAGGTGTTAGTACCTCTGTGTGTGTTAGTGTGTGTGTTAGTACCTGTGTGTGTGCTAGCAAGGCGTTAGTACCTCTGTGTGTGTAAATGTGTTAGTACCTGTGTGTGTTAGTACATGTGTGTGTTAGTACCTGCGTGTTAGTACCTCTGTGTGTTAGTACCTGTGTGTGTGTTAGTACCTCTGTGTGCTAGTACCTCTGTGTGTTAGTACCTGTGTTAGTACCTGTGTGTGCTAGTACCTGTGTGTGTTAGTACCTGTGTGTGTTAGTACCTGTGTGCTAGCGAGGCGTTAGTACCTGTGAGTGGTGAGCACCTCCACGCGTCTCTCGCTACCTCGAGGCGGCGAGGCTGTCGACCACGTGCAGCAGCGTGGCGGCCGGTGATGACGTCGCGGGTCGGAGTTCAAAGTGCGACTACGGCAGCGGGGCGGGGTCAAAGACGCCGGGATTTACGAACCGCGTTTGTCGCCGCCAATGGCACACGCACCGTAAGCGACGTTTCGGGCGATGGCCCCTTATATGCGGCGCAGAGCGAGCGAGGATTAAGTTGGCTCTGTGTCACTGATGTTGCTGGTAGGAACCGCCAGGTTACACCAGCCCACAGGGGATTATTGTGTCCGTCCGTCGTGCATCCAAAAATGGGAGGGGTGGGGCTGGGTGGAGAGGGTGGGGAGGGGCTGGGTGGGGAGGGGCTGGGTGGGAGGGGTGGGGCTGGGTGGGAGGGGTAGGGCTGGGTGGGAGGGGTGGGGCTGGGTGGGGCTGGATGGGAGGGGTGGGGCTGGGTGGGGAGGGTGGGGCTGGATGGGAGGGGTGGGGCTGGGTGGGAGGGGTGGGGCTGGGTGGGGAGGGTGGGGCTGGATGGGAGGGGTGGGGCTGGGTGGGGTGGGGCTGGGTGGGAGGGGTGGGGCTGGGTGGGGCTGGGTAGGTGGGGTGGGGCTGGGTGGGGAGGGTGGGGCTGGGTGGGGAGGGTGGGGCTGGGTGGGGAGGGTGGGGCTGGGTGGGAGGGGTGGGGCTGGATGGGAGGGGTGGGGCTGGGTGGGGTGGGGCTGGGTGGGAGGGGTGGGGCTGGGTGGGAGATGTGGGGCTGGGTGGGAGGGGTGGGGCTGGGTGGGGTGGGGCTGGGTGGGAGATGTGGGGCTGGGTGGGAGATGTGGGGCTGGGTGGGAGGGGTGGGGCTGGGTAGGTGGGGTGGGGCTGGGTGGGGAGGGTGGGGCTGGGTGGGGAGGGTGGGGGCTGGGTGGGGAGGGTGGGGCTGGGTGGGGAGGGTGGGGCTGGGTGGGGAGGGTGGGGCTGGGTGGGAGGGGTGGGGCTGGATGGGAGGGGTGGGGCTGGGTGGGGTGGGGCTGGGTGGGAGGGGTGGGGCTGGGTGGGAGATGTGGGGCTGGGTGGGAGGGGTGGGGCTGGGTGGGGTGGGGCTGGGTGGGAGGGGTGGGGTGGGGCTGGGTGGGAGATGTGGGGCTGGGTGGGAGGGGTGGGGCTGGGTAGGTGGGGTGGGGCTGGGTGGGAGGGGTGGGGCTGGGTGGGAGGGGAGGGTTGGGGCTGGGTGGGGTGGGGCTGGTCACCCCGTGGTGCCCTTATAAAACTCAACGTTTAATGCGAGACGCTTTCTATCCAGGGTAGCGTGGAACCACGCCGTGGTTTCTTCACGGCTCGTGAGCAAAAGTGAGAACACAAGGAACGACCAACGCAGCAAAAATATGCATTTATTACTCGATGCGAAACGTGATGTGTGTTTTGAAACAAATGAATATCGTCTTCACTTTTAAATGAGTGCAAATATGAAAACGTGAGTTTGGAAAAGAGCACGCAAAATTACGCATTTTGTGGAAATGGTAAAAAGAGATCGTGACCTAAACTTCGAAGCAGTTAAAATGTCTAGGTTGAATTTAAATGCCACAAACAAGATGTTTACTCTTTGGCTCTTTCGGTAAAGTCACGTAGATGAAATAATAAAATGAAAATAACTAAATTCATTTTATTATTTTTATTATTATATTTCACCTACGTGACTTTACCGAAATAACCAAAGAGTATGGATCCTTGCAGTCACGAAAACCTCAAATCTAAAAAAAACAACATGTTCTTTGTAATGGCTGGAATTGGCAATTGTCCCTTATACCGTGTACGGATCACGGCTCAGCGGTGGGGTGGAAGGTACTAGGTTATGCAAGTGTCAAGTTCCATAGTTCTGTGCCAGCCCCACTGGAACCTCTTCAGTGGACCGACCTCACTCTGATGAGCAAATGTTTAAAGAATAAAGGTGGGTCAATGCTTTATATGGATAACGGATTTTTTTTATATGAACATGACTGGTATGGCTGCAGCAGATAGGGTATTGGCGTGGACTTACATTGGAAGACAGAAGAGGTCCAATTGTGGCAAGGGCGTTATTGAGTGCCATAAATTCTGACGTCTACCACAAACACCCAGAGTCCTGCCATCACTGGATGTCACAAGAAAATGCAAGCTTTAACATCTTAATAATCCTCGTTATTTATCCAGGATAGCCAAAATATCAAGAATCCTTTTCGGGTGGCTGCTGCGTTTGGCGATGTTCAACCAATTCCTTTCCAAGTGCTTTCCAAGTGGGAGGAAACTATTGCCCAGAGATAACCCACTACCAGAGAATAAGGATCAAAATGTATTAACAGATTGGTTTCGCAACTCAACTTTCTGTACTGCCATATCGCCACCTCGCAGCCCAGCGGGGTCGGAATCTCCCAGCTCGTGATGACCACTGTGCAAGGCACCGTCCCTGCCTCGAGGCAAGGCAAAACAAGGTGACGGGCAGAACATTGACGTCCACCTTGCTCTGCTCATCCATGCCACGAGGGTTTTGCAACCGTCAGGCATCGAGGGCAAGCTCAACACGATCCGGGCTGCAATGACATCGGCATCAACATTCTGTCATTAGGCAAATAAAAACGAGTGTGTGATGGTTTTTCTGCAGACTGACCAGGAGAGGGTTTGTCCGCATAAAGCACCTGTGGCAAAAGGCAGCAGTTGTAAATCATGGCTATATTGTACTGATGATTCCTGACAAGGATGACGCCCGTATATAGGTTTTCCTATTGTCCTGCTCCTGCCTAACACGACCACGATTTTGGTGTTTTAACATCTTAACACAACTGTTTTGTTGCCAAAAAAATGGGAAAACCTATTCTCATATTTTGGTACTGGCAAAGGAGGTCCCATGATGTAGCTGCGCGCCCCAAGCTCTCATTACTCTGATAGTGCATTGTGTCTTTGTGGCGTCTTCTGGTCTAACACCATTTGAGACTAGGCTCAAAATAAAGCTGGTGTGGACCAATCAGTTTCAAAGACAATGCATATATTATCAGAGTACGTTTTTTGTTTGCATTCTGACCACAAGTGTTGTGGTTAATGCAGACATGATTCCTTGTAACAGGTTTCAGTTTGGTGTTTTAACATCTTAACACCTATTTTGTTGCCAGATAAAAAGTATGTCACGTTACATGCAAGATATGATCGGACCAATGGTGACAATTTCCCTTTTTTTGTCTTCAAATCACCTTTTGTGTCTTTTTACTCTGGGAATTCAAAGGAGTACATTTCTGCAAGGTGACTCATACTTTTGATAATTATTACTCTATATTAGATTATTACGACTTTATTATTACTTAAATGTGATTACTTTCATAATACTGGCAGGCTCTATTATGCAAATCTGTGCTGATACGATGGCTGGGACCAAGACTTTCACTTGAGATCAATGAAAGAGTGGACTGCGGGTGTCTTAAAAATCATCTTCATGTTCTTCACATTCAAGTATAACAAACTGTTCATATCCAGACGTCAAGCACAAACAGCAAGGAACATACATGTGTCATAGGCTGGAATGGACTAGGCACCAACAAAGAATAGCCATAAAAGTAAAATTAAATGAACTCACCACCTTCATTGGTGAGTTTAAAAAAAATCTATATTACCACTTTCAGCTTCATGGTAATGTACTCTTAAAACATCCCTTTGATTCACGTCAATTACAGCTGACATTGCACTTCGGGATATGGCACCCTATGTGAAACGCAGCATGTCCAGCAGGAAGAACAGAAAAATATTGCAAACCATGCATCTTTATCACTTTCGACACGGCCACCGCGGTCGTAAACTGTGATCGAGATGCAGGCTACATCACTGCTCATGGCGCAGGTGATACAAATGTGTATTTGAAATCCAGGGCTCGGAAAATAACTTTTGTTCGCTACCGATTGCATATACTTGGACCCTGTATTTCCTGTCCATGGCAGTGACGCGCGCATGCTCAAAGCTAAACGGGGTGGCTCCCAACGCGCCACATACAGATACAAACTACAAAAAATCCTCCAATAATCCGCGAATCCCATAGTTTGTAGCACGCTTATGGTTTGTAGGAACTTTTTCAAGCGGATTATCGGAGTAGTGCGGCAAAAAACTCCTCAAATCTGTGATTTATTCTGACAGATAATTAGAGTAATTTCCACGGCGTGTCACAGGATTCCAGAATCAGCAAAAAATCCCCACATCACGGATTTTTTAACTGACACTCGGCCTGATTCTTGTGTTGGTGGAAAATTAATTCCTGCCAATTTTAGCATAAATCCTGCTAAATTGTAAATTGTGGCAATTCGATATAGTTCACATCAAACATTCACAAAGGCTTTCCTTTTACCAACACAGAACAGTTTTTTGTGTTTAGTTTGTTGTCCTTCCGCCGCACCTCCAATTAGCATGGTTGGCTACGTACGGTGTGAAAGTTCAATATACATACACGTTAGGCCCATTTTGTACATTTCGTATTTGCTCCCTGTGTATATATGGTATTTATGGTGTGTATTGTATGTTTTAAATCCAGTGTTGGGTGAGTTACCTTATTGTTAGTTATTGATTGCAATGTACTTTGATTTATGTTTTTAGCTTTGTCAAGTCCTTTCATCAGGCAACCGACTGCATATTCAAGTTTGCTGCACACGTTGTTTTCAACACGACGATCATGCATAACCTACATCAACACTTAGTAATTTGGAAGTGGAAAAATCATTGAACATGGGCTCCTGAGCTAATAGCTGTCATACCGGAGACTTGACAATTTTACTGGGCATCTTTGAAAAAAAGCTTCATAGCGCATCGGATTTTTCCAGTACAAATAAATATTCTGATTCTGAAATTTCCTCTTGGACCACTAAGCAAAACAAAGATTGGCTTTTGCAAAAAAGAAAACGCCACAAATGTTGTGAAGACTAACATAGTATGTTTTTGTCAATATGTCAATTGTAACACACTGGTGTCCGAACCTGTACCGTTTATGTTTAGGTCCTTCTGGCATAATAGACATACAGTAAAACCTTGGATTGCAAGTAACTTGGTCTGCGAGTGTTTTGCAAGACGAGCACATTTTTCAAATAAATATTCATTTGATAAACGAGCGAGGTCTTGCAATACGAGTAGTACGTGTATACGCTTTGTCTGCCGTGCGTCACGTGATCACAACTTATGTACGAGTGCTTTGGATTACAAACACGTTTCCGGAACGAATTACGCTCGCAATCCAAGGTTTTACTGTATGTCTCAATGGACCCTTGCCAGGCTCAACCTGCAGAGTAGGGACAATTCCTCAGGCTTTGGGGAGGGGGGGGGACCCCTGCTGGGAAGGCAGAGGGGGAATGCTTCACCGCGTGGGGGTAGGTGCCACTGACGGTGGTAGGGTCTCGTCATCGGCAGAGAAGAGAGCGGAGCCTCGCGTGGGCACTCTGGGCCACGTGGCACCGTCGAGTGACTCTTAACAGAAATGAACTGCTCTGTAAATAAACACGTCGCTCGACTGGAGTTAAATCAGCAACTGCAGATCGGAACTTTTTTTTGTTGCAACGATTCATTCCCAAACATCTGTAACTCGTAGGCAACCATGGGAAACTGGTGAACACTACTTGTAGCAAAAATACCATGCATGTGTGATTTCCCATGCACTTTCATTATTATTATTATTGCAGGTATTTGAAGGGGTTGATTTTCAGCTCTTTTTATGCAACTGTATACTAGCTCAACAACTTCCACCATGAAAGCCCAGGATCTCCAGACTCCTTCAGAAGGTGCCCTGCTTTGAGGCATTTGGTGAAAATGTGGATTAGTAGGAGTTTGGTGTAGGCGATTTCAGATTAGAGGGAGGCTGTGTTTTAACAACCCTATATTATGATGGTATGGCCTGACAGCACTCACAGCCATGACTGCTAGATATATCCTCGGTGTTCTCAGGTCGTGAACAGCAACTGTTCTTTGGCCTTGTCTACTTCTTCTCCAGCACCTAGTAAAGATGGCGAGGCTTGACCACACTCCCGCAGAGAGAGCTGGGCAGTCTTCCCTTTATCTATTTTTCTTTCATCACCTCGTCCTTCGATCTTCATCACGGACAATCAGAAGCTGACCAGGTGGGGCAGCACTTTCAGATCGGTACCGCACGTGTGCATGGCGCAATTCTCCTGCCTTCGACGACCGAATGCAATCCCGCCCTGCCTGCCGTGCCGTCCCCATGCAGGGACACGACGAGGGGAGTGGCAGGATGGCGCAAGCTTCTCAGACTTCTTCCATATTTCACGAAACCAAGCGCAATGGAGGCTGCCCCTCCCCCCCCTCTCCACCGCTGCCTCATCTGACACAGCCTGTTAGGGGGGGTCAGCCCTCTTTTATAGGTGCTGGCAGAGGATTGTAGGGCTGGCGAGAAAAAGAGTGCTTTTGCATGACCTGCGAGCACCCAGCAAAGAAACACCTGCCAGTTATGTCCGTGAATGCTGCCAAGGGCAGAACTAAATATTACGTATTCAAACTAATGACTGCCAAAGCATCCACGCTGCCAAGTGCTTCCGCAGTCGTTCGTTAACCCAAGGCCCAATCCAACCCAGTCGCTCCTCCGGGCACACAGACCTGACGAGTGTCGACTGGTGCGCGAGAGCTGGCATGAGGCACCGTCACTGCGTGGGGCTCGTGGGCTCCACGTGATGGTGATTGGCAGCAGCAGCCTGACCCTCGCGGCAGCAGCAGGAGCCACTGTCGGCGATGCCGCCGCCGCCGTTCGCTTCCATGCCGTGCAGAGGCCCCTCACTCAGCCGCTTGAGGAAACGAACGATTTTCTCAATGGTCGCGTCCTGGTACTCGTGGGACCATCTGCGTGGGTTTAGGGGTCGCAGCAAACAGGGTGGGGCGAGGTGGGGGCGACGTTGGGCCAGGGTCGGGGTTAGGGGGCGGTAAACAAAAGCAAAAGGGTCAGCGCCGTCACAAGACTGCGGATCGAGGTGGACACACGGACAGCTGGTTCACGTCAGGATTTCAAAAGTACGAACTATGTGTAGTGTCATACATGTGAAAATACAATATTGACAAATATTTCATTTCCGTCAGCCGCGTCTTATCCACTGCTGAATTATGGCCTCCGCATGTCATTACCGTCCCTTGTGGACTTGAGCTAATCCCATCCATCCCCCTGTGAGTCACCCTCTTAAGCATCTTCCCTCCTTTGGCTGCCATGCTATGACCAGTCATCGCCACCGCCACCTACCACGGCTTTTATACGCAACACAAACGCGTTTAAACATTCCATCTCCGCTGTGACCATCCTCTCGGATGTGTTCCATTCCTTGACTACTCACTACGTTAATTCTAAACTATCGACCATCAGTCCGTCTCGCAATGTGCCCCTGCCCAAGCCCATTTACTTTTCTCAAGTCAATACGATGTCTCTAACTTGTGGTTGTTTTCTGAGCCATGGATTCGCTCGACTTCTAAGCCACCAGGTCGGTACTCTGTATAGGTATGGCTAGTAGGGTACTCAACAGAGGTCGCAAACGGGTTTTGACTCCTTACCCGTACCCGTACCCGGCCGGGTACGGGTAGGGTAAGGGTATCGGGTACCTGATTGCGACCTCTTGGATGAAGCCATGTTGCAGGCGCGGGTGGGTTAATTCTAGGAACTTGAATTGTGAGAAGAGACAAGACGTTGGGAAATGAGTGACAAACGGTTACTCACCAGTGACTCACGGCCTACCCGTACCCAGCCGCACCAGGGTCGCAAACGGGTACCCGGCCGGGTACGGGTAGCCGGGTATCGGGTAGGGTACGGGTATCGGGTACCCGGTTGCGACCTCTGGTACTCAAACGGGGCCGATGCCACGCGTGCATTTGGACCGCGCTACCAGCCCACTGCTGCCGCCGATGCTGGCTCTCTCACTTGATGCCGTTGAACTTGAGAATTCCACGCATGTCCTCGGGAAGGCTGCTGGGGTCCGGCCACTCAAACTTGTCGTACACGGGAACGATGTTCTTCTTGGACTGCAGTGCCGTCACTATTTCCTGGATGGATAAAAACACCGAGCGGTGAGAGGAACTCTCACACCTGTGGTCCCTGTGCGATGCGACTTCCATATCCCTCGCAAGTGCAAACACAACCGTGCGTTTCCGTGTGACGTTGCCGTGTGCAATCTCAAATTGAGTATTTAGAAGGCAAACGTTCAAAGTTAGAGCATGACGCTGGCCCATAACGGCCTACTCATGTCAGACTGCGTCCCGGGATCTCCAGCATCTACTGTGAGGAAACAGACAGCGCGCATTTTAATACACCTGCAGTACTAACCAGGGTGGCCTGCCGGATTTGAACCACGAACCTCGGAAACACCTCCGATCAGCACGGTTGGCTACGCACTGCGCGAAAGAAGTTCAACATTTAACATACGTACATAAACAAGCGTCTTAACGCGATGCCGCAGGGCCATGTGACCACCCGATAAGTGGCGTCGCGTGCCGCCGCGCTGTAGGTTACCTTGTGCACCCAGTCCTTGTGGTCCACGTCCTGCATGCACTTATCAAGGGCGTTGGGCGTGAGCACGAGCAGGAAGCTCTGAGCGGCGCGCACGCTTGCCAGCAGCTTCTCCTCGAACTTGCCGGATGTGAGCTTCTCCACGTCCAGGAAGGCGCTGAAGCCGTGCAGCTGCAGGTGCACCTTGAGCAGGCTGCACACGGTGGCGGCGCGAACACGCATGGACAACGCAGCGGGCCACTATGGCTCCCCCAAACATTTCCTCGTGTAGGTTTCCCTCGCTCTGTGCGGCGCTGGTAAAAATATGCGTTCCAAGAAAAGGGCTCACAAAGCGATACCGCATGAGACGGCTGCCTGCCGAGTGGCGCATATGGTACACGCAAAATTTCGTTCCGCGTCCGACCACATAGCCGCGTATGAGTGAATCGAATCGCATAATATAGCGGATTTTGGGGAGAAATTGTTTAGCGGCATGGATGCGAAATCGCACAAACCGTACCCGCATAAAGTAATGGGAACCTGTATTGCTATCCAATTAAGTTGGACTGTCGAAATCAATTAAGAAACAGTGATCACCTTTGCAATTATAATACTATTTGTATTCATATAGCTCAGGGGTCGCATGCGGCTCTTTAAGAACTGCTTCATGATGTTATTTATTAAGGACCACTGTCTTAGACTCGCATGCATCGCGGCTCTTGAAATATTTTTTTTGACCAAAGTCGAAAAAAAATGGCTTTTCTTATTATTTCGGGCGCCATGGTGGCGAGCTGTTAAATACCTTGCCTGGTATCCAGGAGGTTGTCTGCATGCTCTCCCCATAGTCATGTGGATTTTTCTCCAGGTCCTTCGGTTTTTCCATGCACATTTAGAAACATGGGTTTAGAGTAAATTGGCTGCTAGAAATCTCCACGTAAGCCATTTCGTTTGGCTATCACTTGTGGCCAGGTCTGAAAAAGAGCTAAAGAGCTCAGTGGGCCTTTCCTGGTAATATATTTTGAAAAATGTTAGTTTGATTTTGTCTTCTTGGTTCTTTCAGTAAAGTCACGTAGAAGGGAAATAATAAAATAATAAAAATAAAACATTATAAAATGCAATTCTCACGACGTTTCGGCCACAACGCAAGCTGACGCTGTCTTTCCGACAGCCCTGTTCTTCACCTGAGGACGGCTGCTTGCGTTGTGGCCGAAACGTCGTGAGAATTGTATTTTATTATGTTTTATTTTTATTATTTCCCTTCTACGTGACTTTCCCAAAAGAACCAAGAAGATGAATCCCTTCAGTCACGAAAGTTTGATTTTGGTTACCGATCCCTTGGCATAGCCAGAATAGACTTATCCAGACTTGCTCGGTTGCCCGGAGGCCCGCTCACCTGGCCATCTGCGAGCCAGTGGCGCGTCGGTAGCTGATGAAGACGTCGGGCTTGTCGCCGCTCGCGGGGCTCTCGCCCCCGCTGCTCACCGGGGAGCCCACGTCCGCAGCAGCTGGTACGTTTCAAAACAGACACGCAAACACGTGCACGTCATGCAGGCACCATCAATGGTTCCTCAAGACTCTCACTGTGATTCTCTTGCCTGAGGTCACCGTCTAAAGACGTTTCGGTAAAAATGTGACCAAATGACGGGCGGCACTGATACAGATGTTGACAACCGTGCACAGGTTTCGTTCTTATTAGGACTCATCGGTATAGTATAGTCGCCAATGCTCACTGCTGAAAAGTCTGCTTCTGGAAACCATATACACCTGACCCTCGGTCTACATGGGTTATTTCTGCCTAAACAAGATTTGTAGACCAACGTCTGACCCTAGCCGCTGGTATAAGTTTAGTTTTGGCCTTTCGACCATATTTCCACAGTAAAAAATAATTACGGGCAACGATAGCTGACGACGATGGCGGTGGGCATTATGCAAACATGCGATTTAGTTTTATTGCAATTGCGTCACCGGATCACAGGCATGCACCACCACGCCTGGCCAGGCCTCCGGACGCACGCACAGACGCACGCACACACGCACGCTTGTTACCCCTGGCGGCGGCGGCGAGGATGGTGGCGCGGTGCACGCCGTTGTCGACGCAGCAGTCGTCGGGTGAGTTGCGCGTCCGTGAGCTGCGCCAGGAAGGGCCGCGTGACGCCGGCGCGTAGCAGCCCGTAGGTGTAGCGGCGGAAACCGGGCCCCACGCGGTTCAGCCACTCGCACAGCTTGCTGCCATCGCACGCGCTGTAGTCCGCGTACGTCTTAAGCTCCGCCAGCTCCCGCAGGAACCTGACACCGGGACACGTCGGCAGGTTGCGGCAGTCACAAGGCCGCGTCGCCTCACCGAGCGAAACTCGCCTGCAGCTTCGTACTTTTTACGCAATTATAACATTTATTTGTTATGCAACGATGATCCCGTTTGGCCAGCTGGATGTATGTTAAACTTATTTCGCACTGTATGTCGCCAACCGTGCTAATCGGAGGTGCAGGGGAAGGACAACTAAACACATACAGCAGCTGCAAAGTGTATATAGCTTGATTTGAAGCTTTCGTGACTGCAGGAATCCATACTCTTTGGTTCTTTCGGTAAAGTCACGTAGGTAGAAGCAGTTTCTTCTTGCTTTGGTTGTCCCGCCTGATGACGATTGCTTGTGTTGCGATCGAAACGTCGTGATCTATTATTTTCTACCTACGTGACTTTACCGAAAGAACCAAAGAGTATGTATATAGCTTGTACTGACAAATCCATATATTTCTCCCTATCTCAATAAAAATACGTTACTTTTTACGATGTAGATGCACACATTCAAATGCTCTTAAATAGTTATTTTATTTTGCACGATTTTCTACTGACGATATTTTATTGTATTTCGATGAGCATCTCCTTCACTAAAAGAGACTCACTTCTGCAGATGTCTGGTTACAAATGACAAAGAACTGCAGTTACGGTGCCTCTCCATGAGCGCGGGATTTACCTCCTCCTCGTGACGCTCTCCTTCATCGCAAAGTCACCGCTCAGATCCTGTTCGCTCAGCAGCAACAGCAAATCCCCGTCCACTTGGAGCTCCTGAAAACATGACGGACAGCCGTTTTCGGCTCAAGTGAGCTGAAAGCTCTTCTGAAAGTCTGCCAACACGGGCAGAGATAGGAAGGCAGTGAAGGAAAGTGACAGTGGGAGAGAGAGAGAGAGGGGGAGAGGTGCCGGCAGATGTAATAAACTCTGAATAACTGTAAAACAAAGTGTCCGCACGGGATGGCACCTCGCTACTTGTCGGAGCTGCGCTTGCCCATTGCAAAGGGCCTGCAAACGACAGTACTTGAGATATGCTGCTGTCGGTGGCCATGTCGCTAAACTGAGAATGTACGTACGGTGAACGTGCTTTCCTAATCGTGACCCCGTCGTGTGGAACATTCGCACAAAACAAGAGCAAGGACAGCCGCTTCAGGCGTGACCTGAAGATGCAGTTCCTGTCCACAGTGCAATAAGAAGGCACCGCGCACTAGATGCGCTTCAGCATGATTTAGCGTTCCTTAATGACTACAGCAGAAATCCAATAATCCCCCGTGATACGTGGGAGGACCATATCGTGAATCAGATTATGGGAGATTCCAAAGAACACAGGATGAGATGTTACTATCCTTTGTGCAAGCACTTCCAAGAGTTCATGAACAGTGAGCCTGGTGAAATTTGGGGAGCGCATCGTCAGTAGTGACCCTTTGGTTCCTAGGGTGTTTCGGCCTTTCATACTATACACCCTCCCCAAAGGCGGCCAGCGACAGGGTGATCAATCCTACGCTTGCGTCCCATTCCCAATTAGTCATAGGAGTTGCCTTGTTGTTGGTAGCCAACATCCCATGGGACTATGCATGGCAGGGGCGTCCTCCTCCCTGAGTCAAGCATTGTTGACTGCATACCTCCTGGCCCTCTCACTTTGGGGCCCAGCTGGGGTCTTTCCTCTTCATCCAGAGCCACTGACTGCTGCCTTCTGCCGCCTCCGAGGAAATAACCGCTCTCGGAAGAGAGATCAAGATATCCGAAATACTTTAACGGGTTTCATGATCAACAGTCCTGCGAACCGCGGGCAATACGCAAATAACAAGAGTTTGCAGATTATTGGAGCGCAGATTTTTTGTAGCTCCGCCGGATTTATATTACATGAGTGTAGAAAGGGGGGGCGGCAGGAGTTAAGCGAGGGGAACGGTGGAGAACGAGAGAATGTGCGAGTGGCGGCAGCAAGGATCACCTGGAACAGCGGAGCGTACTTGCAGAACCCGACCTGCCGCAGCCAGGCCTGCACGTGTGTCGGTCTCCACGATGGCACGGTGGTGGGGAGGCGGACGGGTGGCTCCTCTCCCAGGATGGTTAGTGTGCGGTGAGCGAGACGGCACGCCGTGCCACTGGAAGAGTAGCTCACCAGCCGCTTGAGGCTCTGCACCACACCGATCTCCTGGAAGAGCTGTCGGGGTTGCACCGCGACCGGTGACCAAAAACATCGCATCCGCACAGATAGATGTTTTTATTACTTATTCCGCGAGCCACACATTGCAATGCAGTACAATAGAGGACATCCTTGCAGCCAACAGATGTGAATAGATGGATCAGAGCAAGGCCCGATGGCTGGAATATTCTTTTGTAGAAACACTGGCTCAAAAGTCAACATTCCCAAACTCAGAGGCTCCGTGCGTGACAATTACCAGATGTGAGGTCACAAAAAATGATCGATTTTTAAACAAGTTGTCTGATGTTTTCATTCAGTTTTTTTTGTCTTCTTAAATAAGCTCAATTCAAATGAGTAACAGCTATTGCTTATTTTTAAATAAAATGGTGTGTGTATAAATAGAGAACTTTCATCGTTCAATGTACATGTAATCGTGTGTTTTGTCGATTTTATCTATTGTTGGTTTAGTTTAATCAACCGCAGAGCGTATCCAACATTTGGCAGAGCAGACGACGGCGCTCCATACTTTGTGAGCAAGCCAAAAATTGTTGGGAATAAACAACTACAGTGATTGTATGCAGTTGACAAGCACAGATAATCAATCAAACATTATTTAGGATAGCGCCCTTCACAAGAAAATTGTCAGAGCGCTTCCCAGATGGACACATTAAAACGTATACAACATTGCATCAATACAAATTTAAATGACACGACGCAATATTCGTTAAACTTAATTAAAAAAAACATCAATACACTCCCCGAGTGAGTAAACAGGCCCCATAAACTGACCATCAAATAGTGGTGTCAACCTGACAGGCAGATCAACTCATGGGGATTTGTATCAAACCGAAGAGATGGGTCTTCAGGAACCGTTTAAATGTGCACGGACTACCAGCTTCCCTTATGTCAACGGGGAGGTTGTTCCACAACCTGGGAGCCAGACAATGGAATGAGCGCCCTCCCGAGGTAACACATCTCAACCGAGGCGTCACAAGAAGGCTCAGGATCTAAGACTTCTGGAAGGAACATTTCTCTCCAAAAGATCAGAGACATAAACAGGACCTGTGCCGTCCCAAGACTTTAAATGTTAACAGCAGGATTTTAAATGTGATCTGGAAGTGGATGAGATTATACATCAGTTCCACCCCCCCCCCCCAAAAGCATGTTAATTTACGTGGAACAAAGATTGCCTGCTGTGGTTTAGAAAATACGCTTCTCAGCGACCACAGGCGACATCAGACTGTGATGCACGAGCGGAACGGAGAGTAATCGACAACGCTCGTGGGCGCTACCCTTCGCCAGCGCCAACGCAACAGACCGCACGACATCCGCGCTCAATTCCGTCACCGTCAGCCGCTGCAGCTGCTGCAGTGCTCACAGTGATGGAAACTACGGCGGATAATAGTGTAAGCTATATTCCACTGGCTCAACAATAGGAATCGCATTTTTTGTATATTAGTCTGTTACTTTTAAACGTCACCGTGGAAATCGAGCAATGAAATCAGCTCCCGTGCAGGTGCTGGGCGGATTGTTACATCGCAGGGCCATCGTGAGGGTTAATAGCTGCTTGGGTTGAGGCCTTCACCCGGCAGTGGATTGAGGTGGATGATGAATAACGTTGCCTTCTGAGTCACACGAGGTAACATCATGAGGTGCCTGATGCGACGTGGCACGCCTGCCGATGGCGTCGCACGACGATGTCGTTGGGAGACGTACGTATGGCTGTGCGTGACGTCCCCGCTCGAGCTGAAATGGCTTTTCTATTCGGCATTGTAAAAAAAAAAAATTGTGGGAAATAATTTTTTCATCAATTTGGTCGATTTTCAATCGGGGTGAATCTTTCAAAGCAATACGACTGTGCACAGAAAAACGTCATTCGCGTTGGATCATCTTTACGAGATCATCGTGACTTCATGTTGCCAACCAAGATGGACGGACAGACGGGCAGAGAAAATAGCATTAACGCTTTTTTATCCTTAGCTGGTGAACCTTAAACACAGTTCTCATCTCAACGATACGCACCTAGGATGTGCATCCCAAGCTGTCCAACAAGTGGGATTGAGCTTCATAATGATGAAAAGCATGAGAGTTATGTACAGTAAGGAGCTCTCTAGCGAGGTCAACTGCACTGACATGTTGAGTTTATTTGATTTGTTGCATAGATGAACCCATTCAGCTAGTTGCCTGGCTATATTACAAGGGAGATCCGCGATACTCGTATTCGCGGGTATGACAGCTGAAACTGCAGTGACCACAACATTAGGCGCACGGCAAGCGGCCGCGACACGCGCAGCAATCGCAAGGGCTAGTTGCTTTGCGGCTTGCGTCGTAGACAAAACGGAACAGCTCAGCGACGCCACCGCGCACCTCGCCGTGCTGCTGCTGCGTCTTGATCATGGCCTCGACGCAGAAGTAGAACGCGGCGACGCACTGCGGCTCCACACGCGAGCTGTCCAGCAGCGGCAGCAGCTGCTGCAGGTACTGAACGGTGCGGCCCTGCATGTCGTCGCGCGAGGTCAGCAGCTCCTGCGCGTGCTTCTCCGGGTCCAGCGAGGCGATGAACGGCTCCACGAGCTCCAACGTGCCCGAACTCAGCACCTGGGTGGCACACGGAGACATCAACCACCCCCCCCCTCCACCTTCCGCAAGTCGACCCCCCCACGGCCACCAACACCCAAGTGTGGTGGCCGTCGACAATCACACGCTACTGCACCGCATCAGTGCTTAACACGCAGCTAGGGAAGACAGCTCGAATTTGACAATATTTCAGATTGAAATGTTATCAGTTTCGCTCTTGCATTTTTAGCTCGCGAAACACACGAGCGCGATGTGATTGGGAGCGCTGTACAAAAATCCCCTTTGTTAGCCGTCATGCTATTTCTCCCCTTTTTTTAATGAAGTGCTTTATATGAACACTTTTAATCGGCAGATCCTGAATTGCTAATCAAGCCGAAAGATTTTATTCTCCGAGAGCACGGGCAAGATATTACTGGCTCTCATTAGGCTCCACATGAACTGCAGTCGAGCTTGTAGTTTTGATTTAAAGCTTCAGTGACTGCAGGGATTCATATTCTTGGTTCTTTCGGTAAAGTCACGTAGAAGGGAAATAATAAAATAAAAAATTTCAATATATAAAACAATAAAATTCTCACGACTTTTCGACTGCAACACAAGCAATCATCATCAGGTGTGAAATCCACACGGGGGATGATGATTGCTTGTGTTGCAGTCGAAACGTCGTGATAATTTTTAATGTTTTATATTAATATTATTTTATTATTTCCCTTATACGTGACTTTACTGAAAGAACCAAGAATATGAGCTTGTAGTTACAAAGCCTGTCAAGGTAAATGAACACGGAACTAAAAACAATGAACACTGAACTGCATCTGAAGACAGCCACTGTAAATTAGGAAATTCCAAAAAATGACCAACAAATTACTCAATTGCTATCACACGCAGCAATCGTCGGACCAAACTGGCAGTCTAATGACCACTTGCAGGCCAATGCCGAGTCACCTTGTGCCAGAACACAGGGACAGCTGCCACTGGCGGTGCTCTTCGAAATATTTGAAATGAGGTGTTTACGTGAAGCGCGTTTGAATTGCCGAGTCGTTTGAGCGCCATATAAAATGCAAAGGTAGGCTTTGCTGGGTAAACAAGAATAACAAGAGTAAATAAAAACACAACTAATAATTCTTCTTCTTGGTTCTTTCGGTAAAGTCACGTAGAATGTAAATAATAAAACAATAAAAATAAAACATAATAAAATAATTCTCACGACGTTTCGGCCACAACGCAAGCAGCCGTCCTCAGGTGGAAAACAGGTCTGTCTTCAGACTCTGAGGACGGCTGCTTGCGTTGTGGCCGAAACGTCATGAAAATTATTTTGTTTTATTTTTATTATTTTATTATTTACATTCTACGTGACTTTACCGAAAGAACCAAGAAGATGAATCCTTGCAGTCACGAAAGCTTTAAATCGAAACACAACTAATAATTACGCACGAGCGACCCGACACACCTTTTGCTGAACCTCCTTGTTGTTGACGAGCACGGCGATGGCGAGGCTAGCCGACAGACGCACGCGCTTGTCGGCAGCTGAACGCCAGCGGGAAGAGCCACTCGGCCGCCTTCTTGTCCACCATGCGCCGGTGGTTGTCGGGCCCGCCGTACATGGCGCAGTTGGCGATGGCGGCGGCGCAGTCGCGCAGGACGTCCACGTCCAACAGGCGGCACCAGAAGAGCACGGCGTCCAAGCCGCCTTCGCACACCAGCAGCGAGCACGTCTCCTCTGAGTTCTTGAACATGTGCTGCAGGATGGCGGCGGTGGCGCGCACCGTGCGCGCGTCCTCGCGCTCCTTGGCCAGGCCCAGCACGGCGCCGAGCCCAAAGCGCGCGATCCACTTCCCTGCCGCACGTTTCCGCAGCCCAAGGGCAGGCACCAGCAGAGGCAGCATTAGGGTCAGCAGCACCATCACCATAAAAATTAGCTGCAACATCATCATCATCAGTAAGATCAGCTGCACCATCACCATAAGAATTAGCTGCACCATCATCATCAGTATGATCAGCAGCACCATCATCATAATCAGTAAGATCAGCTGCACCATCACTATAAGAATTAGCTGCAACACCATCAGTATAATCAACAGCACCATCATCAGTAAGATGAGCTAAACCATCCATCAGTAGGATCAATAGCACCAATAGGCAGGCCTTGTTTGGTTTAATGAGTCATGAAGTGCACCGAGGCAGTGAGGAATCATTCACTGCTAACAAGGCCAACAACTGGTCGAGCAAAATATTGAGCATGACTTTTTACTACAAAATGTATCAAGGCAATGATTGTCACAAATCCATCAACGTTGCAAAGACCTCGTACCTCCTCCATCTGTGCAATGTCTCATACATCTTCCATTTCCTTGTTTCAGCTGCTGCCGAGACCCGCATCCGTGCTCTCATCACATCCTGACTCAATTACTGTAACTCTCTCTGCTATGATCTTCCCAAATCCTTCACCTCCAAAATTCAGATGATCCCAAATGGTAACTTAAAATGCAGGTTTTTCATATTTTTTCATATTTATTTTTGGGTTAGGCTACATGGTAGTTTTATGCCAAAATTCTTGTAATTGTCTTGTTTACTACGATTATTTATTCGTGCCAATGTACTGAGCAATAAAGCTCGTCACTGGTGGCTTGAGACTTTTCAAGACTGTTGCACATTGTTGCAAACAACTGTTGCACATTGTTGCAAACAACTGTTGCACATTGCTGACTCGTGTTAAACCGAACTTTGATGTTATGTTTGTTTAGGATCCTAGCAATTTAACCCGCGGTGCCTGCAGTTAAGTTTTACAGATGTAGTTTTATAGCTTTAACTATACCGTAAATGGTTCAGAGGCATCTGTCTAGATGCCCTTGTAGTCTGTTGTTAGCCTATAGCTGTTATTTTTATGCTCGTTTGACACGTTACATTTCTACTTCTATGTGCTCTGCATGGGACACTCTTCTCGCTCGGTGCATAAGCATCCTTGATGAGGATGTTCTTCTGCTGTGGATGATGGTGTGACTTCGCATGTAGGTAAACACCAAGTGATACTACAAGACTTCTCACCCACACCCATAAATCGTGACCACATTACCCCGATATTCCGATCCTGTCACTGGCTCCCAATTCAGGCCTGGCTCAATTTTATGATCACCCTTGGAATCTTCACGATTGCCTACGGACTAGCCCTTACCTACCTCTTACTTCTCACTCTACACCTCTTCACACTCTCCGCTACAGCAACCAAGGGATCTATTCAAGTTTCAAGTGAACCTTTTTTCTGTGGGAAGTCGTTCTTACTGTGCTGCTCTTGCAGTTTAGAACTTCCCCACCCCAGCTTTCCATCCTGCCAACTCCCTGTTGTCATTGAAGTCCAAGTGTAAGAACTTCCTCTTCTTCTCGGCTGAAAGAATACATACAGTATCTGTGACTTGTTTTTCCTTCCCATGCACATGGCCGACTGTATTTACATTATTGGTACCTCATTTGCCAGTAAAAAATATGATCATTGGTTTTTTACCCTTTTATCTGGCAACAAAACTGACACCTTTTTTTACGAGGAGTCATGTTTGCATAGACCACAATACCTGCAGTCATAATGCAAATAAAAAAACATAACTCTGATAATGTATGCACTGTCCTTGAAGTTGATTGGTTCACACCCGAGACAGCTTTCCTTAGAGCCTAGTGTCATTCTGCCTTTTGGCGTCATCTGGTCCAACCCATGTGAGACTAGGCTCTAAGGAAAGCTGTCTCGGGTGTGGACCAATCAACTTCAAGGACAGTGCATACATTATCAGAGTTATGTTTTTTGTTAGCATTATGACTGCATGTATTGTGGTCTATGCAAACATGACTCCTCGTAAAAAAAGATGTCAGTTTTGTTGCCAAATAAAAGGGTAAAAAAAACAATTATTGTATTTACATTGTCTTGAGATACAGTTGCATTTATACGCTACACACATCGAAAACTGTATTGTACAGTATGCTTCCAATTAGGGACGTATTACAAGCATTGGCCCTGGCGAGGCCACTTGATGAAAATACGCTTGGCTGGCTTTAGAACCCCATTATTCCTCGTTGGCCTTGTGCCTTTTCTAGTACAGTATAGTGTCGCTTAAATTCCCGTGTGCTTATGGCCAGATTCCAACAATCACTCCTGACATTATTTTACAGTTTTATACTTTCACTCAACCTCAGTTGTAAAACAAATTTGGCGAGCCAGTCCAGTATACGAGAAGATTGTTCTCGCTAACAATGATCAAATCGCTCACAATTAGAAACCGAGAGTGCATTCACTTATACAGCAGATTTTTTGTTTATCTGTAGATAAGCAATTCCACAGCAAGTAAGCTATTAATGAGGGTAGCATCAACTATTAATGTTTAAAATTATTGCACCGTTATCGCATTGGCAGACAACACGTCCCAGCTTAGAGGGCAAGCAATGGAATGTGCAGCTGCTGCTGCGATGATGGGTTTGTAGTTTTATTTTATCACCGACTCACAGGCCGGCGTGTCTGACAGTGCAGATGACTGTGGATGACGTTAAACTCGACCGCGAACCAAGCCACTGCGCTGCCTGCCTGTATGAGTGCACCAACCTCACAATGAAAAAGAGGAGGAGGTGGCCAACACCAACCGTAAACATCCTTGCTTTTCAGAAACTATCATGCCATGGCCTATGTAATCACTTGCCACGAGTAACTCGGTCCAATTAATAGCTGAACCACAGCAGAGTTATACAATGCTCATTAGTGAGGCACGACGTCGTAGTTATTATACAGAACTAGGACAACGGCCACCAACACAGATTTGTCAAGCACTGTCCTCTGTTAAATTCATCCAAGGAACTGGCAAACAAGTCCCACACTCCCAGTTAACCTCGCACTCCCCTCGTTATCACTCGCACACTCCTAGCAGAGGTCGCAATCGGGTACCTGATACCCGTACCCTACCCGATACCCGGCTACCCGTACCCAGCCGGGTACGGGTACGGGTACCGGTTTGCGACCCTGGTGCGGCCGGGTACGGGTAGGCCGTGAGTCACTGGTGAGTAACCGTTTGTCACTCATTTCGGGTAGGGTACGGGTAGCGTACGGGTACACGTACCCGGCCGGGTACGGGTACGGGTACCCATTTACGACCCTGGTGCGGCCGGGTACGGGTAAGGAATCAAAACCCGTTTGCGACCTCTGACTCCTAGTCAGGGGGTTGGTTTTCATGTGCGGTTTGGGTGCACAGAAAGAACATTTGAAATCAGTTACGGTTAAATCGGTTAAAATGAGTTTGAAAGGTTCAGTTCTGGCTTACTGTTTGTGTAAAGTGGTTTGAACCACTTCACATTTGCACATTTGGTCTAAATTAGCTAAATTAACACCTTCCGTGTAGCTTACATTGCAGGCTACACGGGAGGTCTTTGTTTAGCAATTTGTTTCCAATTCTTAGACAGATGTGTTTGAATTGCTTCAAGAGGGCGTGCTGCCCTCTTTCTCCCTGCCCTCGACGCAAGTGGCCATGTTGTTTCCGTCGTGGCACCGCGCCTTAAGACGTCAACGTGCGAGCAAGCACCTGTTGTCGGTCGTAAGGACCTGCTGCAGAAGCTCGGCCGCCCCGGGCCTCACGTGAGGCCTGCACGAAGCGAGCAGCGATAGCAGCAGCTCGAGTCCCCCCTGAAGCCGCAGTGTGGAGCACAGCTCCGTGGCCACTTCGCGGCCCACCACGGGCGTGGCCCACGCCTCCTGCAACGTGGCCTCCAGCCCAGCCAAGGTGGCCACCTCCTCCTCTGCCACGTCCTGCCTCGGCCGCCCGTCGCTCTCTCCCACCGGGGAGTCGGGCGTCGCCAGCTCCTTCAGACGCCGCACGCCGTCGACGAGCCGCGGCAAGAGTCGCTCGAGCTCCCGGCGGCCATCGTCGGCGTGCTGGGAATCCGGGTCAGGCGCCTGCATGGCGGACGGCGCTGGGCTGCGGTGCGGGGAGCTTTGCTCGCGAAGCTGCTGGTGGTCGGGAGGAGGCGTGCGGGATGAGGACGTGGGCCAGCAGGAGCACAGCTTCGTGTGCGAGGAGCGGCCCGACTTCTTCATCTGTGTCAGGGTTGCCTCGTTGCAGTCGGGGGCCGCGTGGCCGAGTGGTCAGCACACCCGCCACAGAGCCAGTTCACACAGGGGTGACGGTTCAATTTCAGCCACGGGTGACAGGTTATTTCTGTGGGGAAACGATGAGGTGCCAAGTAATTAACACGAGGTGGATGTTATGCCATTGCCAGTGCAAGCCACTGCCTTCATGAATAATATCGAAAATACCAGGTATAAAATAATGCAGCTTCAATTGTTAAATTCAAGTTGAATCACGTGAGAACTCAAGAGACAAGGACAGTCTCAATTGCAAGAGTGACATGGAGTTGCTTAATTATTATTTCCTACTTTAAAACGCGTTGTTGTCAAGCCATTGCCAAGTCATTGGAAAACAGCTTCCCCTCATTGTGTCATTCATGAGGGTTGTTTGATCATATCTCACCACACTGGCCAGTGCACGTTGGTGACGAAGAGGCGGTGCAGAACCACTTCAGATTTCACTTGCCACTGATGTTTGCTGTTGCCGGGAATTCATCAGTTTCATAGCGAATTGTGCTAATCACTGCACCACCACTCCCCCCGACAAAATGAAGCCATGTCCATCTTCCACTGCCCACTCAGATTCAAGAACACAGGATGAGATGTTACTATCCTTTGTGCAAGCACTTCCAAGAGTTCATGAACAGTGAGCCTGGTGAAATTTGGGGAGCGCATCGTCAGTAGTGTACCTAGTGTACCTTTGGTTCCTAGGGTGTTTCGGCCTTTCACACTATACACCCTCCCAAAGGCGGCTAGCGACAGGGTGATCAATCCTACGCTTGCGTCCTATTCCCAATTAGTCATAGGAGTTGCCTTGTTGTTGATAGCCAACATCCCATGGGGCTATGCATGGCAGGGGCGTCCTCCTCCCTGAGTCAAGCATTGTTGACCGCATACTAAACAGCAGACAACCCTAACCACATTGCTCTTGTACAGGAGATGTATTGTCTGCTTATTCGCATATTCTCCACAACGACGCCAATTATTCTATTCCTGCTAGTGTATTATAAAAATGTGCGTCAAACTAGACCCATGTCTTAGAGAGCATGACCTTGCCTATAACCTCTGCCAGTTCACCAGCATTGATTCAAGCAAGTATGACTACTTATGAGACATTGCATATCGGTCCACAGCGTTTTCATGTACTGTATATCAATTAATGCTGCTTAACACGTGCACTCCCAGAAGGCCGTGGGTCTGATGGTTGTGTAAAAATTCGGTACAGTACTTTAATTTTGTTTTTACGTGGAGACAGAATTCCAAAGGAGACATTCAAACCTGTAAAACCATACGGTTCACCCGTATTCTTGTACAGGGAAATTGAGTTTCCAGATCCATACGGCGTAGAGCCGTTTCAATACGGGCAAACATTTTGATGGGAATTTGTAGGATGAACGTTGAGATTTATAAGGGCACGGGGTGACCAATAAGGTCTGAATTGGTCTCTAATAAGGTAGGCAACTGATAAGGGTTCGACAGGTATGGACATTATTTATTTTCTTACTGACATGCACAATGATGCAAATTATTACTTATCTTATACATGTGGGCCAACACTAACCCTAACCCCTAACCCTAACCGATACCCGGCCGGGTACGGGTAGCCGGGTATCGGGTAGGGTACGGGTATCGGGCACCCGATTGCGACCTCTGCATTAACATGCTAATCTCTCACATTAACATAGCCACCTCGGGCGCCCGCCGTGGAGGCCGCTCAACGATCTTACATTATCATGCAAATTTTTACTGGGCAGCCCTTTGATTGGTGGGAAAACCCACCACCGTCACGGTCGCTTCCCACCACTTGCATTATCATTGGCTGCTGACATTTTGGCTACGCCCATTTCAAACCTTTATAAACAGTTTGCCTTGGAAGCTAAGCCCCCCTTTTCCTGAAGACAACCGCTTGTGTTGCGATCAAAACGTCGTAGTTTTTTATTTTCTTTGAACCTCTTTACGTGACTTTACCGAAACATCCAAAGAAGATAAAGAATAATTATTCGTGTAGTTGTCGACACATCCCCCCCCCCCCCCAATATTCAAATATGCTCAAAATGTCCCCCACAATATATTGCTATAAACAATTGCTACGCTATGTAAATAAAAACAACAATTTACTTAACCTTGGCCACAATATCTGGAATTGTCTTCATATAAATCAATGCATTGATTTCAGTTTTTTTATTGTGGTTATGGTTCTACTTTATTAATCCCTAATCTCTGCAAATACATACGATGAAACAAGAAATGGTAAAAACAAAAGTAAAAACAGAGCAATGTAATACAATACACTATTAGATATTATTGTCAAAAATAACTAAATAAAGCCCATCCCATGTGTTAGTGAATTTTTAAATAATTTAGGCAGGAAATTAGTTTAAAATTTTAGATTATTTTTCTGGGTTGGGACCCCCAGACACCCTGGATGATTTGGTCCCCCCCCCCCCCAATGTTGACTCCATGGCTACAGCCTTGCTGTAAACTCTAGTTGCAGGGCGCGCATGTGGCGTTCAGGTGATGCTCGCAGGCGTTATCCCTCGAACGTTGCCACTTCTAAACAACGCAAGACAACGCAGTAACATTGGCCGGATCAATCATCTATCTTCTGGCGTTTAGTAACGGGGCTGGTTACGCTCAAAAGCATTCGTAACGACGCAGACATCCGCACAGCGTTGACGGTACAATGATCGGGAGCTGTTGTTTGAACAAGATACACTTCCAAAGGAGGCGCATCAAATGAACAAATACGCACGTGTCAATGATGATGATGTTGATGATGGTGGTGATGATGATGTTAGTTAGTTAGAGAGCGGCTCTTCTTACCGTTACCGCCCGCAGCGCTGCGGCCGGGAAGGATGCACTGTAGCGAGACGTCATGGGCCCGGCTATAAATAACCAGGCTAGGAGGGGAAGGGAAAAAAACCTTTTCCTTTGACGCTTTCACTGGTGTGGTGGAGCTTAACTCGGACAACATTTACCTTCGCCGCTAGATCCTGGCCACCAGGTGGGGTTAGTGAGCCGGGACACGATCCGCACACCGCCCCCGGTGGTATTAAATCACGCCAAAATAACGAGACGTTTTGTTCGAATTCGGTATACTGTAGGTGTTAAAATATAAAACAAATCAATATTTCAAGAGCAGTCCTTAATGAGCCGCAGGTTGCCGACCACTGTCCATGGTGAACTGGACTTCCATGGTGAACTGGACTTCCATGGTGAACTGGACTTCCATGGTAAACTGGACTTCCATCGTGAACTGACTTCCATGGTAAACTGGACTTCCATGGTAAGCTGGACTTCCATGGTGAACTGGACTCCCATGGTAAACTGGACTTCCATGGTAAACTAGACTTCCATCGTGAACTGACTTCCATGGTAAACTGGACTTCCATGGTAAGCTGGACTTCCATGGTAAACTAGACTTCCATCGTGAACTGACTTCCATGGTGAACTGGACTCCCATGGTAAACTGGACTTCCATGGTAAGCTGGACTTCCATGGTGAACTGGACTCCCATGGTAAACTGGACTTCCATGGTGAACTAGACTTCCATCGTGAACTGACTTCCATGGTAAACTGGACTTCCATGGTAAGCTGGACTTCCATGGTAAACTAGACTTCCATCGTGAACTGACTTCCATGGTGAACTGGACTCCCATGGTAAACTGGACTTCCATGGTAAGCTGGACTTCCATGGTGAACTGGACTCCCATGGTAAACTGGACTTCCATGGTAAACTAGACTTCCATCGTGAACTGACTTCCATGGTAAACTGGACTTCCATGGTAAGCTGGACTTCCATGGTAAACTAGACTTCCATCGTGAACTGACTTCCATGGTGAACTGGACTCCCATGGTAAACTGGACTTCCATGGTAAACTGGACTTCCATGGTAAGCTGGACTTCCATGGTGAACTGGACTCCCATGGTAAACTGGACCTCCATAGGAAACTGGACTTCCATGGTAAACTGGACTTCCATGGCAAACTGGACTTCCATGTTGAACTGGACTTCCATGGTGAACTGGACTCCCATAGTAAACTGGACTCCCATGGTGAACTGGACTTCCATGGTGAACTGGACTCCCATGGTAAACTGGACTTCCATGGCAAACTGACTTCCACGGTGAACTGGACTCCCATGGTAAACGTGACTTCCACAGTGAACATCAGACGACAGCCAGATTTGAATGACATTGGTCGCGAAATCCTACGTGTTTTAAATCATCCATAATACAATGAAGAGGGGGGGGGGGGGTGTTGTTAGATCACGTAAACATAAATGTGTCGTTAAAACCCAACCACCACCCGAGAACACTGGCCAATTAGTAAATATCTCACGAAATAAACAGCGAATTCCCTCCCCTCTGCACACACCCCTCCACCACGTGGCGTGTCCACACCCACCACCATCGTCACTGCCGCTCTGTGGCCCTATGATCCAACCCCCCTCTCTCCCCAGCTCTTCCCTTGCAACCCTTACCCCCTTGCCCCACGTTCAGAACCCGTCTCTCTCGCCACACGACGACACGACAGCTTAGCCCAGCCCAACCCAGCCCAGCCATGCCTTTCATCGAGATCACCACCAACCTGAAACAAGAGACCTTCACGGAGTCTCTGCTCAAGAAGTTCGCTGCGGAGGCGGCCGCCGCGCTCAGCAAACCGCCCGAGGTGAGCTGCGTTGATTCCTCACCTCCCCACCAACACCACCACCACTGATGTGCCTCCCCTCGTGTCCCACACTACCCCCCCCCCACTCGGTTATCCACCCTCCCTGATGACCTTCTCCATGTGTCTTTCCTCTGTAGCGCGTGGCTTCGTTATCCACCGGCTGTACAAAGACAAAGATCCCCCCCACTCCGGTGTAGCCTTTACAGATTGTTAGGGGCAAGTGCTGTTAGCGAGTAGCACCTATGAAGGCCGGCACGGTGCACGTGGGGGGGGTCGGTGGGTGTCCGACACCACGCCTGGCCGCCTTTGTCTCCCCAGTGGAGATTTTGTTGTTGTTGTTGTTGTGCACACACACAGCACCAGGTACTCATTTGAGGCTGAGGATATTGAGAGATCGGGTTGTGCAGCTACATCATGGGACCTATCTTGCCATATCAACATATGAGAATAGTTTTTTTGCACCATTGGAACCTCATTTGCCAGTAAAAAATATGATAATTGTAAAAAAGGTGTCCGTTTTGTTGCCAGATAAAAGGGTAAAAAAACAATTATCATAGTTTTTTTGCGTTTCAGGAAATGTCCTGATAGTGCATTGTCTTTGTGCTGTTCGCCTTTTGGTGTCCTCTGGTGTCACACTGAGACTAGGCTCTACAGAAAGCTGTCTCTGGTGTGGACCAATCAGTTTCAAAGACAATGCATAAACGACCAGAGCATGTTTCTTTGTGTTTGCATGTTCATCACGAGAATAAGAACGGTTGTGGGGATGGTGGCTTGCCAAATGAACTTTAATCCAGGAGCTAACACGTTGCGTTGTTAAACTTATGGGGACAAACAAGGCAAGCACAGAGGTTTAGCATGAGTTCAACTTAAAGCAGATGGTGTTGCGTGTATACTCTTAGGATTCATACTCTTAGGTTTTTTCGGTAAAGTCACGTAGGTAAAAAAAATTTACCTACGTGACTTTACCGAAAAAACCTAAGAATCCTTGCAGTCACGAAAGCTTCAAATCTAGAATTGCGTGTATACTGTTATTTAAATCGATTGTCCAAATAATGGAAGTTTGAAATGCTGCATTTTCGTATTTACTGGAATACAGTACAGCTCACAGTCATGAGAATACCATGCAAGTGAAATTTAGTGGCATCAGCATTTTGTGTTATCTCTTGAGATTCTGAATGTTGCTATTTTATTGATATATACCAGAGAAAAGGCCCCTATTTGAAAGTCTTGACGTTTCGGGAAGGCCTCAGTGAAGTTGATCGAGGCACCGCTGGTGAAATTAATAACGCCACGATGTTTTACTCAAGGTTCGACATGATGTTTAAAATGTGCACATTCTGTGTTTAAACGTACAGTACACGTGCTTGGGATTTCCGTATTTGAGGCTTACATGTATGTGGACATGAATGCACATAAGCCCTTGCAACAATGCTCTCCATGCATTTGTGTGGAAACTGAGAGGCATCTCAACCAAGGCAACCCCTATGTGTACTCTGCCAAAAACTGATTGAGGCAAAGGTGCACTTAGCAGGTGCTCGCAAACACATAGCTGTCAACCCATACTGTTTACCCGTATTCTTGTACAGGGATATTGAGTGGTGTTTCTCCTTTGTATGGAACTTTGTTAGATGAACGTTGAGATTTATAAAGGCACTTGGTGACCAATAAGATCTGAATTGGTCTGTAATAAGGCAGGCACTGATAAGAGCTGTACAGGTATGCGAACAACACTTCTCAGTAAACATGGGAATGGAATGGAATGTTGTTCGAATGGAATGTTGTTCCAACGTAGGGCCAATATCGGTCCAACAGTTCCAACCACGTGGCCCAACGTTGTATGTTTACTGGGTTGCTGTCACGCCTGCAAAGTGACACGGGTGTACGTGTGCGCGTGTGGCTCGCAGAGGATCAACATCACGGTGCATGCGGGGCAGCTCCTGTACCAGGCCCTCTCAAGCGCCCCGTGCGTACACGTCAAGGTGTCAGCCATCGCGGTGGTGGGCACAGCGGAACAAAACCGTGATCACAGCGCCCGCCTCACAGAGTTCCTCTCCACCGAGCTGGGCCTCCCCAAGGACCGGTGAGCTCCGATCAAATGTTGTTTACATGGCCGGGCATGCAGCTCGGACTGAGGCCCGTGACAATGGCCTTGTGTGAGCAGTGGAATGGGGTGAGTGAGCGAGTGTCTTGTGCCTGTCGACTATTTTCACAGGATCCTTCTGACGTTTTACCCGGTGGAGAGCTGGCAGGTGGGCAAGATGGGTACCGTCATGACCTTCCTGTGAAACTCTGCACACGACTCGCCTAGCTCGGAGAACCCGCTGCTGATTGTGCGTGCATGAATGAACCAGATGTCACATTGTTGCACAAAATGATACGTAGTTATGTGGAAAAACAAAACTCTATCCGACTTGTAAAAGTGCTTTAACATTATTCCTTCCTCGACTTGCACCTGTTCACTCTCTACCTAGTCTTTATTGTAACTGCGAGTCTCAAATGTTGCATTTCCCTGCTATCGGTAGCTTGGAGTTGGCGATAAAATTCCAGATATGTTTCATTCAGCATAAACTGTGTTGTTTGTGGGATCATGTTTTTGAAGCACAACCCCCAGCTCTGATCTTTGGACCGTAGCAAATATGCTTAAATCACTCAACTGACTCACATCTGATTCTGCTTGCTTGCTTGGCAAACTCACTGGTGTATTTATCTGGAGACAAGTATAGGTCAGTGGTTGGTTTATAAAAACACATTTTGAATGTTTATATTATCTTCTATTCAGTTAAGAAGCTAAGGGACAATTTACATGATGTTGTTTTGTTTAGCTGACCACAGGACCGGTCACACAATTTGAGGCCTTCCTGTGCCCTGGCCAGACAGCATTTATCAAAAATCAACACATTCTTCAATGCTATTTTAACAAAAGTAAATTATTGCAATTCCGCCGTGATTCATTATCAGGATTTGGGTTATAACAGATCCACACTGAGCTGCTTCTGGAAATAAAATGAATGGATTTAAATAAAACATTATTAGCAAAAACTGGAACGAAAGAGCACCATTTATCGTAATTTGATTTAATAATGCTCTTTGTGCATGAAAGCATAATTAAAAGGGTTTGATCTCTCTAACGGGTGCTGCTGGTCCACAGGTTGTGATCAAGCAGATGTCTATGTTGACCAATATTAAATATAGAAATCCAATTATAACGGTGGAAAAATCTTACTATGAAAGTCATGGAAATGTAATTGAAAGTATTTATAATTAGAAACAAAAAACAGGATTGAAAATGAGTTGTACCCAGTAAAGCCTCACGAAGCCTTCATGACAATAACTAATGCAGTAACATTTCAAAAAAATACAAAGTAAAAACGCTGCAGTTACTGGTGATGTTGCCTTGATGTCTGAGAACAGTAGTACATAATAAATAAACTGATGCTGATGTGCCTTGCTACACAAGGATAAGTGCACGCGATGATTGGCACTTGTTTATATATCTCGGAATTGCATTCTTCATTGTTGTGCTTTAGTCTTCTTAATGTTGACATCTGCATAAAAATGATCTTTGAAATAAATGTAATTTGAACACATCATGGAGTGGAATTTCTGCGTATCTATGTGTAGTGATTGTGGTATCATTGCTGGGTACATACGCACACGTATGACGTCACTGTGCCAGGAGCATTACTACCACGTGGGTCTACACACACACATGACGTCATCCCGGCTGGAGGCGGGAATGACAGTCAGGGCCAGTGCTGGACACGTGATCAGGATCCCAGTGGGGGCCAGGGAGTCCAGGGGGACCTCGGGGGGCACGTGGACATCAGGGGGGCTTCGAGAGGGTACTCAAAAGGCTGAGGCGTGGCCAGAGGTGGTGCCTGGGCACGCCGAGGCCCATATAAGCGGCCTCCTCAGGAGGTTCGGGGCTGTTCCTGCGAAGAATGAAGACGCCTCGTGGAGATGCCAAAAAGAGAAGGCCTACAGTGAGCGGACTGCCAGCAGCCACCTGGCTGGGTCACTCTGGAGTAGCTTAAGAGACAAGTGTGTGTTAGCTCGGGTGGGTCGGTGGTCACCACCCTAACTGTTGAGTAACCGTTGTGTTCATTAATAAATGAGTGTTGGCGCCTAAATTGAACCTATTACAATTGGTGTCAGAAGTGGCTAGCGTTAGGTGTTATCCTAGCCAGTATAGAATGCGCACGATTACTACAACTTACCTTGATGCTTTCACACGACGGAGACGGCGGGAAAATCGTCTTCAGGGCAGTTCCCGGGGTCTGCAGCCCCGGTGAAGGAGGGAGATGGAGCTGCAGGCGGGGCAGCAGGACGCACTTTCACGTCGCTGCTTCGCTGCCATCGAGAGAGAGACAGAACGAGCGAGAGAGCAAGCGAGCGAGAGAGAGAGCGAGCAAGAGAGCGAGCGAGGGTTACATAAAGCCCCGTTTATAAAAAAAAAAAACATTTTACGAAATGATGAACGAAACAGAGTGCCGAATACACCTAGCATCTTCTTGTTTCCACTGATCGTAAAAAAGAAAAAAAAAGAGAGAGAGCGCAGGAGCTGGAGGAGAAAGGACGCCGCTGCAGCTGCTGCTGCGAGTGCCTGGGCGGGAAATTTGCGCGGGAAATCCGCGCACGTGGCAGCCACGCGCGGCATGCGGTTCCCGCCATTCTCAACTCCTGCGGAGGGAGATTTTCGGCCGTCTTGGTGGCATCCTGTTACAAGGGGATGCCGTGCTCGCCATCCAAGATTCTACAAGTTCCACCCTGCCATCCTCCGTCCCTCACAGTCTCTCAGGCAAGTCGTGACACAATGCACCCGGCCCTGACAACACACCTCATCCATCTTACGCATGCCGGGTTATTTTTGCGTGTTTTTTTTGCTTGCGGAGCTGGAGAACTGGGTTTTCTGGCTGTGTGAGTGTAGAATGAACGCGGCGTTTGTGTTTGGTGTGTTGCTATGTACATTTTTTTTGTGTGTGTAAGATTGAGGCATCAGGATCGTTATCTTGATGGGGCAGTTAATGATTAATTCGGTTGTGTCAAGTGTTCCGAGGCCCTTTAATGTCCCGTGGGTTGCCGTGTTATTAGCTCGCAGTGTGACATCGGTTTATTTTGTTGGTCATATCTACATTTTTTTGTTGTTGTGTGATTGCGATGTGCCACATTTGTTAACGATGTGTTTATTGTATAGGGCTTTTCTCGCGATTCGCGATGTGCGGACTGTATGTACTGCATATAATGTCTCTGCACGGATAAGGGTTGTGAGGTGCATTGTTGTGTTCCTTGATACGGATCGTTAGATTGTGACGATGACATATGGGGCCAGTGATTGGATTGTGCTGCTGGCTGTGGACTTATCTGGGGCAAAGATTCTGCACAGAATGCCCCTATTATGGTTGTGTGTCAACATGAGTGTGGTCCCGTCATGCTATGGTTGACGGTTTGACCTGACAGCCCGGAGTTCGAGACTCTCCGAGGCGCGTCTGAAACAGTGAAACAGAGGCTCAGGTAGCTTATGTTGAGTTGCTTTTGAGTTGGGTGCTGAAATCCCGTCGTTAATGTCATAGGGATTTTGGTTGGCAGGACCAGTGGGTTCCTGTCTGTTGTTGCTCCCTCCGCTCGATTGCATGCAGCCCAAGGGCTGCATTGCGAGTAGGAGCGTGTGAACGATGGGTTGTCTCAGCTCGGTCGGTACAACTATATCCTGCGATGCGAGTCTTGGAGAGAGACTGGGTTATAATTCCCCCGATACGGCTAATGCGTGCTACTGGTTGTGACGCGCGTCGGAAAGGTGGTGGGGTGGTTACATAGAATTCTCCCCCCCCCGATATGGCCGACGTGCACGGTTTTAGGATGGAGACGCCACGTCGGAAGGGCGGGGGGGTGCTAACGGGTGACATGTAATGTCTGTGGTGCTCCTTAGTAAGGGGTGTTGGGACGCCATTTTGTACACGCGTTGGGCCGCCATTTTGGGCACACGCGGGTCGCGCATGCGCCCGCCATTTTGTACATACACGGGTGGCCTCGGAGATATGGGGGTTGTACGTGTGAACTATTTCTGGGCAAGAGCAGGCATTTTTTTTGTGCCACGTGGATTTCACATATTTTTAAAAAAAAAGTAGATACTGGGGCAACCTTGAAGTGAGACTTTTTTTTTGCCCAGTACATGGGTCAACCGGGAAGCATGGCTTCCTTGACCCGGGATGTTGTACGACATCCAACGTTATACCTTGGGTGCAGCATACTGGCTCGACCTTGAATGCATGCCTTCCTTGAGCCAGTACATGGGTCAACCCTGACGTGCGACTTCTCGACCTGGGACGTAGGGAGACGTCCAGAATGTTAAGTGGTGTGTGTAGGTGGGTGTTAGACTTTCAGTTTTCGCCCTATTGCTGCCTGTGGGGTGGAACGGTAGCAGAGCGGTGTGAGACCCTGCCATCCATGGGGTGGTTGGGTAGATTGATTTGATTTCCGGTGTTGGTTGTGCATCCAACGCGTCGGAATCTGTGTATTTTTGCTTTTCTTCCGATCATCTCCACTTCCCTGGGCCGGGTGGCTGGTTGTGTCCGACGAGCTGAGGTGCAGGCTTGTGGTGCTGTGCCTCAGGAGGTGGTTCTTCTCGTCACAGGATTCCTACACCTGCTGCCCTTGGAGTCGCCGGTTGTGCTGACCGGATGTGGACTTGAAGGGGGAAGTGGAGGCGCCCGTACATCACTCCTGCTCATCCTGTTGCCCAACTCCTGGGGAGGGAGCCGTGCCCTTTTTCGAGTTCCCCCAGACCTCCAAGGAGAGCGTGCTTGCCTCCCCTGGGGGCTCAGCCACGCAAACTCGTTCGAAGACTGGCCGCTGTGCATGACTCTCACACCTTGTTGATTGCCTACGCCATTGTCAAACAGTGAATTTCATGTGTCGGTGCGTGCGTACAATTTGCTATGGGTGGGCTGTGCTGAGGGATAAGCGGGTTGATCAGTTCTTCTCGGTGTACATATGTTCTCGCGGTAATTATCGTCGCCGGTTATTATTGATGTTGTTGGAGGCACACTGTTTTCCTGTATTGTCACAGCCGGGACGGCTGTTTTGTTTACATGGAGGGAGGGTGATGTGATTGTGGTATCATTACTGGGTACATACGCACACATATGACATCACTGTGCCAGGAGCGTTACTACCACGTGGGTCTACACACACACATGACGTCATCCCGGCTGGAGGCGGGAATGACGTCAGGGCCGGTGCTGGACACGTGACAGGATCCCAGTGGGGGTCGGGGGTCCAGGGGGACCTCGGGGGGGCACGTGGACAGCAGGGGGGCTTCGAGAGGGTACTCAAAAGGTGAGGCGTGGCCGGAGTGGGGCCCGGGCACACCGAGGCCCATATAAGCGGCCTCCTCAGGAGGTTCGGGGCTGTTCCTGCGAAGAATGAAGGATGCCTCGTGAAGATGCCAAGAAGAGAAGGTCTACAGTGAGCGGACTGCCAGCAGCCACCTGGCTGGGTCACGCTGGAGTAGCTAAGAGACAAGTGTGTGTTAGCTAGGGTAGGTCGGTGGTCACCACCCTATGTGTAGAGTAAAAGTAACTGTTGAGTAACCGTTGTGTTCATTAATAAATGAGTGTTGCCTCCCAAGAAGTGTGTGCGCCTAAATTGAATCCATTACATATGTGTGTTTGCTGTGTTGGCCTTTGTAGGTGCTCGTTAACTCAATTTGCCACAGAAAGCTACTTGCTATGAGGAAGGGACGTTGCCAGAAATATTTCACATTGTATATTTTTCTTTTATGCCAGTGTTGTTGGTATATTTGAGTGTTTTGTTATTTGACTCAGAGGGCACCTGCATGTGGCATTTAAATCCATTTCATATTTCAACTTCTTTGGTATGCACTTTGAACAGAATGCACAGTGGTGGAGAACGAGTACAGGATACAGTTTCAAGTGTCGGACAAAGCTATGCATAATGTACTGCTCGCGTGAACATGTTATAATTGTGGTCTGTGCAAAGACATACATTTTCAGATTGCAATAAAATTCAGTAGCGAATAGCTATGATCATATATCACAAATACCAACTCGAACACTGAAGCCCATTCAAAATACTATATCGGTAAGCTATTCAGCATACTCTGTATCTCCCTCCATGGATGTAAATAATAGTTTGATCACATTTTATTTTTACACTTGCGATACATGCGTGCATTAACGAGTGCGTGTTTGAATGGTTTTCAATTATGCAATTTTTTTAAAGATAATGAACAGAATGAATGAGAACATAAACAAGACAGTGCAAATGAGACAGAGCAATTTAAGCTCCCCACGAAACTATCCATTGAAACTTTTCCCATGCCATCCATCACACCACTGCCCACCACCACCAGTTTATGCATTGTTTCCGCACTCCGTACTCCCAGACTTGTCTCCTAGAAACTCAGCAGGACCTTGCACCGTAGCCTGCCAGTCAATCCCGTCGATTCCTGCAGCCACTGCATGTGACTCAACCTGACCGAGGTACTTCTCACCGCCCGACAATCGTTGCCCCGTTCATCTCCGGCTCTCTGCATCCACAGCTTGGGCAGGCATGAAGAGAAGGAGGCCATGGTGCAAGCTGAGCCGAGCCCCACCACCTTGGCACCATGCCGGAAGCAGTCACGGCGTGCCAGCAAGCAGCACTGTTTGAACAATTGGAGCCCATAAGATCTAATAATAACAACTTTTTGATGGGTTAGATTGCGTTCATATGAATGCATCGTTAAACCCGCCACCACCCGACAGCCAATTTTTAAGGTTTGTCACTTAAAGAAAAGTGCCATGTTGTTACTACTTCACAATTACGCTGGTGATTACAACCAGCTTCATAAGACTGATCCGGATTTACTCTCCAACACACACATGCGCTGACGTAGTAACAAATTGCCACGTTTTGTTAGTGGCAAATATTACTAATTATAACTGTGTTGGGTGGTGGGAGGGTTAACGACATTAATATTTATGCCATCCATTTCACGACCAATATTATCCATGATATGTTTATGGGGCACTTAAAATCGAGATTTGGGGGCCTTAAAATAAAAAATCTCAGATTTTCAGAGGTGTCATGTTGTTTGTGTGCTAAAAGCTGCGTTTGTGCCACATTTCAGCTTTCTACCTTGTCGGGAAGTACCCTAGAGGTTGTTGAGACATCCAGATTAAGGTCTTTAATTGTATAGAAACCGGGGCAGTGCTGGTTTTCAGTTTCGTGGTGGACACGGCTGAGAGGGAGGCCAGGAGACCAGGGCACGGCCTGCCACCTCATTATTATTAATTACTACGAATATTAACAAGCATGTTTGTGCGTGACGGGCTTGTGATGAATATTAACGATTCGCCCAAGTATGTAACATTGCACGCCGTTACATAACGGTGGCAGCATCCAAGACTCGAGGAAGCAACGAAAAAATGAAACGATCTGAACAATCGTCATTAAACCATTATTAACCAAAAATTATATAGGTCTTTAGGTAAAGCCACGTAGATAGAAAAAAATAATAAAAAAATATCACGACGTTTCGTCTTCAGGTGAAAAAATAATTTCCGCTCAAGACCAAACAGCAGTGCCAACTCGGTCCTGGGGCCTCCCCCAGGTCGACTCAGCCTCAAATGAGTACATGGACGCGGTGTGCAAGCATCGCCACCTGGGAGACATGGGCGTGGTGCTGGCCACCCACCCCCCTCAATGCTACTCGCTCACAACACAGCTCGCTCATGGCTATACCGGCGGGGAGGAATATTTGGTTCCAAAGATAATGGCATGGGGCCCATCCCGAATTGCCCCTCCAATGACATAGGCCCCGCCCTTTGCGTGTAGCCACGCCCCCAATGACACAGACCACGCCCTCTGCGTGTGGCCACGCCCCCAATGACACAGACCACGCCCCCAATGACACAGACCACGCCCCCAATGACACAGACCACGCCCTTTGCGTGTAGCCACGCCCCCAATGACAGACCACTCCCTTTGCGTGTAGCCACGCCCCCAATGACACAGACCACGCCCTCTGCGTGTAGCCACGGCCCCAATGACACAGACCACGCCCTCTGCGTGTGGCCACGCCCCCAATGACACAGACCACACCCCCAATGACACAGACCACGCCCCCAATGACACAGACCACGCCCTTTGCGTGTAGCCACGCCCCCAATGACAGACCACTCCCTTTGCGTGTAGCCACGCCCCCAATGACACAGACCACGCCCTCTGCGTGTAGCCACGCCCCCAATGACACAGACCACGCCCTCTGCGTGTAGCCACGCCCCCAATGACATAGACCACGCCCTTTGCGTGTGGCCACGCCCCCAATGGCATAGACCACGCCTCCAATGACATAGACCACGCCCTCTGCGTGTAGCCACGCCCCCAATGACACAGACCACGCCCTCTGCGTGTATCCACGCCCACAATGACACATACCACGCCCTTTGCGTGTAGCCACGCCCCCATGTGGGCGGGCACCATCCGTAAGCCACGCCCCCTCGCCGCTAACCCCGCCCATCGTTGCCCCGCCCACCCCCCGCAATCTCCAACTCCACGTGGCCCCACCCCGACCTCCTGCAGCGCGCCGTGGACTCCATCGGAGGTGCGAGACGTAGAAGAAGCAGCAGCAGCAGAAGACGAAGACGCGGCGGCAATGGGGAACTGTGAAACCGTGGGGCCCAACGAGGCGCTCGTAGTGTCGGGTGAGTCCGCCTCGACACCGACGAGACGGAACGTGACGAGGGAACGTGACGACGGCTGTCGGTGCAGGGAGCGTGCGCGGTGGATGGCGCGGAGGAAATGGCGCGCCCTTTTGTTGCGGCCTGAGGGCTGTGGGGCGTGTTTGCGTGCTCGCGTGTGCGTGTGTTTGCATGGGTGTACACACGGTGTGTGTGTGTGTGCATGGGTGTACACACGGTGTGTGTGTGTGTGCATGGGTGTACACACGGTGTGCGTGTGTTTGCATGGGTGTACACACGGTGTGCGTGTGTTTGCATGGGTGTACACACGGTGTGTGTGTGTGTGCATGGGTGTACACAAGGTGTGTGTGCTCGTGTGTTTGCATGGGTGTACACAAGGTGTGTGATCGTGTGTTTGCGTGCTTGTTTGGGTGTACACACGGTGTGTGTGTGTTTGCATGGGTGTACACACTGTGTTTGCATGGGTGTACACACGGTGTGCGTGTGTGTGCATGGGTGTACACACGGTGTGTGTGTGTGTGCATGGGTGTACACGAGGTGTGTGTGCTCGTGTGTTTGCATGGGTGTACACAAGGTGTGTGATCGTGTGTTTGCGTGCTTGTTTGGGTGTACACACGGTGTGTGTGTGTTTGCATGGGTGTACACACGGTGTGTGTGTATGGGTGTACACACGGTGTTTGTGTGCGTGTGTTTGCATGGATATACACACGGTGTGTGTGTGCATGGGTGTACACACGGTGTGTGTTTGCATGGGTGTACACACGGTGTTTGTGTGCGTGTGTTTGCATGGGTGTACACACGGTGTGTGAGTGTGTGTGTGTGCATGGGTGTACACACGGTGTTTGTGTGCGTGTGTTTGCATGGGTGTACACACGATGTGTGAGCGTGTGTCTATTTGGGTGTACGCACGGCGTGTGCTCGTGTGTTTGCATGGGTGTACACGCGGTGTATGAGTGTGCGTGTGTTTGCATGGATATACACACGGTGTGTGTGTGTGCATGGGTGTACACACGGTGTGTGTTTGCATGGGTGTACACACGGTGTTTGTGTGCGTGTGTTTGCATGGGTGTACACGCGGTGTGTGAGTGTGCGTGTGTTTGCATGGGTGTACACACGATGTGTGAGCGTGTGTCTATTTGGGTGTACGCACGGCGTGTGCTCGTGTGTTTGCATGGGTGTACACACGGTGTGTGTGTGTGCGTGTGTTTCCATGGGTGTACACATGGTGTGTGTGCATGGGTGTACACACGGTGTGTGTGCGTGTGTTTGCATGTGTGTGAATCGGGGTGTACACTGTGTGTATTAGTGTGGGTGGCGTTAGATGTGTGGTTCTGACCACCCACCCCTCGTGTGCCGTGCTGGCCTTCTTAGCTGCTCGTGTAGACCACTAACCACAACAGTCTGTTAATGCTATACAATATAGGGGGGTCATCTTAGTGTTTCTAGACAGCGTGTGAGTGTTTACATGAGTGCACATATGGTGGGTAATATGCGTGCATTCGTGTACATGGAGTTACACTACCTCAGTGCATCATTGCACAACATTGGTGCGTTTGACGCGTGTGCATAGTTGTAGACATGTGTGCTGCATGTTTTCATATATAACGTGTGTGTGTGTGTTAGATCTGTGTATCTCTGTGTGTGTGTAGTTGTGTACATTGTCCATGGGGCGTGTGGATGTGTGAATACGTGTGCGTCTCGTGTGCATTGCAACCTACGATTTCACGCATGAGCCAATCCCACGTCATACATGTGGATAATTATCATACGTGTGGATAATTATCATACGTGTGGATAATTATCATACGTGTGGATAATTATCATACGTGTGGATAATTATCATACGTGTGGATAATTATCATACGTGTGGATAATTATCATACGTGTGGATAATTATCATACGTGTCGATAATCATCATACGTGTCGATAATCATCATACGTGTCGATAATCATACGTGTGGATAATTATCATACGTGTGGATAATTTTCATACGTGTGGATAATCATCATACGTGTGGATAATTATCATACGTGTGGATGATCATCATACGTGTGCTGCACGTGCAATGGTATATGAACTGGCGATGTTCATGGGGAAATGCACACAATTTAACGGGTCCGTATTTTTTAAACGTATCGGTCAGAATCTTTATTCAAGAACGCAATGATATCCCAAGTTTCTTTTATCAAAGGGAAATCTCATCTCGAAATTATTTTTCGCGTCTCCCATACAAGCGTATTAGTCTTTCCCCAATATTCTGCACAGGACACCGCTTCTGGTGTTGTCATTGCTTTAAATCTACAAATGCAAACGCATTGGCATCAATCGCACAACGAGCAGCCAATTCCATTATAATGAAAGCAGCAATTGAACGGTGGAGGTGATAAAATTACGAAGCAGATGAGCCCAAAAAAAAACATCCACACAGACGAGACGTAACGTCCAAAATCGTTTGCACACAATTTTTTTATAAGAAAATAAATCAGTTTATTGCAAGAGGTCGATTGAGAGGGAAAATTGAATCTTTTGAGTGGGAGGGGCGGCTTAGGTTCAGCAGTGCATTTGAATATGGCTGGTAAAAAACCACGTTCTGTGTTAGAAACTAAATTATTCAAGGTTTTGCAAAGCGGCGGCTTTGATGAGTGAACAATTATCCACAATCTGGTATTGATTCTCGCCGCTGGACACGTGAATGTTGTGTTGAGCTTACGTTTCGAGGTTTTAAACCCAGCACTCTACAATGTACGCAACCAGATACATTTGGTGGAATATCATTCGCAACCGCTTGGGATAAGCATAAATACAGACACCATCACTGTTATTCGCAATACCCCCAATGAGTGCACGCACATTGACTTATTTACTGGGCCTAGAACGGTGCATCGATGAACGTAGCCGATTCTTGACCCAAGCGAACCATGCATTCCAATCACCCAAGAATCGATGATTATGCATTTGTTAAGTGTGTATTGCACACGTTTTAGTCAACAGATATGTGGGATTTTATGTGTATCCTCAAGAGAGGTGTGGGCACATTGAGACATGTAAAAAAGGGGGCACATACACTTCTTGTACTGATAAAAGCCGAATGGTGTAAGGAAAGAAGAGACCATTGCAAGAGATGGTTACAAAAGACTGGGTGGTGGACACAGCCATAGTCACTGCGAATACAGATGGGATTGAGTCCCCAGTGAATACTGTGGCACTAATGGCTTTGAGGGCAGCACGGAGTACATTTCTGTAAACAACATTTTCTTTCAGTGGATACCAATTCACTAGAATGCACAAGCTACACGAGCTACGGATAGATATCCCTCAATAAAGTCGCGTAGAGTCGAAAGAACCAAGAATATGAATCCCTGCAGTCACGAAAGCTTTAAATAAATTTTTTATAAATACGTACTTAAATATTCTTGGTTATTTCGGTAAAGTCACGTAGAAGGGAAATTTTTTATATTTTTATTATTTACCTTCTATGTGACTTTACCAAAATAACCAAGAATATGAATCCCTGCAGTCACGAAAGCTTTAAATCAAAATTTACGTACTTAAAGCTTTCGTAACTGCAAAAATTCATACATATTCTGATAATTCTGATTCTCTGGCATCTGAGATGTATAGGTAAAAATTTCCAGCTGCAATATATGCATTTGATTAATCGTTATTTCGTCCATGGGCAAGTGCAAAATTCAGTACCACTGGAGGTGTACAGATTGAGCGATACCAGTTTGTGCAAATGTCTCATGAAAATTTGATTACGTGATAACATAATTATTTCGTGAGATCATTGCATAATTCACATTTATTGGTGATTTTAAATACGTTGGTCCAATTGAAGTGGTTCCATTTCATGGACTAGTAAGAACACATTTCTGCAGAAGCCCCTTGTTTGATTAGCTGAGATGGAGCCGTGCCCAAGTCATTGTGCTGTGCCTACTTGGTCACTTGGAAGTTTGCACTTAAAATATATCTTAAGCTGTGCAATGTCCCTGTATTGGCACAGTATGAGGAAAGTACTGTGTGTTGAAATGCTTTCGTGATTGCCAAAACCAGAACAGATGGGAAATGCTTAACCGCACACAATGAGATACGGTTTCGTATTGCATGTGCATGTCTGAGGTTTTTTAGATATAAACCTGCGGAAAGTTGTGAAAAACTGGGTTATATGTGACTCATTTAGATTGTTTCTGTAAAAAAATGCTAATTTGCTGGAAATGTTTAAACTCTGGTTAATGTAAAATCAGGAGTCATTTACATTCCACCCCGCCTAATTCTGATTGCCGATGCCGGGCCATAGTACATTAAAACAATGGATTTTCAGCACTGCTTTCTGCTCAAAATCTTGGTATGAAATTTTATAAAACTTTTAAAATATCACATTTTTGTTGGACATTATAACGAAAACCTTGGCGTAGTAAAACTCGACAATGGCACTCAATAGGCGGTTCCTCCACCCCCGTTGAGCCCGTGGTGGTAAGACTCTCCGTCAGCCCAGCTGCAGGACTTTAGGTCGGTGGTGGCAATGTTTTTTAACCCAGCAAATCATGCCCGGTATCGGGAGTTACACGTAACCTGAATTTCCAGCATTCTTGTGAGAAACAATATTGCATTTTTTTACGATTATTTTTACACGAACAGGCGGGGGAGATGCACTGTTCGGCTGGCATCTATCAGGGAGACTCTGCGCTTGACTTGTATTGACTTGAAAAAGATTGCCTTGAATGTAGGGCTTTATTTAGACCAAATGTGCTTTTACTTAGCCACTTACGGCATGACCGGCTTCAGTTGGTCGGAACAAAAACTCCGCTCCTTTTTCTTCGAGTAGTAATATTCAGCATTCCAATATTAGTTAGTTTTTTGTGCAAACATAAAGTTTTATCTGCAGTTGATGAATCCAGGTTGTTTTTATCTGCATCTATATCTGTCATCACAGCCACAACCATGACCCGGTTTATTAAGCAATGGAGTTGCGTGTGTGATTGCAACACGTGTAGAGTGGGCAGGCCCCCAACAGCGGCCCTCTCATGAGTGGGGTGGCTGTTTTTGTTTTAGTCGTCTTTGTTCCCGTGCTCTGCTAAACCATAAAGGTAGTTCTAACCCTGAAGATTACCCTCTAAATCTCGCGTGTGGATGTTGTAGGGCCGTTCCCATGCCCACAACTGCCTAAGCATATCGAGTAGTCTGTGGTTTGATGGTCTCTTTTTTTCTTTTATGTGAACCGTTCTTGCTCATTTGCAGCAGAAACATCCAGTTACATAATCCACACATGCTGCCCTTGTAGGCTTTCACGAGGTTGAATTATAATTTACACACCGAGTTAATCATGCTTGAAGAATACAAACAATCTCCAGCGCCGTGAGCAGCAGCTCAGGTCTCCTGTAAGTAGTTAATTTCTGGGAAAAGAGTATCGTTCAGCAAAGAAGCTCAAAACCGATGTTATGAAATTATTTCAAGGACTGGCTTGCGGTGGTTTAGAAGCAAATTCTGAAAGTGCTTGACCGAACGTCTGTTTATAAAAGTGCAACTCGATTCGACTGGTTGAGACTGCGTTTCCAACCAGCATAAACAACAAAAAACACATCAAGCCATATTGTTCATTCCAAAAAGCAGATTAAAGATGCATCAACAAACTTATGAGGCCCATGCAATTTTTTTAAAATGTGCTTTACTAGAATTGCTTGGTGTCTTTCTGAGAGAGGCCTCTCGGCTGAAATATATTCAGTGGCGTACTCTTAGGTTTTTTCGGTAAAGTCGCGTATGTGTCACGTATGTGTCACATACAGACTTTACCAACACAAGTCTCCGTCATCAGGTGGGACCGTCACAGCTAAATTTACTGTATCTTAATACAGCTAAATTTACTGTATCTTAATACAGCTAAATTTAATATATCTTGATACAGTAAATTTAGCTGTATGTATCTTGATACAGTAAATTTAGCTGTATCTTAATACAGTAAATTTAGCTGTGACGGTCCCACCTGATGACGGAGACTTGTGTTGCCTCCGAAACGTCGTGAATTATTATTTTATTTCTATCATTTGTTGTTTTATTTTTATTGCTTATTTTTATGTTTTACCTACGTGACTTTACCGAATAAACCTAAGAGTGTGAATCCTTGCAGTCACTAAAGCTTCAAATCTAGAATATTCAGTGGCAGTTTCAAGTAGAACTTAATTATTGTGTTGAATGTGTGCAGTTGATAATGGCTTTCAAATGCAATATTAATGCATTCTTGATTCTCTGCAGCTCGCTTGTTCAGTCCTACAGGCTTGGCATTGTGTCCAGCTTGACAAGAGGGAGGGGCGACACTGCCATCTCCTTAGGCCTCGTATTGTGCAGCCTCGGACAACAAAAGGCGCGACAGCGGTTCGGCAGCCGTCGCTACTCCTGATGGGATGCGTAATTTGTATATGCGAATGTTGGAGCCGACAGGGAGATAGGAGTAAATCGACGCTTGGAGTATGGCAGAGGTCGCAACCGGGTACCCGATACCCGTACCCTACCCGATACCCGGCTACCCGTACCCGGCCGGGTACGGGTACGGGTACCCGTTTGCGACCCTGGTGCGGACGGGTGCGGGTGCGGGTAAGGAATCAAAACCCGTTTGCAACCTCTGGAGTATGGTGTGCCCTAGATGCTAGTCGGCTATAAATAGTGCGGCATTCATTGCAGTAAATTCCTTGCACAGATCCTTCCTGGGCTGCAGGAAGTGAGGCAGCCATTTGACATGTTTAAAAAAAAGATCCATTTACTCCATCGGCAATGATTTGCATTATTTTTGGCGTTCACGGCTTTAGGCCACCGATGCCACTAGAGAGAATATGATGCCCCACCCCAAGAAAAAGGTGACATCTTTATTTATTTCATTTGTGTATATAGAAATCGAGATTGAAAATTAATTTTTTTAAAACTGCGTTTTGCGTTTTAGTGTGTTGCTCTTTCCCGCTCCTCAGATTAGCATTGTTGGCTACGTACGGTGCGAAATAAGTTCAACATGCATATATGTATGTTACATGAACTCTTTCGAATTCGGCATTACTACAACATGCCCTGCTCTGCAGTCATTTTCATTAAACGTGTGCGCTGTTATTTTATGTTTTCACATGCCTGTGTACCAGTGGTCATTGCACACCCTTAGAGATAATTTCACAAGGCCCTGATCATTAGCATTGTAGACGATGTGCCCTCGGTAAACCGCTGCAGTTGCCCGAAAACAAATATGGGTGCATTTTAATGCCATCCAGGTCATAATAAGTGGAGCCTTTTAACATGGTTCTGCCCGATGCTGTGCCCGAGATGGGTGGTGTGCTAATGAGTGTGTACGTCTATGCTGTACCCTGGTGACCGATGTGTTAACGAGTGTGTGCATGTCTGATGCTGTGCCCGAGATGGCTGGTGTGCTAATGAATGTGTACGTCTATGCTGTGCCCAGGTGGTTGGTGTGGCGCTGATGAGAAGAAGTACGTGACCGGAGGATGGTCATGGGTGTGGTGCTTGGTCTCCCAAGCTCAGAGGTGGGTATTTGTGGCGATTTTTTACCCATATAGCTCTTGTGCCACTGTCGCCCTGAGCCAGGCATGTCAGCATGCCTGCAATTTGACACGTGGTGTACACAGACCAGTTATGCAACGTAAGAATGTCACGAGCTATCTTTTCCTCGGTTCATGGGTCATGCATTGCATTGTGTAACAGTTGAATATATATTTGTTATCCGTCTCCTGAATATATGCACCGAATGTAGATTACAGATGTAAAAGCAGGTACAAAACCTGATATTTAATCTTGTAAGGATACAAGTGTTAATAAACTAATTATTTTCGTGTGCATTTTTACTTGTTTATTGTAAAGCAAATGTCTAAGTTAATCAGTTATAAAATTACTTATTTGTTTCCCTAAGAAAGGCTCACTGAATCTCAAGATTCTTACTTGATTTTTTGGCCAGTTGACTTTTTGGCCAGTTCCTTTTGAGTATTTTTGTGTCTGATGAAACTGAGAAGTCAGAATCCTCATAACTTAGCTTGATCCACCGACCCTGCCTCCTAAGTTGTGTGGCTGAAATGCCTCTGCCACCATACCCAGCAATATTTGTATATTTTCCCTTGAGTAGTACATACAGATGCATTGCATAACAATCCTTACGTAATGATTCCAGTGTTGTTTTATCCGTGGCCGGTTTAAACCTACTGATGCCTTAACCACTCAATAAAACGGTCCATTGCATCTCCCGTGTGCATTTGCCCTCAAGATTTAAGGGGAAAAAAGAGTACGTGCGGGCTTCTTTCACATCAGGCAAGGGGAAGGCACTTTTAGAACTACCCTTTTTTGTCTTTGTTATATCTCAACACGAGCCTAAGACACTGCACAAATCACAGCGAAAAAATGGGGGAGGGGCGGGGGACACATACACTCCGCAGACCACGTCCGAGAACTTAGTGCTCCTCCTGTATTTAGATGAAGGGAAACAATTGGGCTCATTGCCCCACTCTCGATGTGAGGACCGCTGAACCGGAACAAGGAATTTAGTATGAGATGGGGAAGACGAGGGAAGAGGAACTAACAGCGTGAAGGGATCGATGGGTAGAGAAGAGAGGAGGGGAAGAAAGGAGAGAGAGAGGGGCTTTTAAAACTACTCTTAATGGCAGGCAATGTTGTAATTGCCATTGCATTTTGGAAAGTAATTCGCCACGCGGACACGCCGACTGCACTTTCAGCAAGATGCACGTTTCTTGTTGTCTTGCAAGGATGCAAATGCGGCATGTGATGTAGACCATGGTAGAGCAGACTGGAAGGTGGTGGGTTTCAAATGCAGAACAGTAAGGGGCAGCGGCCATTTGCAGAGAAAGCTCGTCACTAAAATCCCAGTAACAAAAAGTAAAGCCGCCTGGTGAGGAATGCGAGGTATTTGTTCACGTGACCAGAGCCAGCCAATCAGAATGCCACAAATGAAATCTGGACTTTAAACCGGTGGTTGCTTAATTGTTTTTTTTATTGAACTTCACCAAATTGCTTATCAAACAAAGCATAGCATAGGAGGATATGGGTGGGGTAGGATTATTTTCTTTCGAAAACAAATGCAGCAGCCGTTCCCACCGTCATGCGTGCACGTGTTCCTTAGCAGAGTTGTGTTGTTGTTGCAGGGTTTGATATCGGTGTGTACGCCTGTTTGACATCTGTGGAGCTATACTGAGACCCAGTGTTCTGATTAGATTCCCGGCCATTACGAACATAAGTTACGAGGGACAATTGAACTGGTCATGACAAACCTCCCATTAACCAATCTGCAATGACCAGCGTGGTGAAGTATGTTTTTTTAAATCACAACAACCTACATAGCTGAAAAATGTGGATTGGCCTTCATCCAAAAGTACACTGAATAAGAGCTAAACGTCATTATTATTATTATATAGATTTATTATTCACAAACAACATCACTTTAGCTTGCAGCAATTTCTGAATGTTATGAATAACATTGGAACGGTGACTGGCAGTGTGGACTAGAGAAACGTGTTTTTACCAAGGGTACAAAACCTCGTTTAGCGAGCATCCGTAAAGGCTTGCACCATCACATGATGATGTGATGATGAGGAGGAGCCATAAGCACACAGCCATCTTTGTTTTCTAAGTTGACATTAGTGGCATGTGCACGCACACACACACACACGCTAGGCACTCACTCCAGGCTGAATTTCTGTCAGGGGAAGTCCTGTCCAGGCTAGGAGACGTCCTCATCGCGGGCGAGTCGTTCGTAGCGCGGTGCGCCAACAGCAACCACGCTCCTCCTAACATGCACATATTCGCTCGCAGACGTGCACATGGCGGCGCGTACGACTGCACGTACAGCATTGTAATGTAGTGTATCCATTGGGCCTATCGGACCCTGGTGCGTCACGCGATGTTCTGGCTCCGCTAGCGAGAGCGCACAGAAAGCGAGGGCTTGTTAATGAGAGGTAGTTGTGAGTTACGTGGCGCAGAACATGGCTGCAAGCGAGGAATATATGCAGTTGTGTTCACAAGCGGAGGGGCCTTGCCCCATGCGCCATTGTCTGGTCTCCGAGCTGTATTCTGCATCCTGTAAGATTTTTTTAGATCAGAAAGCGGCCTTGAAATTGAACAGTCATTTTCACAAGGTGGCATACTTGTGTTTTCAGATTATTGGATTTCTCATGGTCCTAAATGGGGATGGATATTTTTAATTGAATGTTTTTTACGGGTTCTTCATAAATGTTACTTGCAGGTTTGTGTGCTGCTCATTGTGTAGAATGCAATGGCCATCTGACCTGCATTGTTTCATTGCAGTACAGGAAGAAACGCACTTCGTGATGAGACTGTAGCTAGCGTGCTTCCCAGTGTTCTGAGGAATTGAATAGTTGAATTGTGGGTAGACTGTACAGGTCTGGCGGTGTGCGGCACAGTTCAAAATAAAATTAGAATTGATGTTTAAAATTAGTCTGTAAATGCTAATGTGAAATTCCCATTGCCGATACAAAGTGAAGGGCTGTGGGACGGATGTAATGCATTTAATGTGGAAACAGAACCGTGCTCAGTGGACTGATTAATGCACACTTAGGCTCTCACAGACGCATCAGTTCCCTGCCCATAATTGCAGTTAGTCTCTGGAGTGCCCGTTTACCCCTTCATGACATCATGCTGATGTTAAACTCTCCACAGTATGCTTACGAAGATGCGTGTATCTGCACTGTACGCTCTGTATGGTTGCAGATTGACGCTTTGTCATCAGTTTAATAAATATGCTCTATGTATGTACGTTTATGTGTACCCTGATGCTGCTTTGTGTGTACAGGGCGTGGTCACTTTTGACAACTGAATATTAACAAAACACAGGCATTGTTTTGCAATTCATAATTATATACACGTTTATACGAATATTTCGTAATGATCAAACCATTTTCCCGCCCCTGCATATACATTTTCATACTTTAATGATACACGTGGAAGTGTGTCAGTATAACATGCTTATATTTTATTTACAAAATATATATCTGAAATTAACTTAAAAGCCTGTACACTCCGCATGTATGGTTCTAGTTTGGAGGCACGTTTCGGCAGTGAAATTTACTAAGATCATCTGAAGAAAAGATGCTTGCTAATCAGGGCCACACGTCCACATACTTGTCAACCCGTACGGTTTACCCATATTCTTGCACAGGTAAATTGAGTTTTCAGCTCCATACGGTGTACAGCTGTTTCAATACGGGCAAAAAAATATTTGTGTTTCTCCCTTGTTATGGGACTTTGTAGCATGAATGTTGAGATTTATAAGGGCACAGGGTGACCAATAAGGGTTGAATTGGTCTGGAATAAGTAGGGCACTGATATGGTATGTGTCAACAAAACATCAAATCTGATGCCCTCTTAAAATCTGGACATGACTGGCCTACACTGATCAGTCCCCCGACCATACCGGTTCCTCTTTAGCACTTCATGCCTCTCATTGTCTTGACACACGTGTTCTTAGAAAACGGGCATCATTTGGCCAAACCCAGTTGATGCAGTATATGTGGCCATTTTGCAGTTTGTGTTGCATCTGATGGGTTCTATGAAAACAATTAAAGTAACGTAATTGCGGAGTGTACTCGAGGCATCTGATTATTCATATTTAGGCCGTGGCCTGATATGCATTTTGTGAAGGAAAGGATAATTGAATGTAAGCATTTTGTGTGGATTTGCCTTGCTTGCTTACTTGCAAGGTTTCTTGTCATCGTCATTTGGCATGTACTCCAAAACGTTTAGTGTTTTCCCATTTCCTCCTAAAGCCGCCTCCTTCGCACGTGCTCGCCGACCGCAGTGCGGGGTCACTTTTCCCGGAAATCCCAAGCGCGGCACAATCGCACGCAACTGCTCCTCGCACGCGAGCAACGACAACATTTTGATCGTATCCACAATGCCAGTCTTCAGAGATGCAAAAGTGCATCATGGACCACGCTTAAGAAAATAAGCAAGCGCGGTCCACATTCATTACGAATACTTGTTAAGGTTTTGGCAGCCCCGTTGGGTTTCACCCCGAAGCTCGGAGGCAGCAGCAGCAGCTGCTGCGTACGGCCGCCGGCGGCGTCAGATTTCACGGCGAGTGGAAATGTGGCGCGTTGGTTTGGGGTGCCACATAAAGGGCTGGCCAGCGAGCACGTGGAAACGAGGCCCTTTCGTCCCAGCATGTATGCACGACCCTCCCCCCCCCCCCCTCATTCTTCTTGCCATCATCACCAGGCCGTTTTTCCCGTTTTGTCCAGTTTTTACCAGTTTCTCCGGGCCAAATTAAGTGTGTGGATGCTTTTTGCTGGGCTACAGCACATAATACCGTTTGGCTTTATAAAAATGGAGGACCAACTGTGGGTACTTGGGTGGAGAATACAGTACTATATTGCACAAGTGAGTTTTATTGATTTGGAAAAGCACCATGTATGTGCCGTTTCTTATTTCCTTGGGCTCATTAGCACCTTAAATAATTCATATCCATTTATTGATTTTCACCTTATTGGCTAAAATTTGTATCTATGCTTAGTTCCTTATAAATTGATTGTTTTTAGTGATTTAATAAGGTGTGCCAGTTAACCTGTTGTCGAAGTTGTCAAAAGTAACGACATCAAAAAACCGCGGCTTTTAGTTCTCATCTGTGCAGTTTCTGTGAGCGAGTTGGTCAAAATTATCCCGAGTGCCGCCAGCCTCCATGGAACAAACAACCGCTTATGGGTCCCAGCTTGCGGTGCAACCTCAACCGCGTAGTGAGCGTTTCACTGACGCTGGAGGAATAAAAAAGATGACCCTGGCCTACATTTGAGCTCCGTTCCTCGGGAGCTGTGCCACTCTGCCATCTGCACTACGCCCAGGGCACGGGTGAACGTCGTAGATGTTGTTAAAGATGCGTGGGTTATTGTAGCTTTCCTCGCGGTAAATATTAAACGAGGTAGGCTTCTCGCTTTGCTGCGCTTTCATACATAATTGGAGATTGCAAACGTTCTCACTCTCCCCTGTCACAGTGCAACCATAATTATTTCAAGTTGCATTGTGCCATTGTCTGCTTTTGCTTTTTCGCCTGTTTTGAGTGCATTAACCTCTGCTATTTCACGTAAGAGTTTGTGTCTGTGTGTGTGCAGTGTCCTCTCTGCTTTGCCATTGCTTTCATCAGCTGCTCTTACCCCCCTCTGTCTTTGACTCGGCCTGAACCAGGAGAGGGGAGCGGGGGGGTGAACGGAGTAGTTAAGTGAAACAAAAGCCTTTAAAAAAAACCCTCCTGTTATATTTTAAAAAAGACGTCCTGCCAAGTCATTGCTTCAAGGTAAATTCAGTTGTGCAACAGAAATTGTCTTATCTGAATGACAAACTCCCTTCTCCCTCATTCTAACATTCCTTGGCGGATGGGTCCATTGATCCGTTGAATGGGGGGGGGGGGGCGATCAATTGTCAGAACCACTCTTGTCCTCCCCCCTCCTTGTGCGCTTGGCGCAGCTCAGTGTCGTCCATTCTCTGCTCGAGGTTTTGTTTGCAACGAGAGCTCCATTTAGAGTGGGAGAGTCCAACAACAGCAAAAACACGGGGGGAGGGGGGTGGGGAAGGGTGGTGGCAGTACGTTAACAGATGTCCATAATTCACAGAGCTGTATCAAAACAACTAACGTCCTTTGAGGCAATCATAATGGTCCTGTTATGTGCTTAAGTGGGATCCTTGACCTAATTAAATATTATCTTTATTGCATTAACCACACTCTTGAGCCTGGCACCTGGGCCCTCGTGCGCCTGCATCGTGGTCCAATTTCTTGATTTCGGTTCGCCACCGTGCCAGCGAGAAAGCAGGAGGGCAAGCCCAAGCCGTGTGCACGAAGATGCGGTTCGTACCTTCGGAGAGCATTTTTTTGTGAAGATATCGAGGTCTGATTAGGTCATATTGGGATCATATGGATTCAGATACCCCCACCCACCTTCAGTGGTAGTGTTGTGTCTGTAGGATAGGTGGCCGTCGAGTCAGTAGGTCAATGAGCTGTCTAGAGTTCTTCCTAGTATTCGTGACTTTTCTCCGACCATTCTCGTTTAAAGTCAAGGAAGAGACTAGATGAACCCTTTTTAAAATTAATCTTGTGATGTAGCCATCATAGACACATCTTCCATATGTTGTGTTGTCACCCCTATAGTTTTAGCATTGTTGGCTACATATGGTGCGAAAGAAGTTCTACATACATATATAGTCTTTAGACTGCTGTTACATCTGTTAGTGTTTTCATTCACTGTCACAGGCCCCCATCCAGCCTGCATAGAGAGCTTGTCATTGTGTCATGACTGAGCCATTTGAGCAGGCATCAGCTTTCAGCTACGCTGGCTGTTTCTCCGGAGTGAACCATTCGCTCAAATGAGCTCGGACACGGACATTTGGTACTCGGGCTCAACCATTTAGAGTCTCTTGGAGTACTCCGCCCTGTGCAGAGGTCGCGAACATAACCCCATGCGTGGTCCACCTGGCCGCCTCGCTTGCTATTGGGCGCTTGCCGCTGTGCCCCCTGCATCTGATGCTCTCTCACTGTCCTTTCTCTCTGCGTCTCATCTTTCGCATGCTGGCTTGGGCAGACTGCCCCTGGAGGTGATGACGCTGAAGCCTCTGTGTGAGCACGTGGAGACGTCCGAGGGGGTGCCGCTGTATGTCACGGGGGTGGCACAGGTACTGAACCCGCTCGGCGGGGGAGGTGGCTGGAGGGGTGGGGGCGGCGGATGTGCCACAGCCGGGCTCGGCCCGCAGAATCTGATCGCCGAATCCTTCCATTTTTGCCCGAGTGTCATCCATTCCACCCGCCCACGCAGGAAGGTGGCAGCACAACCAGATTCCCAAAGCCAGAGCAGTTAGTGTTTAATCATAAATTAGTAATTTAAAGTCCTCTGTGGATTTACTGCTGGATGAAAGCCTCCCGATGTCTTCATGGTTATGAAAGTTGTTTGACCATACTTCACCATGCTGGCCCATATGGACTGATAAACGTTGTGGGGTGGGGGGGAGGTGGATAGTGACCCATAACCAGTTCACATATCACTCACCACTGATTTTAATTATATTCAGGAATCGAACTGAGATCAATGAATTCACAGTACAGGGCACAGATGGCGATGCTAACTACTATATTCTTGGGTTTTTTCGGTAAAATCACGTAGGTAAAAAATTTAAATTAAAATTTATAAAATACAGCAAGCGTGCTGTTACGGTTCCACCTGAAGACGGAAGCTTGTGTTGCCTCCGAAACGTCGTGATTTTTATTAATTTTAATTTTTTTCCTACGTGACTTTATCGAAAAAACCCAAGAATATGAATCCTTGCAGTCACGAAAGCTTCAAATCTAGAACTAACTGTATGCTGTAAACATATGACTGTGGGAGCTGGATTTAGGAAATACAATTGGACTAATGTTTTAAAATAAGTTGACATACTTATCAAACAAATAGGTAAGAGATTCACGTAACATATGAATCCTTGCAGTCACGAAAGCTTCAAATCTAGAATTAATGCCCTCTACGGGGAGGAATTCCACCTATCTGTTAGAGTTTTTAACAGACGAGACAAGAAGTCACAGCTTCTCGAGACGCTGGCCTTCCTCAAGAGATAATGTTTTACCTACGTTACTTTACCGAAAAAACCTAAGAATATTGTAATAACATGTTTGTCATGAAACATATCAATCAAGACGCAAAAGGATCACGAGGATTCATCGATGCACCAAAAATTCACCGAATAATTTCACTTTTCCAAAGTGTAAGGTGGTCTTTTGAGAGGCTGCATGTGAACTGACATGGAGAGCAGGTAATAACTGTTATCCCCGCTAGGTAACACTAAAGGCCCAAGCCGCCATGTCTCTCCTCTGATTGGCTTGCTAGCGGAAGGGGGGTGTCGTCCTTTCTTGTTTATCCATAATAGAGGTTCCTGTGGGTTAAATCGCGTAAATTTGTGTCGTTAAACCAGCCACCACCCGCCACAGCCAATTAGTAAGGTTTGTCACGTAAACAGAACATGCTAATTCGTTACTCGTACAGCACACGAGTGTGTTGGAGAGCAAATCCACAACATTTACAATCTGAGTGCTACGTTTTGCTAGTAATTGCAAGTATAGTTTTAATTTTAATTATTGGGGAAACGTCGTAGCTCTTTATCAAGAGCAACCTGGCCACAAATGATAGCGCAACGAAGTGGCTTATGATGCGGAAATTTATAGCAGCCAAATACTCTAAACGCATGTTTCTAAATGTGGAGGAAAAAAGAGTAGGACCCGGAGAAAAATCCACATGACCACGGGTGAGAACATGCAAACTTCAAATATACAGCACGCATCATGGGACCTCCTTTGCCAGTACCAAAATATACTAATAGGGTTTTTCCCCTTTTTTCTGGCAACAAAACTGACACCTTTTTCAAGGAATCATGCTTACATTAACCACAATACTCATTACTCTGGTAGTGCGTTGTCTTTGAACTGTGCGCCTTTTGGCGTCATCTGTTCGAACACCATATGAGACTAGGCTCTAAAGAAAGCTGTCTCTGGTGTGGACCAATCAGTTTCACAGACAATGCATAAATTATCAGAGTATTGTTTTTTGTTTGCATTTGACTGCAAGTATTGTGGTTAATCCAAGCATGATTCCTTGCAAAAGGTGTCAGTTTTGTTGCCAGAAAAAAGGGAAAAAACCCTATTAGTATACAGCACGCGTCGGAGTCGGGATCAAACCCACGACCTCCTGTATACCATTCGAGGTCGTTAACATCTCGCCAATCCCAAAAGAGCAGAGCAGGCATGAGCTGGTTACACGGTCGCCTTGCTGTGTGCACGACCGCCAACAGACATCGCCACCATCGGCTTTTGCTCAAGTCATGTACGTTATTTGCGAAACAGTCAGAGCAACCGTTTGAATAGTTAACGTATATTTAATAGTTAATAGTGCCTATGAGTGTACTTGTATTATGTACTGCATTGTAATGTAAATATCATTATTATTGCTTTCCCATAATTGATATTGACATTACGAGTTGTTCACAGAGGACTTGGAAAAACATAGTAACAATTGGTTGTTGTTTTATCATTACTGAATAACTGTGAGCAGAAATGAGTGAACCAATAAGGTCCAGAAATGTTGACTTTAAATTACCTAGTTGGGATTACACATAGAAAACATCACATCCAAACCTGGTAAGACCCTCTTGAAAAAGTATAGACTGAGTGAGGCTTTTCTGGGTAAACTAGTGTCAAATGAATAACAAGTAACAACCATGGATTATATGACGGACTTTGAACCATAAAAGGTTGTTTCTGTTATAAATGTGTCTCAATTGTACTTAAACAATGTGCACATGGTAATAATACACAATGAAAAACATACTTACCACAATACGGAATTTAAAAAGTTACAAACACAAGGTCGGTAACTCACTCCCTGATCTGGCTGTGCTGTTCACCACCTCCGTCTGCAAGAATTTTGCATTCTCCCAACAGCCGCCCCCGCCTCTCCTTGAACCTCCCAACCTCCCTCCCAACGTACCCCATCCCAATAAACCCCGGTCTATTCCCAGCGTCTGTCTCGTGGACTAACCCAGTAACGACTAACCCAGCTCCCCCGTTTCACCCGTCCACAGCAGGGCCACCCATCATGGACCGCGTGAAAGGTAGGTGGTGGTGGTGGTTGGTAGTGCTTCACCCCGAGGCTAACAGTTTTTGCTCCTCAGGATTTCTCTTGAAATCATGACTCTGAATCCACGCTGCGAGGATGTTGAGACGTCGGAAGGAGTGGCTTTGACAGTTACAGGCGTGGCCCAGGTGAGATGGGATGCAGTGCGTGCGTGTGTGCGTGTGTGTGAGCGGTGCCATCATGATTAGCGCTCCACTGCGCTTCGAAACCAGCGACCCAAGTTCGATTGTCGCTCACAGGTAACATCGGCGCCGAATGTATTGAGCCGGTCTTGGGCCTCCCCGAGATCAATTCGCCCTTAAATAAATACTTGGTGCAGTGTGTAGACATCAGTACTGGGGAAACAAAGGTGACCGGGTGTGTTGCTGGCCACCCCACCCCCTCATGTGTGCTCTCTAATAGTCTTCTTGGTTTTTTCGGTAAAGTCACGTAGAATGGAAATAATAAAATAATAAAAATAAAACAAAATAAAATAAATCTCACGACGTTTCGACCACAACGCAAGCAGCCGTCCTCAGGTGAAGACCAGCGTCTCCCCGACAGACCTGTTCTTCACCTGAGGACGGCTGCTTGCGTTGTGGCCGAAACGTCGTGAGAGTTATTAAATTTATTTTTATGATTTTATTATTTCCATTCTACGTGACTTTACCGAAAGAACCAAGAAGATGAATCCCTGCAGTCACGAAAGCTTTAAATCGAAATCTCTCTAATAGTGTTGAGGCTATCTGAGGATCTATATCTTATCTTTGTGGGCGTCATTTGGCATCATGGGCTCCCATGCCTCTCCTGATTTTTGGTTCTCGAGATTCCACCTTGGGGGGGGGGGGGGGGGTTAGAGCTTTCCGGTGATGTGTTCATTGTCTAAATGTCAACTGCACTGTCGATCGGATACCAATTGGGCATAAATCTAAGTAACAAGTAACGTTAAAACAATAATTTTTTTTGCACACTGTGGTCCTTTTTGAAAGAGAGCCACAGCAGTTAAATATACATTTTTATATCGTACATTCACTACGCTGTCTTGTGAGTTTATGCCACACGATTAACATCAAATATGAGGACTATAACAGGGGAAAAAAACACGGTTTGTTTTAGACTTATCGTGCAGTCTTTGATAGCTAATAGCGTTGCTAGTATTACACCTAGTGCAGCACTTACACTGCTGGTGTGTTGTTTTCATTGCTGGGCCATTCATATTGGCTCATGGGGAGTCATCCATGTCCTTTGTACATAGTGCCATATTTGACTACTCAAACATCCTCTCAATTTGCTAAGATAACAGCTGTGGACACCAGCTGATGCTGCACGGGTGATTTAATCCTTTTAGGGAGCCTGAATCTCTTCATGGTTCTCACACTGCACTACGATCCCGGGCCACCCGAGTTCAAATCCTGTGCGCGGTGCACAAATAGAAGCAAGTAGAACCTGAAGCTTACCTGTGCAGCCAACCTCACAATTACTAGCAGCTTTCCGAGGTAGTTTGCTTCTATTTGAAAAACTTGGCGTGCCGTTTGTCCAACTAAATTATAAGAGCCTTTCCGAAGGCATGAATGCAAACACCCTACATACAATAGAGTCAGTAGTATCTGCACACATTGGGGGTGGGGGGAAGAAGAGGACATCAGTGGGGGTGACGGGTGAGGTACGAAGCGCTGAGAAGCCCTTCGCGGGACTTAAATTAAGACAGGTCGCCGAAATTCTAGAAACAAACATAGTACAGTCTGTTCTCCTATAACGCGGTAGTTGCGTTCCTGAATAACACCGCGTTATCGAAGAATTGCGTTAGAATATATAATATGGGGTAAAGCACAGTCCGTGATAACACGTGAGATGCGTACGCTGGCTGAACAAAGACTGAGGCACGTGGGTAGCATCTAGAAGCATCCAGCAGCATCCCGCCTAGTCGCGTGACATAGTGCTGTTCACTCAGTCGCGTTATACCCAGTTCGCATCCACGTTATAAAAAAATGTGGTGCCAAATACATTCATCGCGTTATATCCAATTCGCGTTGTGAAAACACGCTTTATAGGAGAACAGACTGCATCTGATGCATTGGATAGAGAAATGTGACAACGTATGCATTGTGCTAGGTCACATGACCCATTTGTGTGCCATACCAGCCCTTACCCCGAGCAGAGGGGTATGTGTGTGGCTACGCTGGGTGTGTTTAGTCGCTTGTTCACCCACCCTGTGTGTATGGATTTCACGGCAGGTTGAGTCGGCTCGACAGCAGGTGTTCATACAGCACGTGGATGCAACAGGAGTCCGGCCGAACTTTCCATATTTAGAAGGAACACCACTTTCTCTCACAAACAGGGGGGGCGTGGTGGCTGTGTTGGCCATTGTGAATGCCGCACCGTCTGCATGAAAACGTAGAGTCAACATTTGCGCTTTGCTCGCGAACGTTGGAATAGATTTAGCGTTTCTCTTGTGGTTAAAAGTGCTCGCGTGAATCTGTGCTCTGTGGAAAATTTGCCATTGATTCTGCTGATCCTTGTCACAGATTTGTAGCAAAGTTCTGTGCGCACACGTGCAGGTGTGGATGTGGTTGCGAGTCGTGACAAAAACAACCTCCACCTTGTCTTGTCAGGTAGTAACACTGTGGGGAGTTTTAAAATAATACAATTGGTGGAAAGGTTGATGTTAGATTATATTACACCTGGGCCTCACCATGGTATGCTCATTCTTAAATGAGTACCTGGTGTGGTTTTATAATTCGCAGAACCAGGGAGATGAAGACTGATGTTGGCCACACAACCCGTTGTGCCATGCTGACCTTAATAGGTGCTTGCTAACTCTACCATCCAGCAGAGTCTTTATGGGTAAATGGGGTATGTTGGTTGATGTTGATGAATATGATTATATGTTTCGATTTAAAGCTTTCGTGACTGCAGGGATTCATCTTCTTGGTTCTTTCGGTAAAGTCACGTAGAAGGGAAATAATAAAATAATAAAAATAAAATGTGGTTGCGAGCCGTGACAAATTATATTATTTTCTTATATTATTATATTAATTTATTATGTTTTATTTTTATTATTTCCCTCCTACGTGACTTTACCGAAAGAACCAAGAAGATGATTATATGTGTTTGTGCATCGACGATTGGACCTATGCGCGCGTGTGTTTGTGCACACGCGTGTATGTGTGTATGCGTCGTTATGTATGTGTGTGTGTGTGCGTGTGCCTGTTGCTTGCATCCAGGTCAAAGTCATGACAGACAAGGACCTCCTGGCTGTGGCCTGCGAGCAGTTTCTGGGTCGCACGGTGGATGAGATCAAGAGTGTTGTTCTGCAGACCCTGGAGGGCCACCTCCGATCCATCCTCGGTGCGCAGCAGCTGCCTTGCGTCTCCGTGTGTTGCGCAGTCTCCGTATGTTATGCTGTGTGGACGCATGCAGGATTTTTGTGTTGCAACATCGCGATGCAAAAAGCAAATATCTATTTTCTTAGAGACCAAAATATGTCTGAGCATGTATATGCCATCTGTATGCTGTGTCTCAGGATGGTCCCAGACTTGCTGGATGACTATCCTCTGGGGGGAGGGGAATCAGCAGACTTGCTCCTGCTTGGATATTCTTATAGGACGAGCATCTGAAGGGCGCCGTTGTGGCGAGATGTTAACTACCTCGCCTGGTAATTCAGGAGGTCGTGGGTTCGATCCTGACCCTTGACGCCTGCTGTATATTTGGAGTTTCCATTTTCTCCCCTTGTTTGTGTGGATTTTTCTCCGGGTTCTCCGGTTTTCCCTTTCACATTTAGAATCATTCGTTTGGAGTATTTGGCAGTTATACATTTCCACGTGATAAGCCATGTCGCTGAGCTTATCCGTTTGTGTCCAGGTCGCTTTTGAAAAAGAGCAAAATAGCTCAGTGGGCCTTACCTGGTATTTACATAGGGTACTGTACCCTACGTTCTGCGTCGTTGGGCGAGTGTTGGCATCGCGTGTCGTGTATTGCGCTGGCGAGAGCGCGAGGTGACGGCGGTGCGTGCTTTCGCAGGAACCCTGACCGTGGAGGCTGTGTACCAGGACCGTGACCAGTTCGCGCAGCTTGTGCGGGAGGTGGCCTCGCCTGACGTGGGCCGCATGGGGATTGAAATCCTCAGCTTCACCATCAAGGTGCCTGCGTAGCCGAGGGCACTTTACGGCCATGTGCTTCAGAGCACCAAGCCAGTGCTGCCGAGATCTTGGGTTTAAAAGTCCACATTTTAGCTGCTTGTGATGAAGCTAGTGTTGCTTGAAAACAAATTATGCACTCTTTTAGAGGATTTTAAGCAACATGCATGGATTAAGGTTTGATCCCAATTTGTTTAACTGGCCTGACCACCAGCAGTTCCGTATTGATGCCATTCTGTACATGAAGCTTGCATTTCCCATCTTTTTCTTATGTTTTTACATGTGCTGTATGTGTTGGTGTGATTGAAGTGCTGTCTTACAATAAACGTTTTACAACCTATTTAACAGGCCCAACTGCTGATGAGACCCAGAAGGTCAACACGAGTTCAGAGTTTCCTGCTAATCCAATAACTCCTGTACAGCACTATTAAGCCTGCTTTTCAATTGTAATTATGAGTCTCAGTCCATTCGACAATGTGATATTTTTTTTTTCATTGGACTAATTGGAGGTGAACGGCTATAGGATTAGAACTTAATTCAGTGAAGCCTGAGATAAACGCCTCGCAGATTGTGACCGGGTGTTCGTATTACCGTGCTCATGCAACATCCAACTCTGACTTTTCTGCGAACGGTCTTCTCATGCCATTTTGTCTCGGCGCTCGGCAGGACGTCTATGACAAGGTGGAATACCTGGCCTCCCTGGGCAAGACGCAGGCGGCGCTGGTGAAACGAGACGCCGAAATTGGTGTGGCCCAGGCCGAGAGAGACGCAGGCATCCGGGTGAGAGCCCTGACTCCTTCCCGGCAAACACGAGCAGCGTCGCATCCGCCAGCTCGGCGCTGTCCTGGCCCATTTGTCACACACGTACAGAACTGTCCTGTCCCCGTTGTTCCGAAACACGATGCTGCGCAGCTTCATGTTTCTATCTATCTAAACCCCACCCGCTGTGACCCCCTTCACCTCCACTCACAGGAGGCCGAGTGCAAGAAGAACATGATGGACGTCAAGTTCAACGCCGACACGAAAATCGCCAACTCCAAGCGAGAATACGAGATGCAGAAAGCCTTTTTCAACCAGGAGAGTCAAACCAAGGTGCGTGGGGAGCGGTGCGTCCCGCCTGCCTACATTGGTGTGTGATGGTTCGCAAAGGCCCTCTCACATCCTTTGCGTGCTTGCCTGTGCGTCCGCTCGTTCAGAAAGCCGAGGCGCAGCTGGCGTACGAGCTGCAGGCCGCCAAGGAGCAGCAGAAGATCCGGCAGGAGGAGTGCCAGATAGAGGTGGTGCAGCGGCGCAAGCAGATCGACGTGGAGGAGCGCGAGATCCAGCGCACGGAGCGCGAGCTCATCGCCACCGTGCGCTGCCCCGCGCAGGCCGAGGCTTTCCGCGTGCAGCAAATCGCCGAGGGAGAGAAGTACGAGTGCCGCCGCGCCCGCGGCTGGACCGGGGTCGGAGCGATTCGCACGGCCAAACCGCGCACCGCGTTCTCGTCGTAGTGGAGGGATTCGCACGGCCAAAACCGCGCACCGCGTTCTCGTCGTAGTGGAGCGATTCGCACGGCCAAAACCACGCACCGCGTTCAGGTCGTGAAAAATCAAGGTAACGCTTGATCAAGCGCGGCGCGTTTTCCCCGCTCTCACCGCCTCTCCCACTTCTCCCCTCTGCCCGTTTCGAACCGAGCAGGATCAAGCGCGTTCTGGCTGCCCAGGCCGACGCCGAGAGGATCAAGAAGATCGGCGAGGCAGAGGCGGCCGCCATTGAAGCCATCGGGCGGGCAGAGGCAGAGGAGATGCGGCTGAAGGCCGAGGCCTACAAGCAGTACGGCAAAGCCGCCATCACCTCCATGGTGCTCGACGCCCTGCCCAAGGTAGGCGCCCTGTGGACGGCGTACGCTCGCACCACTCTGCCGTGCGTCAATGACAACAAAACGCCTCTTGGGGGCAGCCGACGCGTTTACAGGCAGCTGATATTCTGGGCTGGGCCTCTTCTTCGAGGCAGAGCGAGAAATGAACGTGATTGTGGGGAATTTATCTTTAGTAGATAAACATGAGCCAGAAACTAGATAGAAAAAGAGCAGACCTCTTGGGATCTTTGGGAAGGGGGGGGGGGGGCATCTTGGCAGGGAGGTTTGCGACTCCTTGTTATGCTTTCAGAATTATTTTTCAAGACACACGAGCACGGGCCAGGGATACATGGCCGCGGTGGAGGGTGGGTCGGGGGCGGGAGGCGTGACTGACGTCAGCGTGGACGCAACAAACCCAGCTCGACACTTATGATGCGGGTGATGTCATCGCGCAGATGTGCACGGTGACGTCACCATTGCGTGCCAGCCAGCCAGCAAAACTTAAAAAAATCATAATACGTTTTTCAGAGTACTTTTCCTTAAGTCACTTGCTTTATCGAGTAGTGGAGGATTTCACGCACGTAGATTTTTTAAAAATGAATCAAGTTCTCAAATATAGAAGTTGATCTCGGCCAACAATTTGCATGTGTGGAAATGCAGTGCTTGCGTGTGTGCATACGTACATGCATGCATACGCGAGTGTGTGAAAGCATGTCCAGCACTTAAGTTTTGGTGCGTTTCCATGTCTACACATGCGTGATCGCGATGCGTGCGTGCCCGTCCTTGGATTAGATCGCAGCAGAGGTGGCGGCGCCGCTGCAGAAGATCGATGAGATTGTGATCCTGGGCGGAGACGGAAACCGCACCACGACGGAGGTGACGCGGCTGCTGGCGGAGCTTCCTGCCACCGTGCACGCCCTCACCGGCATCGACCTCAGCAAGGTAAGGCTGAGTGGCGACCACGTCATGCGATACATGGTGATATACATTTGGTGATGAAGTATATGATGCAGCTTACGATGCGATGCAGCATGCTGGCACCACACGTGCCGATATGCTACCACAGCGATTGTGAAGGATGTGATGTAAACAACGTGTGATGGCCCATGTTGATCCTTGTCCTTTGTTTCCTTGTCCTCCTGCCAGTCTCCCCTGATTCAGAAAATGGCTGGGGTGCAAGCGTGAGCGTGCGCCGTGGGGGGGGGGGGGGTGATCGCCGCCTCGCTGGTGCGCCGCCGCCTCGCGCAAGCTCCACGGGCTCGCGCCTCGCTGCAGGCGCGGCGGCGTCCTTGCCATCGTATCGTCGTTGGGATCTTAAGACGGCCGTGTAACTTAAGTGTACTTGCTAACACCTCACTAGCCTGAAGAAAATACAAATACTTAATCATCTCACCTATCACTATAATCACAGTGTGGAATACGTCTGGGGATTCAATTGTCACTCATGATCAGAATTGCGCCCTCGTGGGCCGTGGCGCACGGTTGCAGTGTGGTAGTTTGTAGCGCGGTCTGATTTATGATTTCCATGCCCTGTTTCGTGTTGTCCAGAAACAGTTGCTCCTGGTTTTTGTTGACGACCGGCTTCTGGATCCGAACGCGTTAGCATTTAACTACTTGCGTTCCACCGTACATTCGTAACAAACAGTTGCGAAAATAGGCAGGCAATTTCACCTTGTTTAGCAGCCGGTACGCATTATCCCCCATGCTCAAACGACGGGGGAACCCTGTTCTTGCGGCAGCCATTGGTGAGGAGCAGGATACGTTGCTCATGGATCTGGTGTTGCTGAGCTTCTCCACCTCACCGATGGGCGGGTGCTGAGGCTCGGGCCAGAGCGTTCGTAGGCCTCCCTGTAACCCTGCCGCAAGCAGGACCCCCGCCCCCGCACTAAAGCCGTGTAATTCAATCCTCGGTGCTGTTTCGTTTGATTCTGATGCTGATCGACTTAAAATCCCAGTGTGAACAAATTTTCTTTATCTTGCATGTCATTTGTTAAACCCACGTGACAGCCTACGGACACGATAAAAAAACATCGTTTCATGGTGTGTCCTTTTTTACTTTAGTTTTAGTGATTTTTTATAGTTTGCAAATATGTACTAGGTCATCATGATAGTTTCACACCGAATGCGTGTCACAGAGTGATCACTCTCCACTGAGCCATCTACATATCATACCGGGTGTCTTGTCAAGTCGGAAACATTTGCAATGCTGCGCGTCGTGTCGCACTGCACGCCAACGCTGCGCGGCTCCCCCGGCCACCTCCAGTGTCGCTCCTCCAACACGCCGCCTCCGCTTCTCGGTGTCGCACCGAGGGTGGCGAGGGGGGTTGTTGGGTGGCAGGTGGGTGTCCCGCCTCTTTGGCTTGAGATTTTCTCGGTTTTGTTTTTTATCGTGATAGTGCTGGGCATTTTATTTAAATTTTATTAATTTAAAGCCGAAGAAGCAGACTATATGTCCAGGTCCAGTGAATTTGTTAACGCTGCGGACAGTTTGAACGTTTTAAATATAACAAAACAAACGGGTTATTGTTCATTTTTATAGCACAGGCCCTTCGCTTGTGAAGGTGCGTTCCGTTCTTCTAACGTTCACTGGCAGTGTTACATTTGAAGAACTGGGGGGGGGGGGGGGGGGGGGGAGGGGTGGTGCTCCCCCGATGGCCTTGTGGTGGTATGGGCTGTGCAGCGTTGGGTGTCCAGTGGCTCGCACCGACGGGACAGAACATGTTTTATGCATTTGTGGTCTTCGCGACTTGGCATTCGTGGATATGAACCTATTCTCTTTTTACTACGTTTGTTTTTTCTTTTCGGGAACGTGAAGTTGATCCGAAGTTATGTCACACTTCTGATTGGTACTTTTCGTATGCAATTGTCTTCGTTATCTTCAATTGTGTTCATCGTTTGCGTCGAGATGGCAAGAAAAACGCTACGTGGTTGACGGCCAGCTGTTTGCGTCACTTGCATCGCATGGATCCATTGAGAACGCAAAATGCAGCCGTTAACCCTGCATTGTAAGACTAGCATTTCCCATTTACGCTTGTAACATACACAATCGGTGGCCTTTAACAGAGTTCTGAATGCAGTCGCAAACGTGATGGCGATCGCCTCTGGTTCCACGCAGGGGACCTCTTATGCTGTTACAACAAGAAACCCCATCCTCATGGACTGTGCTTGGCATCTATGGATGCACCTGGCATTCTCTGTGTGTTGTTGATTTTATCGTCATATATAAAAAAAAATTCCTGGGAATTTTTTTTCTGGGGTCATGATTACAATATTGCGCGTAACAATCCGCAGAAAAACAGCAATGGCCGAGATAAATAATATTCAGGATATTAGAAATGTAACAAAATGCCTCTGAAAATGGGGTCCCTGCAGTGTGAGGCGTTCACTGAAGAAAATTGATCGTTGACGCAAGGAAATAAGCCTGCGATGACTATTTGCGGTGTTATTTCAACCCAAAGTAAAACTGATGTCAAATTATAATAAATCACTGTCATTGTAATAGTCGAAGCTTTACTTAAAAAAACAACCGTATAAAAGCTCCCCAGAAATGTTTTTTCCCAGGAATATTTTTTCGTGGATATTGTTAAGTGTTACAATTCGGCGCTATTAGTTAATCGGTTTCTTATCTGCATGATGCGTGCGTTTGTCAATTTTTTCTACAACAGTGACCTGCCAAGGCACCCGGTGAGTGCGTTCACCTCGCTCAGTCGGTGACCTTTTAACCTTGAGAGTCCAATGAAACCAAAGCCCCTTTGCAACGGAGGCCTCGTAAACCTACAAGGAGAGAACTCTACGAAATACAAATGCTCCATTTTCGTTGCTTGCATGTATTAAGATTACTTATGTGACACATCTACATTACAGCTTGGCCGCACATTGAGACTGACACGCATATGTAATTAACTCTAATACAAGGAGGCTTCAGAGGGCGTGGAGAATGATAAAACATCTCCCATGACATCTTACTATGCCCCTTACATCGATGACGCTACACCAGACGGCACCGTCTCCTCACCCACGTGGTGCAGCATACAACACCGTCGCCTCACCCACATCACGAGCCCCTCCAGTGCCTTGTGATGGTCACACTGAAAGGCCGTAATACTAGAACTGAACTTTTTATTTGACCAGGTAAGGCCCACTGAGCTATACAGTCTGGCTCTGTTTTTAGAAGCGACCTGGCCACAAATGATAGCTCGACGTAGTCACTTATGTGGACATTTATAACAACTAAATACTCGAAATGCGTGATGTTGATACTAAATGTCGTGGGGAAAAATCGGAGGACCCGGAGAAAAATCCATGCGACCACGGGCAGAACATGCACTGCAGTGGGACTCCTTGCAGCCGACTGACCCCTCTTGTCCATCAATGGCTTTCTATACCCCCATGTGTTGGCAGCTGCATGCGTTATGTTATGAAGGTAAAATGTGCGGTAATACCCATATATCAAGAAATGAATAAACCATACTGCAGTTACTAAGTTGATGTTAAACGTGCTAACTTATCTGCGTGTCCCGTCAACAGCTTTGGAATGCTATGCACGTAGCGTTGATGAAGCTTTGTTGTGTCTTGGGTAACCCTTGAGAGCAGTGGTTCCCAATGGTCGCGGACCCGCGGACTACCAATGTGAAACCATCCTGGGGTTGAAGCTTCGTGAATGCGAAAATACAATTTATGGCCATGTATGCCATTTATAGCGCTCGCAGTGGCGTCACTGTGATGCCGTTACATTTCTACGCAAGTTCAGTGGCGTCGCTAAGGGAGCTGTGAGTGAGCGTCTGACTCGACTACTTTAAAGTCTGTCCAGCACAAGCTGTAAAAAGAAGAGCCTCAGTTTGATGTGGGACAGCCAGGAATACACAGCCTCTGCCGGTATCAACCAGACAGCAGGTTTTTTTGTCCGGGTTGCGACTTTAAGTCCATGCAGTGTCGGAAGTGTGGAGAGTGTGTCATTGCAGAAGCCACCACCGATGAGTTTGGCAGTGACGGGTGCTACTGCTACTGCAAGACTCGTAAATGATGGGTGATGTCCGAGCCACCGGTTCAGAGTGCGCCAAACGGGGTCGGCCTTTCAATCGCCATTGCAGTGGCTTTTGTTTTCGTTGCTCGTGATGCCGCGTTCCACCTTGCGTGCCGACGAGAGACCTCTTTTTATGCTTCTTGTAAAAATAATCCAACTTGACCTTTTTCCAAGAAAGATTCGCTGTGCATGCAGACCTTTGTCAGGCAGTTCCCACATTTTTTGTTAAGGCATTTTGTATGTGGGAGGACACCAAAGTGGTTGAGAAACCTCACACGGCAGAGGGGTAACAAACAGACCCCATAGGTCTGTGTTGTTATCTCGCAAGCCAGCAGGTTGTGGGTTTGACAGACTGTCTCCGCGTGAAATACCTACCCCGGTACCCAACTATTGGGTCAGAATAATCCAATCTAGGCACAGTTGCATTTTCGTTTGAAGAAATTTGATATTAAACCAATGTATACAATATATAGCTTTTAAATGTAAAGTTAGCATATGTGTCAGTAGACGTTCAGTGTCGGGTAGCTGAGAGTGCTGTTGCGTGTATACGACTGCAACGCAGAGAAGGGTGGTCGGAAGGATTTGAGAACGAGACGCAGGACTCCTGGCCACATGGTTTTGGAGTCGTGCCACGAAGCGGTCACCGATAACATCCTGGGTTAGGATATGGCCCCGTGTTTTATTAAATCAAGTTTTCAAGTTCAGCGAGTGAACGGTATCAGCCTTCTCGTCAACGACTGCACCAAAAGCCATCAAATTTTTACGATGCCAAAATTGCAACTGAGAGTTATTGATTTGACTTGACGTGTGACGAACCTTTGTTTGCGGCAGTGTGAGAAGGTGTGCATCCCAGAGTGCGTGAGGAGGCCACTGGAAGGGATCTCAGACGTAGTTTTGTGATGTCTGCTTCTTTGGTTGATGCACTGCTCTGCAAGTTTCGAATTTGACAGTCCGTCCCATGGCATGTTGGCAATTAGCACGATTGGGAAAATATTTTTTTTAAAGATAGTCCATGCACAAACTTAAAGCGGAGGCGTATTTTGAATGCGCCGCTTGAGGGTGTGCTTATGACGTAACGAGAGAGATGTGCACTCAATGAAATGGGCAGGTGTCTGCTTTTCGCATCTCTGTCAAGTTCTCAAATGGCTTTCGAGAACCCTTCGTAGGTGAATAGTTCATTGGTGTAATGTGTGTGGGGGGGGGGGGGGGGGGGTAGCTACGCTGCACTACGAACCCGGCGGCCCGAGTTCAATTCCCGCTCACGGCCAACACCGGTGACGATCATCTGAACCGGTACTGGGCCTCCCCTAGGTTGACTCTGTCTCAAACGTGTACCTGGTGTGGTGTGTAAACAGCACCGCTGGGGAGACAAAGGCGACCGGGCGTGATGTTGGCCACCCACCCCCTCGTGTGCCGTGCCGGCATTCATAGGTGCTCGCTAACAGCACTTGCCCCAACAGTCGGTTGAGGCTATACGGTGGTGTGGGGCGGGGGGCGTCTTTGTCGTCTTTGGCGTAATGTGTGCATGTTTCTATACAACGTAATATCTCGTTTTTTTTCGTCGGGAGCTGCAATCATTTTTCGCAATCGCAGTACATTATCCGTTGTTCGTACGAGGGTTAACACTTTTGAGATTACCCGTGCTCGCTTTGTGATTTCTCGAGCCTCTCGTCTTCGGTAGATGCAGGGGGGTTGGTCACTTCGATGGTGATATCAGGTGTGAGCAACTCCCACGCGACAGAAGATCGATTCTGCCCCTGTGCTCTGTAGCTCTTTTTTTTTTAATTCTCGGTATTGGTCGCCCGAAAATGCTCGCCGCACATGCAGACTTGATAATATAGCGATCCGCTTGAATAGACGAGATAGAGGGCTGGGTCACCAACTCCCGCATAAACACGGTGTGGGAACACGGGAGTCAAGAGTTTTAAAAAATTCCATGCAGAGTGCGCTCCAGAAATTTCAAGTAAAAAAAAATAGAACCCTACATTAGTACTACGACGAATTTAAACACAATCTTAATACATTTCATCTGACAAAAACAAGTATAAAATACCACTTCAGGGTGTCACTTGCGGATGCTTGCCTACTACCAAACCACATGCGTTCCCATCATCGCTACCCACGCGCAGAGATATTCCACCGCAATTTGCGTCGGAGTCGCGTGCAGTTGGAATCGCCGAGTGACCATGGACACACCGTGTGAACATCCCGCAGGCTCAGCATTCGTGTGCCAGACTCCGCACCGATATCAAGTCTGACTCCTTGCCGATTGGTTTGGTCGACGACGAACTGCAGCTCTGTTCTCTCTCGTACATCGCACAAGCCGGGCTTTTATTGTCCAAATGTTCCACTTACACGACTGCCAGACCTTCCGCTACCCTCGGAAAGCCAGACGCTGCAAGGGTTTTCTCCAATGTGCATGTGCCGCGGCGTCTGTTAAAGCCATATTCGGTCTCTTTTATAGCATCTCTCTCGTAGGCTGATGCCGCAAAGGGTCGTGCCCATGTGGCTCATTGTTCATGGATTGTGAAGTAGATTGCGTTCATCTAGAGTTGGATGTGGTTGATGAATAGTTATTAGTGTTTTCGGTTTATTTTAGTCGACGTTTCGTGCCCTTCATGGTGATAATAAAAGGCCAATACAAGTCACGAATTGCTGGTCATTGAACCCAACGTGGAGAAATATCTCGAAAAACAAGGCGAATCTCTTTTCCCCTACATTGGGTCACGCGTGGCATCGTGAGCTCGCACACGGCGCTGTGCACGCCGTGTGCGAGCCCCGAGGGCGAGCCTGGTGCGCCTTTCGTAGGTGTAAACGCGGTTTATACCGAGTGCTATTCCTACATGTCCTTAAAAAACAACCCTTGGGCAGGATGGCACCGTGGCTACCCTCCTGCTGATCCCGAATAACGAGAGTTCGAGCCCATCTAAAGTATATTCAACTGGTGGGTGGTTGTCGCTTGCGCCCGAGATGCCGTGCCACCTTGCTGAACCCGAACGCTTTGAGGTGTCTCTGTTCTTTGTGATTATAGGGGGGGGAGGGGGGTCACGGTGAAGCCACCTCTGATAAGTCCGTCCAATTACCTTGAAGGTCATGAGTCACACAAGTTCAATTTTTGGGGGCTATCGTTGCTAACAACCGTCACTGGCAACGCATACACCACGAGTGACGAGAGTTATTTCTCGCCAACGACAGCAGTGGTATTAATTGGCTGGCATGGATCAGAGGCCCCATTAAAGCCATCGTGGCCCATCACGCCAAACCGTGACATCCGCAGTACGCCACATCATCGCACCACATCGTCACCTCCAGATCCATGCAAAAGCCACCAATGTGGCAAATGCAGAGCGCTGAGACGTTGGATGGTCACGTGACCTCTGACTTATTTTGACCGGAGGTCGCCGTCCTTGTTTGCACGCTGGGGGGGAGGGGGATGCGGGTGGCATCGCATGTGGTCAGACTTTGGGCAACGACGTAGCTCTGACATTGCCGTCGTGGACCATGGCACCTCCTGCGTTCCCATCTTCCGCGAGCAATCCACTTCGTTGTGCTACGAAACCCAGAGCCATTGTACAAGGTGGTCCAGATGCCTTGTGACCCCCCCCCCCCCCTTCTATTCATGGTGGTCACGAGGTATCTGGACCACTATGCACGGTGCTTTTAAGTCACACCCGCGGAATAATGATGGAGTTAAACTTCTGGTCACACATCTGCGTTTGTATCTGTGTCCTTAATAGTGACGTCTCGGGGTACAAATCACTTGGTCAATGGAGCCGCGGCATGGGGGGGTTGTAATAAGAACATTGTTGTAGCTTGGAGGGGCGGTCACGCTTTCTGACTTGGCAGAAGAAATTCCACAACTCTCAATTTTCACGTGAGAGAAACTCTCAACCCACGGGGGTGAATGGGCATTTTACTCAATGTTGGCACTCACATGGACGAAACGACGATACCATTGGTTCCTGGATGCCGAGTAGATGTGCTTCTGGATAGTTTTCTGCATGCATTCGACTGCTGGTCACTCACTATCCCTGCGATGTGTGTGTGTGCTCGCTTCATCTCGCTGGCTGCGTGTGGGTCTATGGACGCGCTCCCCCGCTCCTCGTGCTTGTATGTGCTCCGGGCGTTTCTAACAGATTCGATGTCAGCTTTTACAACTTTACACTGTGCACACTTTTTTAGGTTACAGTTGTACATGGTTTTCATGAGTTTGACTTTACATCCTTGATTATACACTAAATCGTACTCTAATAAAAGTGAATTTACAAACAAAATTAAAACATCTGTCCCCAGATAAACTGGTCTCTGTGATTGTTTATGTGCCTCTTATCTTTAAATGTACTGCAGGAAAAGCGATATTTGCCTCTGTGAAATTGACATCTGTGGTCTCCCTGTCCACCCTCTCTTTTTTTTACGATCAGAGGAAACAAGAAGATGCTCGGTGTATTCGGCACTTTGCTTCGTTCATCATTTTGGTTTTTTTGCCAATGCTTTGCTTTATGTTACCCCCCCCCCCCCCCCCCACTTTTTAAATGAAATATTTCACAAGATTTCACGCTCTGCTCTCCTTACCCATTCCCTCTCTCTACCCTCTCTCAACCCCCCCTCTCTCTCTACCCCCCCCCCCTCTCTACCCCCCCCCTCTCTACCCCCCCTCTCTCTACCCCCCTCTCTCTCTACCCCCCTCTCTACCCCCCTCTCTACTCCCCCCCTCTTTACCCCCCTCTCTCTACTCTCCCCCTCTCTCTACCCCCTCTCTACTCCCCCCCTCTTTACCCCCCTCTCTTTACCCCCCTCTCTCTACTCCCCCCCTCTCTCTACCCCCCCCCTCTCTCTACCCCCCCCTCTCTCTACCCCTCTTTCCCTACTCTATGTAATTTTGTTTTACTACGACAAGTGCTGCATCTGCACCCCCGCCCTTCTCGCAGTCCTACCAGCCTCCAACGGGTAGCTCATATTTGCATGCAGAGCTCTCTTTTGCCACCGAGCACACGGCCTCCTCCAGCGCCAACTGCTGCTTGAAGGCCGGCACGGCGTGGGTCAGCCGCGCATGGCAGAACTCCAGCCACACCCCGGCTCTGACCAGTCCACCCTCTCCCCTTCATTGTGCCATGCCCAGTGTGGTCCACGTCAGCAATGAAGCATCGCTCTCCTCCCTCGGCTCCCTCTCGCCTCTCGACTGCCTCGCTCAGTCCTTCCACCCTGCCTTTAAATTGAAACTATTAAACTTTTATTTTATTTTACCACGTAAGGTCCACAGAGCTATATCGCTCTTTTTTTCGGAGCGATCTGGTCACAAGTGATAGATCAAAGAAGTGGCTTATCACGTGGAAATGTATAGCAGCCAAATACTCTAAACGCGTGTTTCTAAATGAGGGGAAAACCGGAGCGGAGGACTTGGAGACAATCTACGCGACCACGGGGAGAGCATCCACACTCCAAATTAACAGGCGTCAGGGTCGGGATTGAACCCATGACCTGCATACCAGGCGAGGGAGTTAACATCTCACCACCACGGCGCCCCCATCAACTCCGTTGCTCCATCATAGTGCCCTGGTGACAACATTTACTAGAATCACATCACTGACCATGGCACGTACTGGATTGCCAGAAAGATGCGCTCAACCATACATTGAAAATGTGTTCCTCATTACCAACAGCTGGGATCCAGCAATAGGTGTGTAGCGACAGCAGATGCTTGTTTTGGAGTTGTGTCTTTAACCCCAGCTCGCTCGCCTCTCACGACTTTTCTACTGGAGCCGGTCACCTGCAGGGTCGTGTGACCTCGTGTGCCACACGTCACATACTCTAAACAACACAGGTTATCTTGTCAAATCTCATTGCTTACATTTATTAGTATTTCCTTACACATTTCAATTAATAGATTCAGCAGAACCATTGCAAAAGAAGTAACTGCATAATGAGCAGCATCCTTGACACGAATAAAAAAATGTGTACAATATTATAAAGGTGTAACGCCACGCAAGATTAGGTACTTAGCTGTTGAATCCCTATCTTTATCTTTCGAGATTAAATTCAGCTATTATTTATCTCTGAAGGAATACAAATTTGACGTAATGTTATATCTAGAATAACATTCACAACGTCTTTTCGTGGTGTTTCCAATGAAACCCCGAGTGGGTGACCTTTCAACTCAAGAAGGCCCGGTCATACTCCCAAATGTTGTGAAATATGGCGATAGTGACACTTTATACATGAATACTACCAAGCGAATAAATGCACCTTGACGAAACTCTTGGTACTTGTGTGGGTCTCATTTATACACACACAGAGAGAGATGGTTGTATGAACTGAAGGGTAAGTTAAAGCTGAGAACATCTTCCCCTATTTTAGTTCGGGATAGTGAAATGTTGAAATACTGTGCGCGAAATTAAGTGCGGCCTGCAGACCAGACATTTCACTCGTCGGTACCATCTGGGATGGCTTAACTTCAGGTGGCCAATAAGGGGCCGTCCATAAATGACGTCACGCGATTTTGGACGATTTTTGACCCCCCCCCCCCCCTTCGTCACACGACGTCAGAAAGTCAAACCTCCCCCTCAAATATGACGTCACAAAACTGCCCCCCTCCCCCCCCAAAAAAATATAAAACATGCTTCAAATCGCTTTAAACTATTGTCATTGTAGTGCGTATTTAATGTGGCGCTGCACTCTGATGTAGGAGAAAACATTTATTAAAAAGTCTTTAATTAAGTAGAACGTGTTGTCGATATTTAAAGTTGCGCATTTTGATGTGACGTCACATTTGTCAACCCCCCCCCCCCCCTCGTCACACATCGTCACAAATGTCTGACCACCCCCCCCCCCTAGGTGCCTGACATCATTTATGGACGGGGCCCCTAATGGTGAATTAGATAATGCCATAACCATGTGAAATTGCATGGGTTATCGAGCAATTCGCTTTCATTGGATGTGCAAATACTCCTACTATTTTTATTTCAGCAGGTAGGGTCCACTGAGTTATTTTGTAAGATATTTTTTTAAAGAAACGACCTGGCCACAAACAATAGCTCGACAAAGTGGCTTGTCACGTGCACATTTACAGCAGACAAATCCTTCAGACGTATGTTTCTAAACGTGGAGGGAATACATGGGCACGACTAAAGTTTTGCTCCCTTTCTGCTCCGGCCCGTGGACTAAATACATAATATCGTCGTGAGAATTATTTTATTACGTTTTATTTTTATTATTTTATTATTCCCATTCTACGTGACTTTACCGAAAGAACCAAGAAGATACATAATACCTGTCTGTCAAAACCTTTGCCTCCTGCGCATGGACAGACAGTAACGTGGCGCGTCTCCATCCACACAAACGACACGTTACGAAGAGCTGCTGATGAAAAGATGCAAGCTGGGCATATAGGCAACACCAGGGTGTGAGTGCAGTGCGTTTCCACGGAGAATTGCAACTACAACATTCAACAAAATGCACTGTCATCACATAATACGTTTGAGTATTAGGCTTGCGGGTACACCCATGCGTACATACCATTAACTCTGTCGATTGTAAGGGCGCTACGTTGGTAAGTCATGCAGCTCAGGATGAGCAACGCAGCAGCTGCTGCACGTTGAACGGAACACGGGCCTTCAGTTTCGAACTGCACACACGAACGTGTGAGAGAGCGCATCAGGCCAAAATCCATTTGTCAACGTCAGCATTGAGAAGCGCCTCCATCAGCTGTCAGGCGTTCAGGCAGTGTGCCTGCCTACTCATTTATCACGCTGTTTAATTTACATCGGTATGCATTGCTTTGTACATCAGCGGGGTACATGACTTGTCATGTACGTACATTGGATCGTCGATTACACTATGTAACACAAGTTTTGTTCCTGGGTACTAAGTGTTATTTTTTTCATTGTTTATGCCTAAAAAGTATATAAAACTGCTGTTATTCCCCGAAAGCTTTACTTTTGTGACCAGGACTTTACGTGAACGAAAATACACAAATGCATACATTTTCTCATTGAAAATAAGTAAATATCAAAATATCACCGTCCTGGTCACAAAAGCAAGGTTTATGGGGAATAATAGACATTTTTCGTACCTTTGAGGCATACGCAATTAGGAAATAACACTTACTACCAGGAGCAAATCTAGTTTTTACACTGTCATCCGATGGCTTCGAGGGGTGGGGGGGGGGGGGTAAGGAGGGGCGCCGGATTTGCAAAAACGACGGATAATCACTATTGTTTTTACATGAAAAATAAGAATATGTTTTCCTCTTTCTGGAAATAAAACAGATGTTAAGATGTTCGAACACCAAATAGAAACCTTGAGCAAGAAATCGAGTCTGCATTAACCACACGTACTTATGGCGAACATGCAAACAAAATTTGCTCCGATTATCTATGTATTGTCTTTGCAAGTGATTGGACTACACCAGAGACAGCCTTGGCTTGTTTTCCCTACTTTGATACGGGCATTATTTAAAATAGCTTATTTTGGCACATTTTTTCGTGAAATGTTTTTAGGTGTTGCGCATGTTTTTTGTGTTTTAAATTTGTTTACTATATGAAATTGGCATGAACATACCAAATAGACAAAAATACTGTAAAAAATTTATGTATTTACCGTAGCGTACTTATTACTACAAATCTCGAAAACTGCATGGGGTGATGTACGTACCTACGCTCGTTTCAACACAACCACGTGTGGGACGATCGCCACACCGATACAGCCCTTTAGAGCGGTGATCCGCTGCACACCGAATTACACAACGCACTTTTTGCAGGATCGCATTTTATATTTCCTATTTTTGTATTACTATAGTTAATTAGTCATGAACATTTTGTATAGTGTAGCATTTTGCGTTGTTTACGTTGGCGTATGCAGTGTATAATGTACTGTAGAGAATATTTGACACTAAAATCAAGCGTAGCTACTTTTCTTTTAATGTCACGCACGCGGTGCCGATCGCCGGATCTGGGTTACAGCATTTGGAGCGCTTCTGCCGGTTTCGCCGGATCGGCCCCGGACCGCCGGATAATGTTGGAAGCAGCCGGATAATCGATGATTAACTGCATGGTATTTATAAAATACATTGGCATACATCATGAGTGGAACACACCACCGGTGGTGGATTCTAGAGGGGACACGGGGGAGGAGGGCATAACCCCTCCCCCATGCGCCCCCACCCTCCCTCTTCACCCCACATTGAGTGCCCAAAATTGGTATTTACTAGATAAAATATTTGGAATACGTTTGTCCAAAAAATATAATGAGTGCAGGGCCCTTTTCAAACAGCTTGGGATTTAGGGACCATACCACCGGGTTGGAACCTCCTAGACCTGCCTCTGACACCACGCGTGTGTTGGTGCATTTGAAGCACCGTCCTCGAAGAGCAGTATTCACGTGGCTCTCATCATCATCTTTACCCGCAAGGGTGACAGCTGAACTTTGCACCGAGTCAATGGCTTAACAACCTGGCAAGGAGGCTCACCGATTCAGCTGAGTGCCTTGCACGCCGATGGTCACGTGCTCAAATCCTGGTTGGGGATTGACTCGCCCCGTCATCGCTCTGGGGTCGATAAAATTAATACTGTACCATGTTGTCGAGAAGTCAACGGTGGGTTGTTGTGTAATCTACAAGGGTAAATATAAATGTTTCTGCTCGTGATCTGAGAGTGGATTAAGTAAGGAACATTTTATAAAGTCAAGCAAACACGTGAGTAAGTTGGATTTAGGAAAGGTTTTCTTTCTACCATCGACTACACATACAAGCTGTCAATCAGATCCTAGCATAAGACTATTTAATATGTGTAGCTGTTGACTCGGTGGGAACTGATGCAGGTCATCAAGGCTCTCACAAAGCAAGTCCTGCATGGTTAGATGTGTACACGTCATCGCAATGCTTTATAAAGATCGAGCAGCCACACTCCGAGTACAAGAAGCAACAAAATGACAATCGGAAGAGCGGTGGGGCAAGGGGATGCACTCTCACCGAGGATGAACAACAGAGGAGCAAAGCAAAACGGAGAAAGCATTTGCCATCTCAGATGTGCTGACGAACATATGTACGCATCTTAACCAAGGTATAACAATTTCACTGCAGTAAATTATTGCAGAATATAATAATGTAGGCCCCGAAGTTAGGCACAAGATGAATACGGGCAACACAAAGGTCATGCATAGCAGATGTTTTCAACGATATAATCATTGTTAAGAAGACAGTGGGATTTGCAGCTATAAAATGTGTTTCAAGTTAACGAAAGAGGCGAACCAGGGCAGGTCAGATATCTTTTCTAAACTAAACCTAAAAATTGAAACGTAGCATATCAATTTGCGCGAAGAGGAACGTCTTAAATCAGTGCAAATACTGCCCATTGTGGCATATAAATGGAAAAAATGACACGAACATTCAAGATAGAATACAAACTAAGACGGTGCACAGAACGCACGGAGAGATGCACGCTTGGAATTACATTGAGAGACACGAGCAAGGGAACACATGGGTCATGGAACACACGCACGTTCAAGACATCATATTGATTGTTAAACTAAGCAAGTGGGTGAACTTGGGCAGGACTCCAGAAGGGGGACGACGGTCAATGGACGAGATTGGTGACGGAATATCAGCCCAACGGTGAAAAAACGTGCCCCGAGAGGAGGACGACCACCGCGAAGACGGAGCAAACGAGATGGGCTCATGTGCTGGTGTGAAAATGGATCGTGGCGTGGCGAGACGGTGAAGGAAAGGCGACGGGGCGTTGGGGAAACGCCTTCATCCAACAGCGGACAGACTACGGTGGAAACGACCCACGGGGGGTACGCAGATCACGCGCGGTTCACGCGCGGGGCGAATGACGGAGCGCTTCGTCGTCCCCGTGAGCGCCGCGCAGGTAAAGCGGCGCAGGTGCCACCGCGGGAGCTCCCCGTGTCGCGTGGCGGTCGCCATCCTCGTCCTCCTGCGTGTGCCACCGGCCTCCTCTTGGCCGCTCACGTCGGCGAGCCCGGTTCGACTACGGTCCACCCATCCCTGGCTGTGCCCCCGCCTCGCCGTGGCCACTCTTAGAGGACGTCGCGGGTTTGTCCAAGAGCGAGGACGATGGCGGTGGTGATGGCGAGAAGGACGATGAGAAAGGGGAGGAGGAGGAGGCGGAGGTAGAGGAGGATGATGATGAGTCCATAAGCGTTGAGGCCGGCGCGAGGCTTGCCCGCTCCGGCTGTGTGGGAGCGGGCAAGGCGTGCACGGGCCTCCAGATGAGGCAGTAGTAGACGGCGAGGATGATGGCGGCGAGGGACACGGAGAGCACGTACACGAGCACGGTGACGAGGCGCACCCACTTGCGGTTCGTGTTGCCCGCCACTTTCGCCTTCTTGTCGCCCGTGTAGGTGGGCGCCTTGTCGGGCCGCTTGGCCCGCTCGTCGGGCATGCTCACACCCGGGGCCCGCACGGCCCGGGCCCGCGGCGCCTCCCGCCTCTCCGTGTTCCCGGAGCGGGCGAGGAGCCAACGGAGCAGAATCGTGGCTTTCCTACGGCGACGACGATGGCAGGCAGCAGCAGTAGCAGCAGCAGCAGCAGCAGCTGCTGGTGGTGGTGGTGCAGATGATGGAAAGAGACCGCGTGATGACGGCGTCCTTACTGCGAGAGTCTCAGCGTGTTGAGTTCAGTCCCGCGCAACACGAGAAGCAGCAGCAACAGCAGCAGCAGCAATGACGCGCTCGTGTCATCGCGTCCCTGCAGCGTAGCCCAGAAGCAACGGGGATGAATAAGGCGCCGTATTTAACGCAGCACTTTGCGCGTCAAAGCCAACGCAGCAGGGAGGCCGCCACTCGTTACAATAAACATCGCAGCGACGCCACTGTGGAGACAAATGACAGACATTAGCCCCCTTCCAGTTTAGCGGAATCTTGGCAGGAGATGTGAAAGAGGCCGTGGGGTGCAGTTCGCTCGCAGCGGCGTTCAGCACCCCCTGAGTGGCGGACAGCACCCCCTGCGTGGCGGACAGCACCCCCTGAGTGGCGGACAGCACCCCCTGCGTGGTGGACAGCAGCCGCTTGCCTTGCCCCCCCCCCCCCCCCCCCCGTTACAAAACAGCCAAGGTCGCTCGTTCCCACGCGGACACCCCCCCACCCAGCAACAGCGGCCGAGCCTTTGTCACCACCTAACGTGGTGGGGTAGGGGGAGGGGGGGATTTTATATCTACATCTTCAGTGTAAAACTTGCGTGGGATGAGATGAGGTCGCATTTCGACTCTGCCGCCGCTACGGGATCTGGCAGGAGGAAGGAAGCGATGCGGCGGGGTGTGGTTGGAACCACGAGGCTCTTTGACATCAAACGAGTAAATCAAACAGAGCATGCCAATACGGTCACGCTAAGCCCCAGAGGTGGCGATAGGGTTCAGCTCAGGGGTAGGGAAAGTTCCACGGAGGTGGTTGGCTCGTGTGGTTATAGGGTCATGGCTCGTGTACGCTTGGTTAGGGTTGGGTCTGGTCGCCTGGCGTAGTTGGGACTATGGGCAAGGCTACGGTCTGATTTCACGAGTGTAGTCAGGGTTTGGGGTCGTGACTGGTTGGCTAGAGAGGCGAGTGGGGTGGGGCTAGGAGTGCATGTCAGGATAATGTGGAGATGAGGGGCAGTGCTCGTCTGAGATTTGCTCCCTAACCGTTTTCCCCTCCGCACATTTTTGCGAATGTTCCACTTCTGGCGTCTAATCACCGTGCCCCGTGACGTAATCACTAACCACTTATTCATTAATTGATGACAGGCAAACGAGACCCCCCATCCCCGCTCTCCCCCGCCCTCCACACCTCCCCCCTGCACCCCACCGCTGTTGTGAGTGGGGACTACAGGGATTTCAATAATCGTGGTGCAGTGATTGTATCAGCAGAGCTTCACCTAGTCTCAGGCTCTTTCCATAGGTCAAAGGATACGCGTGACCGCAAAGAAAACCAACTAACGTGCAGGGTGTAACGCACGCCACGGCACAAATGTCTAAGCCTACTTGCTATGCTTCCCTCTATAGGCACGGGTGCCTTTCTCGGGTCTTTCATACACCCGATTTAAGACACGGGATTTTGTTTTCAGTCCGTCTCTTCACGTAAAGATGAAGTGCGTGTTAGATAATAATCAGCCTGTGCTCGAGTGCTGTCGGAAGTGTTTCAGTGTAAACGTAACCTGCTGGAGAACATTGGTGCGGAAGGCTCACATCACCCGTGTTCAATTGTCCAATTATGCATTCACTCGTCGAATAATTCCCTGCAATTAAATTGTTTCGCGAAACACTTGGAAGGCTCGTATCGTCGGGATCTGGGTGAGAGGCGATTGCATGGCAGGACACCACCCAACCGAAACCCGCCACCCCCATCCCCCGTTTGTGCTTTCTTCTCGGTGAGCGCACGATCGGTGCGCTCACCTTTTACGCACGCGGACGACAGAAAGAGAGTTGCGACCGCGACCGTGGAGCGCAGCGAACGAAACGTCCGCATGTCGTTCGAACGAAACGTCCACACGTCGTTCGCTCTGCGCCCATCGACGACGCCAATGGAGCGGCGGCGGCGGCGCCAAAAGCGATGACAAAAAAAACAGCTCACGGCGAGGGTTGACACCTGCAACGTCGACCCTGACGTTGCGTGCCTACCGGGTCAAGAAGCCGGACGCACAGTTGTGTAAAGGGTTCGTTGCTGTTACGAAGATTCGTCGCTGATCTCGGTGGCGAGAGAGGAAAAGATGACAGCTGATTGTTCGGAAATTATGGAGCGGCGCCCCCAGGTGGAGCTTGGCTTCAGGTACAGGTACAACTACAGATTTATTTTTTTACTTAAAGCTTTCGTGACTGCAGGAACTGATATTATTGGGTCTTTCGGTAAAGTCACGTAGATAGGTTAAAAAGAAATAAAGAAATATATTGTTTGTTACTTTAAAGTCACGTAGATAGTTTCAAAGAGAATTAAAAAAAATTGTTTTGTTATTTTATTTTATTTGAACCCATCTACGTGACTTTACCCGAAAGACCCAAAAATATGACAACCGATTTTGTTTATTTTTTATTTTACCAGGTAAGAGCCACTGAGCCGTTTAGTTCTTTTTCAGAGGCGAACCTGGCCACGAATGATAGCTCAACGGAGTGGCTTGTCATTGTGCGGAAATGTAGGGCAGCGAAATATTCTCTAAACGCGTGATGTTGATTCTAAATGTAAAGGGAAAAACCGGAGGACCCGGAGAAAAAATTCACGCGACCACGGGGAAAGAGAGAGAGAGACGCAAACTCCAAATATACAGCAGGCGTCAAGTTCGGGCTCGAACCCACGAGACCTCCTGTATACCAGGCAGAGGTAGCTAACATCTCGTCACCGAGGTGACTGAACAACCTCATCATCAACAGCCACGATCAATCCGCTGCTGAATAAAAGCCTCACATTTTTCAAGATCCTGTGATGAGATACTCCACCTAGCACCCTGCACACGAACTGGCGCTGCAGCTAACCGGGCTAAGCCTCTCGCCTGGGACTCAGACGTACAAATGTTTGCAGCGTTCAATTCCAAATTATTCCATAAATCATATTACGTATGTTGAACTTCTTTTGCACCGTACGTAGCGCAAACGTGCTAATCGTATGTGCGGGCTAGAAGGAAGTCAATAGGTCTTGGGTTCAAATCCAACCTACGTTTTTATATTTTGCACTTAATAAACAATCCTATTTACATTTGTTGCAGTGTTCGTCAGCATGATAATATTAGAATAGGGTTTTCTCTTTTTTTTGGCAACAAAACATGTGTCAGTTTCAAAGACAATGCACATACTATCAGAGTATGTTGTTTGTTTGCATTCTGACCACAAGTTTATTCGGTTAATGCAGACATGATTCCTTGTAAAAAGTTTAAGTTTGGTGTTTTGTTGCTAGAAAAAAGGGGAAAACTTATTCTCATATTTTGGTACTGGCAAAGGAGGTCACATAATGATAATATTAAATAAAAGTACGAACACTAAATGTGCTATTGTATACAAAAAAATGTATAACTCTCCACATGAATTCTAAGTTAATCATTTGAATGACAGTAATCTTTTACCGTCAATCAGCACAGAGTGCAATGCTCAGCCCTCACCACAAGGCGACGGCAGCAGTCAAGAGGTCGCGAGTTCAAATCCAACCACCGTTATTAAAAATATATTATTTAACTTCATAAATAATCCTATTTACTTAATAATGTGTTGGAGTGTTCATCAGCATGATAATAATAAATACAAGTATTTACACTAAATGTGCTACTGTATTTTTTAAAATAAGTTTCCACATATTAATTATAAGTTAATCATTTCAAAATGACAGTAATCTTTTACCGTCATAAGACACCAGGGGGTTCTCAATCAGCACAGAGTGCAATGCTCAGCCCTCAACACAAGGCGGCGGCAGCAGTCCAGAGGTCGCGAGTTCAAATCCAACCTCCGTTATTAAAAAAAAATAACTTCATAAATAATCCTATTTACTTAATCATTTGTTGCAGTGTTCATCAGCATGATAATACTACACACAAGTATTTACACTAAATGTGCTACTGTATTTTTAAATAAGTTTCCACATATTAATTATAAGTTAATCATTTGAATATGACAGTAATCTTTTACCGTCATAAGACACCAGGGGGCTCTCAATCAGCACAGAGTGCAATGCTCAGCCCTCGCCACAAGGCGGCGGCAGCAGTCCAGAGGTCGCGAGTTCAAATCCAACCTCCGTTATTAAAAAAAATATTATTGAACTTCATAAATAATCCTATTTACTTAATCATTTGTTGCAGTGTTCATCAGCATGATAATAATAAATACAAGTATTTACACTAAATGTGATACTGTATTTTTAAAATAAGTTTCCACATATGAATTCTAAGTTAATCATTTGAATATGACAGTAATATTTTACCGTCATAAGACACCAGGGGGCTCTGAAAAAGCAGAGTGCAATGATCAGACCTCACCACAAGGCGGCGGCAGCAGTCAAGAGGTCGCGAGTTCAAATCCAACCACCGTCATTAAAAACATATTTATTTAACTTAATAAACAATCTTCATGTACTTCGTCATTTGTTGCAGTTACATAGCTCAGGAGCAGCCCTCGTTTGTAATTAACGTCGTAGCATTGTAGTTGTTGTGAATGCGTTGTTTATGTTTCGTTAACGTTTGTTTTCATTTTAGCCTCGTTAAAATGTTGTTGTTTTCCCGCCATCACCCACGTGACGCTACCAGCAGCCCCCCCCCCACCTATCACCCCCACCCACCCCCCCTTCATCTCCGTCTCTTCCAATCACAGCCGCCGTTACTCACGACCCCCCCCTCCTCTCGTCCACTAATCGCAGAGCAAGGCGCGTGTGACGTACACGATGGGCGTGGCGAGGGGGGGGGTAGTGTAACAGCCAATAGGAGCGCGCCTTGTTCGTCGACGGTCTCCCCCCCTCCCCACACACACAACAGCGATGGCGGACGATGTTCGCGTGGTCCGGGTGACGGCGAGAGAGCTTTGTCCCGGAGCCTCCACGGAGCCGGGTAACTGCTCACACGGGCCCCGCTTCGTTACCCCGTTACCACACACGCAATGCCCGGCTCCCCTCACGATTCGTTACCGCGTTAACGACGTCAACATCCTCCCCCCCTCACTCACTCGCTGGGTGGGGGGGTAGGGGTCTCAGAGAAACGTGCGCGTCCAACGTGTTCCGTAACGCGTTGCCTCACATTGACAACAACAACAATAATAACAATAATAACAATAACAACAACAACAACAACAGCCGCGTGAAGACGTCAACGTTCGGAATTGTGTGTGTGTGTCGAGGGAGAGAGATCGTCACGGCAGAGCGGCGGCTTTTACGGAATGACTACTGTGCAGGTGGTAAGGGGTTTAAGATGTTACTAATTCTAGATTTGAAGCTTTCGTGACTGCAAGGATTCATATTCTTAGGTTTTTTTTTTCGGTAAAGTCACGTAGGTAAAACATTAAAATTAATAAAAGTTAAATAAAAACATTAAATTAATAAAAGTAAAATACAATTTTTATTTTATTTTACTTATATTAATTTTAATGTTTTACCTACGTGACTTTACCGAAAAAAAACCTAAGAAGATGTTACTAATAGCTCGTCAAGAAGTGGCAACACGTCACGAGCATGGGACCTTCTTTGCCAGTGTCAAAATGCAATGTGAGAATAGGTTTTACACTTTTTCTGGCAACAACACAGGTGTTAAGATGTTAAAAAGCCAAACTTGAAACCTTTTGCAAGCAATCATGTCTGCATTAACCGCAGAAACTTGTGAAAATTCAAACAAAAAAACATGCTCTGACAGTATATGCATTGTCTTTGAAACTGATTTGTCCACACCAGAGATAGCTTTCTTTCGAGCCTAGTCTCAAAGTGTTAGACCAGAGGACGCCACAAGGCGAACAGCACAAAGACAATGCCACTATCAGAGTAATGAGAGCTCGGGGTGAGCATCTACATCATGGGACCTCCTTTGCCAGTACCAGAATATGAGAATAGGTTTTCCACTTTTTTTTGGCAACAAAACAGGTGTTAAGATGTTAAAACACCAAACTGAAACGTTTTACAAGGAATCGTGTCTGCATTAACCACATATACTTGTGGTCAAAAGGAAAAAAAACTGATAATATATGCGTATCCCGTGTGGACCAATCAGTTTCAAATACTGCATATATTATCAGTGTTCTTTTTTGTTTATCTCCATGTTGTATCTCTGCTTCTGTTGTACCTATAATTGTTCTGTTTCTCTCCCTCGAATCCCACAGCCTCTCGCCACACACATCTCCGCGCTGCGTTTACCCACACTTGTCTCTCTCACACCGTCTTCGCCCCCCAACCACACACATCTATATGTTGGAACATCTGTGAAAAAGAGCTTCATAGCTTGTCGGATTCCTCCGGTATATGTCAATATTCTGATTCTGACATCATCCTTTCTGTGCACATCTCTGTCTCCCACGCATCTTCTGCACATCATCCAATGAATCTCGGGCATCTCCACACAACGTCGCTGCTCTTCACGTGGTCTCGCCAATGACGCAATCATAGTGGCCTCATCTGTAGTGACTGTCAGGCCACGTGAAGACACGGAGCGCTTAACCGATGTGCAGCTTTTTGGAGCGCACAGAGTGGTTTGGAAAACTTCCGTCAATAAGAAAGTAGCACGTGTGTGGGAATTTGTATAGTAGGCACAACATTTGAATGAAATCGAGGACTTGCATTTGCGCAACGTTAACATTCTATTAATTCGGTTTTTGGTAACTTAAAATTAGACGATATGCGTAGAAAAACAAAGAGAACTTAACGAGGGTTCAATCTAGGTTCACGTGTTTACACAGGAAAACCTCGGACTCGAGACCCTCTTTTAGGATGATTGCCTCATTTGCATGTTTGGCAATACCATTGACACGTGAGAGGAGAAACTGGAGAAAATGCATGCGTATGAGGGGATAACACTCAACACTGCCATCTAATGGCCAACTTGCAGCCACACACCTATCTATTCAAGTACCAACCAGGGTCAACCTGTCATAGCTTTATTTATCCGACGAGACGGGCTCGCATTAGGGATGCTTTTGTTGTAGCTCGTGTTGCTTTTGTATTTCCAGGAGAGTGCGCAGAAGCTCCACGGCAGCGGAAGGAGAACCGGCGCCCGGACATTGCCCTGTACAAGCCACGGGGAGCCCGCGAGCAGCAGAGCCCCGCTGCGAGCACTGAGGAGCGAGCGCGCAGGGAGGACGTGACACGATGTTCCACTGCCAGCAAGCGCAGGGGCCCCACCGAGCAGCCCTTGCGCATGGCGACGGATCGCGGACACAATACCTCCGCGGGCAGCACAGATGTCGTGAGCTCGGGCACTCAAGAGATTGAGCATAAAAGCTCGGCGAGGCGCGCAAGAGGTCGTGGCGGCGGTAAAGCCGCCACTGAGTGCACGGAGAGCGCGGGAGCGGACGGCAGAAGCCGCGCACCCGGAGGGCGGCCTCCATCCCGGGAGGAGGCAGCACAACACGGCAGGAGGCCTGAGAGGCAAATCTACCGCCCGGCTAGGAAGGGGGATCCCCTTCCGGAGTCCAAGTGGGGTCTTGAGGCCCCCGAAAACAAGGCGACAGGAGAGCTGACTGCCACTTTGGAGCGCGTCTGCCTGAGTGGCGACCCAACCGAGGACTCGCACGGGCGACCGAATCTCAGCAAGCAGGACCTTGATGGTGCTCAGGAGCACAGAGCTGAGAGGAGCGCAGGCAGCGAGGGCGCCACGAAGGGGAAGAGGTCACGCAGGCGGCGGAAAGAAAATAAGGAGAGAGATTACGAGGGTGAGGGGCTGCTTGCGGAGAACACGCAAGGGGATGTGTCCAGCAGGAGTGACAGTGATGTCAAGGCATCCAAAGATGCGCATAAGTGCGATCAGCCAAATGCGGCAAGAAAGGGGACGGTGAGGAGTGACGTAAAAAACTCAAGTGGTAAGCCAAGTAGAGGTGAACGTGCACTCAATGACCGCTATAGGAGAGCTGCTGATGACAGGACATTTTCTGGCATAGGTAAATCACGCTCAGAAAAAGACACAAATAAGAGAAATGCTCGGCACGAATGCGGTTTTGTGAGTTCGGACCCCGAGGAGCAGAGTCGGTCTAAAGCGACGTCACGCACGAGGATTCAACAGCCCGTGGCGCCGAGCGCAAAGGCCGAGGCCGAGAGGGCGGCAGTCGGTCCCGCACGACGCCAGCGTGGCCCCCGCCGCATCAGAGGCTACCACCCGTCCGAGAGCGACAATGGGAAGCGCCGGCGCGGCTTTAGCGACTGCACTTCATCCGACTCGGCAGAGGAGTTCGGACGCAGCGATTTGGAGGCCGAGAAGAGGGATGAGCGCAGTTCTGCGCCGCTCGGCAGCCCCATTGCCGCGGCCCTCGGTGGTAACTGGCGGCCGGCGTGCCGCGACAGCGAGAACCGACTGTCCCCGGGGGCCGGCGTGCGGGATGGGCCCCGCGCTCGGGGAGGGGGAGGAATCCTCTTCCTGCCTCGCGCCGTGGATGCCGCTAGCGACGCCCCTCTCCCGCCGTGCTCACCGGACCGCGGGACCCACCGCGATGCGGGGAGGGGTCAGCGTGCTTTGAGGGGCCGCGGCGGCGATGCCCGGCGCCTCTGGGACCCACGGAACCCGGAGCGGGCCCCGGCGGGAAAAATGAAGGCGCCCGCGCTGCTCTTCCACGACACGGACGAGGATGACAATGGCTCCCCCTCAGGCCGCGAGGAGCCTAGCGTTGCACGCCTTCCTCCCTACCCCACCACGTGCTCCCCACTGCACTACCGCCTGCCGGGTCGCGAGCAGCCGTGCACATTCCCCGTGCCGTACGCGTATTCCATGCCCTCATTCCCGGGCATCTCCAACGGCTCCATGATGTACCCCAGTGCCATGGCATGCGGGATGCTGCCCGGTGAGCTCTCCTGCGGGATTTAGGGCATGCTCCCTCATCATGCGGGGCTGCTCACAACACTGGCTTTAAATGCTCATTCCACGAGTTGGAAACACCAAACTTCAGTCCACTTTTATACTTAAAAATTAGTGGGGTAGAGTACTGGTGAAGAATGACGCGACACCTATGTGTGTGCTGGTTGTTATATGTGTGTTTGAGAAATGCTACTCGTGTGTTTACTGGTAGGTGTGATGCTACGCCTGTGTATGTAATGCTGTGTTCTTTTGGCACTGTTTCTTGTGCATGCTGGTGCATATAATACTGTTTGCACCACTATGCTGGTGGAGACCAGTAGCGTGTTGTGTAAACTTTCGTGCTTTTATGTGATTGTGACTGTGCGTGTATGTGTGTGGTGTTGTGTTGGTATGACGCTGCTCAATTGTGTGTCGTGTTTCAAATTTAACCCAGGTTTGTTTACTACTACCACTATTTGATTTTACCAGGCAAGGCCACTGAGCTATGTAACTTTTTCAGAAGCGACCTGGCCACAAGTGATAGCTCAACAAGGTGGCTTATCACATGGGAATTTCTAGCAGCCAAATACTCTTAACCGTGCATTTTTATTCTGAGTGTGGAGGGGAAAAACTGGAGGATCCGAAGAAAAATCCACGCCACCACAGGGAGAGAGAAAGACACGCAAACTCCAAATATACAGGTGTCTCGGTCGCGATTGAACCTTCGACCTCCTGTATACCAGGCGAGGTAGTTAAAATCTCACCACCTTGGCGCCCTAGGTAAGACCTCAAGAGAACAGGATTAGTTTCATTTGCATAAGTTACCTGGGTCACCAAAATGTCAAAAAAATGGCGTAAAAACAAGTATAATAATGGAGTGAATAAAAATCGGAGCAAAAACAAAATGGAATTAGAACAAAAAACGCATTACAGAAGAAATATAAAAGTGCATCAATATAGATGTTAAATAAAACTAATTTCTTTTCACAAAATGTTTCCGGCAAATTAATAAACAAAACATTGATAGTAATATTTGTATTAAGTTACAGAAACATCAAATTGGATTTGAGATGATTATTGCACTCGTATGTAAACACATGACTGCTGAAGCTGTTGGTGTGTACGTGTGTATCGCTTGCTTGGTGTGATGATACTTTTCTGCATGTGTGTGCTTGCGATGTTGTGTTAGTGTGACCAACACAATTTGACACAGTAGTCAGCCAACCCATGGCTCCTGGGTCTGTCCCATGACCTGTCAGCGAGCCTTCGACACTTCCTGTGGCCTCAAAGTGCACCTGGCTTGCCACAGGCACCAAGGTGACGTCACCTCAACTTAGTGGCGGCTCTTGCTGCTGCTGCTGCTGTTGTTGTTGTGACCGGTCACGTGTCCTATGCCGCTAGGTGGCTTCTACGGTGGCTACACGGGCATGGTGCCGGCCCTGCCACTGAGCGGTGGCGTGCAGACTGAAATCAAGACGCTCCTGAGCACTGCCACGGCACTGGAGGTTCAACTGGCAGCGCTGCTCAACTGGGACCGCCTCGGACCTCAGGATCAAGATCTGGCCGAACACTTGCGGTAACGGCGGGCGGATTTTCACTTGAAGTTTTTAGTGGGATCCGGACGTTGCGGCGCGATGTGTGACGGTGCTGTGCCATTAGTGTGCGGTGATGATGGCACAGTGAGATGGATAACATTGGGGCACCTTTCCAATGATTAAAGTGATTCTTTTAAAAGTATTTTACACGATAATTTGCGCCATTGTGGAGAATGTGAGTAAAAAAACATAATGAAGGAGAAGATAATCCCTTTTAGCATATTTGTCCCTCCAGATTAAAATGTAAATTGTTTTTACACATTTACTTGAATATTGAATAACGTTTAAGTTTTGTGTTAAGGTGTCTTCCGCCAAAAGTATTTGAGAATCCGATTAAGGAAAAGTTTTCTCACTCCTCGCATAGGGATAATGTGAGGTCTGTTTTGGAGTATGCCAATTCTGGGGATTCGTGCTGTATGCGAGGCAAGTTCTTTGGTGGCAGGGGGATGGGACTGATATTTCACGAGCATGGCGAGTTGGTGAGAGGGACGATGGGGTTACCGCGTGAGTTTGTGATTCGAGAGGGCTGCGCTCTTCAGAAATAAACCCTCTTCCTCCCCCGCAGCACTCAGCTGGTGAACGTGTACGAGCGCGCGGTGCTGACGGACATCGAGGTGTGCGAGCGTGCCGGCGCCGAGCAGGGCCTCTGGAAGTACGGCTTCTACCAGGCCATCGAGCGCCTGCGCCAGCAGCTACGCGACTCTGCCAGCCACGACGATGCCGAGAGGGTCAATGCACGCCTTCTGGGCATCCTCGACGAAGTGAGCGCTGGCTCGCCTTCCTGCCCAACTGCACGCCCACCCATCTGCACACCTGCCCACCTGCATGCCCGTCCAACTGCGCAATCCCCCGCCCACCTGCACGCCCACCCATCTGCACACCCGCCCACCTGCATGCCCGTCCAACTGCGCAATCCCCCGCCCACCTGCACGCCTGCCCACCTACATGCCTGCCCACCTGCACGCCTGCCCACCTACATGCCTGCCCACCTGCACAACCCGCACACCTGCTTGCCCGCTCACATGCACCCCCGCCCATCTGCACGCCCGCCCACCTACATGCCCGTCCATCTGCGCAGTCGCCCGCACGCCTGCCCACCTACATGCCTGCCCACCTGCACAACCCGCACACCTGCATGTCCGCTCACATGCACACCCGCCCATCTGCACGCCCACCCATCTGCGCGCCCGCCCATCTGCGCACTCCCCTGCCCACCTGCACGCCTGCCCACCGACCTGCACATTCACCTCCCCACCTGCACGTTCACTCACCTGCACATTCACATCCCTGCCTGCACCCTCACCCACCTACCTGTGTACTCACCCCCGCCCACCTACACACCCACCCTCCCCGCAGTCACTCCTCATCCACTGACATTCTCATCTGCTTACCTATTTATGCACCCACTCACCTGCACCCTCGCTTTCCGGCACCCACCCGTGCTCGTTCACCCATCTGCTCGCCTAGTGAGCGAACTGGGCTGTCCACCTGAACTACGGCTGCGTCCCCCACGACCCTGCCCGGCTGTACCTGAGATATGTGATGAGTCTCATGCTTAAGTGTGTTTCCCTATGTGCTGCCGGCGGTTTGTAGGGCCTGTTGTTCTACGCGGGCTTGCTGCGGAGCCTGCAGGATGTGTACGTCTTCAGTCTGCAGGAACTTGGCGAGAGCCCGCCCGCTGGTGCCGTCAGTAAAACTGTACGTGGAATGAATAGCACTGAAATTAAAACGTGTAACCTGTTTTTCATTGGGAAACTGGGCTCTGCTGGCCCAGTACCAGCCCATTCTGAGCACTGAAGGCCATGATCCACTGGGGACATTATTCAGCAATAGTTGCTTAGTCGTTTTTGCCGCTTTGTAACAATATAATTTAACATAATCTCAACGAATGTGATCGCAGCGCCCCCTAGTGAGCAGTTGGAACTGCAAATTCCATGTTCTTGGTTCTTTTGGTAAAGTCACGTAGAAGGGAAATAATAAAATAATAAAAAGAAAACATAATAAGATAAAATTCTCACGACGTTTCGGCCACAACGCAAGCAGCCGTCCTCAGGTGAAGAACAGGTCTGTCGGAAAGACAGCGTCCTAATCCAGTCGGATCGCAGAGGGATGTCACGTCACTCTTGGTGGCTTCATTTTGAGTGTCATCTCTGGACGCTATCGTGCGATGTGTGATGGTATGATGGGCCATGATGGTTTATTGGGCCTCTAAACCACTGCGGCAGATTTATATCGGCTGCACACTGCCGTGATTGAGAACTGAATCCTTTTGCCCGCCAAGTTGGTCGCAGTCGCTCATGGTTATTGTGTTGCTGGCAGTAGTTGCCAATAAAGATTGCCTGAGTGGATCATGGCCATCCCCTTTCCTTCCTTCCCTACCGTCCATGGCCAAGGGACAAGGGTGGGGGAGGCTACAACTATAATGAATACAAATATTAAATTGTCCTTTACCTTTATTATTCATCCAGACATGTGGTGAAAAATAGGTAATCACTTTTTGGACAATTGACTTGGTTGGGAAGTTGGGATTGTGGTTTGGGATTTGTGTAGTAGTCGACCTCATGGACTCATTTCTTAGAGTTGATAACTTTAGTTTTGGTGCCATTTATTAATTTGTTTATGAATTTTTTATTTTGCTTGGTAGTACGATTTTCATTTGCTTGGCATGTATGTGTTGGGCTTGTTTTGTGCCGTACGTAGCCAAACGCGTATATGGGATTTGGTCCTTGTATATAATTAATTTTCAGCGTTGTGGGATGCTGTTGGCATGAATGACACGATATAAAATTAAAGTATTATTGAGGCTCTTTTCCAGGAGAGTCTCGCATTAAGGTGTTGGATTAATTCCATTCATGAGTGTTTTGCATATGCATGGAAGCCTCTGTACCTAAACAAAACCCATGCTTACAAAAGGGTAACACATTCAAGGCCTCGCGTGGATTCAAGAATCCCTTGCTGTGTTGATATTTGCTGGCTATTTGTACTGCTGTTTGGCTCTTCATATGTATTATTGCATTCATTTGCATTGCACCCATGTTACCGTGTGTGTCTCCGTTCTCTCTCACCTTGTTAAACATCCTGTGTCACGTGTTGCTCTGTGTTGGGGAAGTGTGGAGACCAATTCCACGAGTGGCTCAAATATCCATTATTTACGTGGCAGACAGGTGTGAACTCAGGGGTGTTGAAGTGGTGGTGGTTATGGGTGGCTTGCAGGCCCAACATGTTAACCAGGGGAGTTGGAGATTAATGCATTTTGTGTGTTCCTGTGTGTGTGCGAGCAGGTGAAATATGCATTGATCAGCGCTCAGAGGTGCATGATCTGCTTAGGAGACATTGCTCGCTATAAGGAGCAGTACAACGATACCAACAATTATGGCAAGGCCAGAAGGTGAGGTTCAGAGGTTTCAGAGTCTCAGCGTCCCATTTGACATGTGCCTGCGACACTTCACTTTCACTGTAAGGCCTTGCTTGCTCACAAGCTGACACGTCCATGGACAATGCTCTATCAAGAGGACAGGTGTAAATGTCACTAACACCGAGTTTAACACGACCGTGTGGCATTGAATGAAAACTTATCGGCGGCGGGTATGTGGGGTTTATATTCTTGGTTATTTCGGTAAAGTCACGTAGAAGGGAAACAATAAAATATGATGATTGCTTGTGTTGCAGTCGAAACGTCGTGAGAATTTTATTGTTTTATATTTTTATTATTTTATTGTATCCCTTCTACGTGACTTTACCGAAAGAACCAAGAATATGAATCCCTGCAGTCACGAAAGCTTTAAATCAAAATTTGCGTGGGGTTTATTGAGTTACGCGGGTTACCCGTCAGGCTGTGTGGCAATGACGTGTCTGTACGTCCTTATGGGTTGTGCTCATTGGCGTCACTGACGCGACATGTCTGCTCATTTGTTTATGTTACTGCTCAATGTCTTCAGCTAAGTTTGTATTTAGAAGCTTTTAAAATCTCAACTGTGATGGCAAGGTGGATGATTTAGATTTATTCTGTTTCGCGTATTTGTTTGATCGTCAGACGGACGTATATTCCAGCCATCATTGCACATACCACGAGGCGCTTTTTCATCGAATTCACCATGGCTCCCTGCAGCAGAAGAGCTCTAGAGCCCTGTTACCTGTAGTAAAGACCCTAGTACATTGCTGCCTACAAGAGTAGACTTCATGCAACCTACCTATTTAGTAGGCCATATTTTTCAAAACATCACAATCGTCCACGATCTATCCACTACACGATGAAGGCATCCCAAACTCAGCGCCTTTCACCAACGGCTTGTGAAGCAACAATCCTCATAGATCCAGCACACGAGCTGATTTTATTGCTCCGTGTCGACAATGGACATCCATTTGTGGGTATTTTTCCTCCTTTGGCTGCTCCTATGATGTAAATCTCAACCACTGCCATCATCTTTCCCGCCCCTCCGATTAGCACGGTTGGTTACATACGGTGCGAAATAGGTTCCACATACATACATAGAAAACATGCCCTGCCCGAGCTTTCACGGTCAATATATTGTATCTTAACCTGTGCATGTATTCCTAAGCCCATGTGTTCCTCTTGCCATCTCCTCTAGCCATTCCAAGCATGCCCCTCTCCATGCTTCATTGTACCAATTCTAGATTTGAAGCTTTCGTGACTGCAAGGATTCATATTCTTAGGTTTTTTCGGTAAAGTCACGTAGGTAAAAAATTAAAATTAATGAGAGTAAAATAAAATAAAAATAACGACGTTTCGGAGGCAACACAAGGCTGTGACGGTTCCACCTGAAGACGGAAGCTTGTGTTGCCTCCGAAACGTCGTGATTTTTATTTTACTTTTATTAATTTCACTTGATACAGCTATCGGGCTGTGACGGTTACACCTGAAGACGGAAGCTTGTGTTGCCTCCGAAACGTCGTGATTTTTATTTTATTTTTATTTTACTTTTATTAATTTGAATTTTTTACCTACGTGACTTTACCGAAAAAACCTAAGAATATTCATTGTACCATTTGCAGCTTCCATTGACTTTCTCATCTTACTAATCACTGATTCATATCGTACAGGCACATTGGTATGTTCCCTTTCATGAAGTTTAATTTTCCAAGAGTATTCCAGCTCCCTGTCATCAGTCCCTTTATTGCATTTTTTTGTTCTTTTGAACCACCTTTAAAAACTGCCCTCGGCTTACACTGCTGTGCTTTCCAGTTGTGCCCCTCTCACAGATATCCTCAATTGGTTAGTGAACTTGTTGTGCATAATTTACATATTTCTCGTGTTTATTGTTAGCCCCACCAGGCAGCTTTCAATATTAAATCTTTCAATAATTATTTCCGACTGGGTATTATAATCAAAATTTGAGACGTAATATTTTCCCAATGTATATTTATGCCTTTATTTATCCAGTCAGATTTCCATGAGCCATCTTCTACTGTTGCTGTGAATTATTGTAGTAAGATTGTGTCTCATTATATACTCCCCTTTTGATGCATATATTTGTACTTTTTTCCGTCAACATGAAGTGCGGCTGTTGCGGCTTTTTTGTTAACGGTTTATCTAATTTGTCAAATGTATCCTCAAATAAATTGCACAACAAAAATGTTCCCTCTACAAACATACGGTAATCCAGAGCTCGCTTGAAACGGGGAATAATTTATATCAGTTTGTCGTCAGCTGGTAACGCACGGTATGGAGTCGAGTTGGTGAGTGGCGCTGTCGCTCGTGCTAAGAGCTCTTTTTTGCGTCCCGCAGCTGGTACCTGAAGGCCCAGAAGATCGCTCCGAAGAATGGGAGGCCTTATAACCAGCTGGCCATTCTCGCCATATACACGGTGAGGCGCCGCGTCTGTCTGTGCCCCGTCAGCACCCGTTGGTGGGCGCTCGGGAAGTAGCGACTGCCGACTTGCGTTGCCTTGTCACTAACACGAAACAGCCCTCTGATAGGGAATCCTCTTGTCAGTACAGGTTTAGTAGCCTTTACCCGTATGCCCGTATCCGTTCATGCATTGTTTAGTTTACAGGTTTTTTTTGCTGTCGAGGTCGTTGTGACCTTTTCAATCAGTCATCACAGTTTTTTCTCACACAGATTGGCACTTTCAGATCTATTGTGGAAAGATGAGAGGTCATATTGGGAACACGGAAATGCTTACCATCAATCACTCGGTCACTTGCATTCACCTATAGTGGTGTGTTCTATAAATAATCCTTCTTGATGGAAGTAAAAAAAAAATTCCCCACTGGGAGCAGCTAAATAATGTGTGTTTCAAACGTGTTGCCTTTGTGGACCCACAGAGGTACAAGTGGCAGGACAAAGCCAGGGTTGGGCGTACACTAATTTAGACAAATGTGACGCAGTCGGGTTTTCAGGGGTACTGAGAACATAACAATGAGAGCATATTGTGTGGGTTGAAGTAGTGTGTGTGTGTGCTCAATTAACCAGCATGCACAGTGGCTCTCGAATACAATCATTTTAACAGTCGGCGGTCAATTTACGGCCGTGGCAAAGCGAGCGTTCTCGGCGCAGGTGTGGATAGGTTGTACATTTATTTACTGAAAATATCTTAGCGGGATGATTCCGCAGGGATGGTGCAAGGTGCCGCTAGCGAAGGTGCGCTGCCGGTGTGCGTCTCTGTCCGCGCAGGCGAGCGTTTGTTTCGTGATGCGAGCGAGCGCGTGAAACAGGCGGCGCCACGAATGCACGCACGTGCAACGCCTCCGCAGCGAGATCGCACGCCTACTGTTAAACGACATAATTTTGTGCGCTGCCTGTAATTGCGGGCGTCTCCTCGACTCATTAAAGTTGCATTATAAAATGTGGGGTAAGGAATCATTGACTTTCCGTCACATTAGTCACACGTTCAAACAGACATTATTAAGGTAATAAACCATTTAACTGCTGCGTTGCCTGTCAGCTGAAAGGAATTTATGGTAATTTGCTTTGTCAGTCTTAGCAAAATATGCAGCATCGCAGCTTGGGTACAGAGCTACATGCGGATCATATTGCTTTGTTGAAGGCTTGATGTGTTGAAGCAAGAATGCACTTGTGTTGAACGTGTTAGCTTTATATTAAACATCTGTATAGGGAGTGGGGTTTCGTATTGAAGTCATATGTTTTTTTCTTCTTCGAGAGAATTTTAAAATGTCACACATTTTGGCTTGTGGCAGAATTGTGATGGAATGAGCACCACCTGGTGAGGCTGTACGGCTCCACAAGTCAACATTTTAGTCGTCATATGGAAATGACTGCTCCCTGTCTATAAGAATGCGGAAATGTCACCACTGACTCGGGACCACCAATGGACATTAGCGCCACAGTTCTCATTGAGCAGTTGCATAATTAAAAAAAATTATCATGATAGTACGGCGATGATAAGAATGTTGGCAGAAGTCATGGGAATCATGAAAGCTTCATTCTCAATTGGGAATGTTTATGAGAGAGTCTACGCTCGTGTGGGATTTACCACGCCGTGCGTCCCCCTCCCCGGGGAGGCCAGTAACGCCTTGTCAGCGTCGAGCTGATGCTGTGATTTTTTAAAAACGGGCGTTTCGCGTGCCTTGATAAATGTGGCACGGCGTGCCCCGTTGGGGCTCGGGCCGTGTCGGTTCCTGGGCAGCGTGCGACACGGTGCCGGCTGCCTCGTTTGCGATGCTCGGAGGTGGGGGGCATGGGGGGGAGGGCGGTGGATGGGGGGGGTGTAGCTCTGCCGTGCCCGCACATGCGTGAGCGGCGCGCGTGAAACCCGCTGTCGTCTCTGTAAGCGGCGGCGCTTGATTAAGCTCTCCCATGAGACGACGCGAGACTTGGAGCCCGGCCAAGGCCGACCTTTCAGCAGCCCGCACGCCACGCGGGGTGACGAGTGGAGCAGGTGATAACGCGCGCGCGCGCGTGCTGCCCCCCCTTCCTCTCCCACGCCTGCTGGCACCGCTTGTTGAACCCTGCAACCCGGTTGATTGTGTTATCGGCAACGGTGTTGACGATTGTGCTGAGAAGATGTGAATGCTTAAATGAGGGCCACTAATAGACAATTTAGGTCTCCCTTTCACACTTTCTAACAGCTTCTGTGATACGTGTGATGATTCGTCAAATGAGAGAGATTCTTATTCTCACAATAATGCATGGAATCGTGCTCGTAAGATTAGGTTTGGATTTTATGTAAAACATATGCACATGATACCGTTAGGCTAATAGAACAAACAAGGCAGATGGCACATCCAAGACTATTAATTAGGAAGTAAAAGTGAGACAAAATAGGAACAAGACCACACATGACACAGCTAAGAATCGAATCAGGAGCATGAATAGTAACAATTCATTTAAACTCCAGGGATATAGGATGATTTGTGCCTTGTGGGAATACTGTTCCCATTGATAAGGGATAGGTGCCCCTGCTGGCATTAATGCATAATAATGTACATATTAGAAGAATAGGTTTTTCCACTGTTTTCTGGCAACAAAACCGAAACCTTTTTACAAGGAATCATATCTGCATTAACCACAATACTTGTGGTCAGAATGCAAACAAAAAACATACTCTGATAATATATGCATTGTCCTTGAAACTGATTGGTCCACACCAGAGACGGCTTTCTTTTCAGCCTCGTCTCAAACGGTGTTAGACCAGAGGACGCCACAAGGCGTACAGCACAAAGACAACGCACTATCAGAGTAATGAGAGCTCGGTGGTGAGCATCTACATCATGGGACCTCCTTTGCCAGTACCATATTTAAGAATAGGTTTTCCCCCTTTTTTTGGTAACAAAATTGAAACCTTTGTACAAGGAATCATGTCTGCATTAATCACAATACTTGTGGTCAGAATGCAAACAAAAACATACTCTGATAAAAGAAAGCTGTCTCTGGTGTGGACCAATCAGTTTACAGGACAATGCATATTTTATCAGAGTATGTTTTTTGTCTGCATTCTGACCACAAGTATTGTGGTTAATGCAGACATGATTCCTCGTAAAAAGGTTTCAGTTTTGTTGCCAGAAAAAAGGGGAAAACCTATTCTTATATTTTGGTACTGGCAAAGGAGGTCCCATGATATCAATGGACATATTCTTTAATAACGCAAGAAAGCTTCACTGTGTTTAAAGATCCTTTTTCAAGAGGCCTTTGCTTTGGAATATTTGGCTTTTCTTTCATGTTTTTTTTACAGTGACCCTGTAGTATAATTTCCAAAAGTAGGTCATTGCGTTGTTTTTTTTCACATGGCATATGTTCACTTTGAAATGTATGAGTGCAACTGAGTTTACTTGAAGGTCCTGGCTTAAGTGTGGATTTTTTTTTTGCTGCCTGTAAATGGGTTGACCCTCGATGTAGTGTGTCCGGGGGTGAAGGACGTTGACTTGACCGGCTGATGTTCCTCCAGCGGCGGAAGGTTGAAGCGGTGTACTACTACATGCGCAGCCTAGCGGCCAGCAACCCCATCCTGTCGGCCAAGGAGAGCCTCATCAGTCTGTTCGAAGAGACGAAGAGAAAGGTGAGCGGCGGCGCGCTTGGTCCGTTCTTCAGGAAATAGCGGGCGAAGGTCCCTGGACTTCGACACTATTCAGAGCGGTTCATAAAGCCACGCAAACGTACGTGTGTATGTTGAACTTTCGCATCGTACGTAGTCAACCGTGCTAATCGGAGGTGCGGGGGAAGGTCAACAAACGAAAGAAAAAAAACAGTTCTAAAGAAATGCGTTTTCAATATACATTTAAAAGGGCATAGCTCCAGTGGCTTCCAAATATCGCAAGGAAGAGCGTTCTAGATGTCCGCAGAAGCGCATCTGAATGCGCGCGATGCGGTGACCATATTTGTTCGATGGCTTGCAAAAAGCCGCTGCGAAGATGTCCGGAGTTAGCGTGATGCTTTTTATGTATTATGGTTCATTTGTGGCATGCACTTCGTGTGTAACGAGTGTAACCTTATAATGTAAGACACCAGTAATCATCCATCATTAACTTGAATTCAAAACATTTCAGCAGTGCTCTACTCCACTCGCTGGGTTGTCGAAATAATTTTTTTGTAAATTTTAACCCTACTTTCAATACTTTTTCCGGAGGATTGTACATTGGGATGTGAGGCCAATTTATATGTAAGGTCTATTCTACCTGCAGGAGGAAACCGGAGTTAAAAAAAAATCCCACACATTTATTTTATTTTACCAGGTAAGGCCCACTGAGCTACACAGCTTTTTTCAGAAGCAACCTGGCCACAAATGATCGATCGACGAAGTGGCTTGTCGTGTGGAAATGTATAGCATCCAAATACTCTAAACGCACGTTGCTAAATGTGGCGTGAACAACCGGAGAACCCTGAGAAAAATCCACTTAACCACAGGGAGAAAATGTAAATTCCAATGCAGGCAGCGGGGTCGAGATCAAATCCACAACCTCCTGCATACCAGGCGAAGGAGTTAACATCTCACCACCGTGCACAAGGGGTGCACTCAAATGTGCACGGAGATGATTCACGATCCTACTTTCTTTTACCAACATTTTAAAGCCACCTCGCATCCAATCGTGTTTGAGAATTTCACACATCAACGTGTTCCACCAACCCTTGCCTCCCAACTGGTGGAATACAGGCGTGCGCCGAAAGCGCCGCTGTTGATTTTAGCAAGGCAAACGCAAGAGGGCAGGATTTGCGAGCGTGTTCCCACCGTCGGCGGTGTCTGCACCTCGCAGCAATGAAGTCGTCTCCAGATGCGGTCACATCTAGGCGATCTAAACACTCGGCATGGAGGTTGTTTTCGCCGCATCGCCAGTCCGTCGATTTCTCGTCTTGCTTGTGCGCAGGCCGTGGCGGCGGAGCGTGCGGAACGGCGCTGGCAGCCCGAGGGCGAGGTGGGCGTGCGGGGGGGAGCCCCCGGGCTCCGGGGTGCCGGCTCCGGCCCCACCGCCCCCGCTGCAGATTCCACGCGCGTCGAAATCTGGATCCACCCGAGCCCCAGGCCGGCGCCTGGTGGCCCCCGGCGCGTGGACAAGCCAGCCAGCCCCAGCGAACACACCGCTTTGGCCAACGCCGCCGATGTGAGTCTTTCGAGTTCTAAACGCGCGAAACAAACAACTGTTTTCTTGGGTGTACGTGCCTATACTGCATGTCCCAGGGTGTCTCAACAGGCGATTGATCTTATGTTGTTAGAGAAAAACTTTAAAGTAACTTTTAGAAGTGCTGTAGTGGTGTAATTCAGATACATGGGAATGACATCACAGTGGCTTGACTGCAGAAATGGAGCGCCTTACCGTAACTCAGTAATGATGCTTTGAACGCGTGTAGGAAAGCCTGAGACACACAGTATTGGCAGATAGCTGCTTTAGTAGGGGCTGTGAAAACCATATGGTCCAGAAACAAAAACTCTAGGGGAACCCATGAGGGCAGCGACTTGTGTTTCGGGGCTCCTTGGCAAAATTTACAATCGGCATGATGGCTTCCTTCAGCTGCACTAGAGGGCAGAGGGTGGAGTAGTCATTGATGGGATCTTTCTATTTAAAGTAAATTGTGTTGTAATGTAATTGGTCAAATGTAATTTGGTCAGAGCTACTGAGATAATTTTTTGTCCACGGGGTTTCTGTGGGTACTTATTAATGTTTCCAGTCTCGTAGTAAATACAATTTAAAAGTAGAGTTAAACATTTATTTGACACCAGCATAGAGTTGCGGAAATGCACACACTTTTATTTGCACTCAACTATAAAATACATTCTTGTGACCCCCAGAATGAATCACATTTTACGTGCTGAATAAAAGTGGGGTGGCTTTCATAAAGAAAATATAACATCGAAAGAGCGCCACCCACTTTTATTCAGCACATCAAATGTGATTAATTCTGGGGGTTCAAATAATGTATATTGTTCTTGAGAGTGCAAATGAAAGTTTGCGCATTGAAAAGCTTGCTTTATCACCTAATTTGTTTTGCCAGTGATGGTATCATTCGGTCTTTAACATCCATCGTAGATACTGCACTTTGGAATACAGGCATACATTTGTGGCAGCTGTGCTACAGCTGGCTCAGTGGTGAACGCCATCTCCCCCCCCCGATGCCGTTGTAAAATCCCTCCACAGTGTAATCCTTTCATACGATTTCCTTTACGCATTTTTAAATTTGCTTTTCAAATAAAACATCCGTGTTTTGTTGCTTTTTTTCCCCGTCCGTCAGCTGAACAAGAAATTTGCGCAAAGTTTCCTGTACGCTCATGGCAAGCTGTTCACCAAGATCGGGTGAGTGGCACGGGCTCGAGCACATGGCCCCTCAACATTTTTTCACCCCACGTGATGGGCAGGCGCTGTCCAAAAGCGCGAGCGCGCGCCTGGTCTAACCGTCTTCACGATAGCCGCGCATACGAACGCTAACAGGCAAAGTGACACATGATGTTGCCGTTGCGATACTTTATTTGGTACAGCCCAGGAGGAGTCTTGTCTCGTGTAAATGCATAGCAATCCATACTCTTTGGTTCTTTCGGTAAAGTCACGTCGGTAAAAAATAAAAGTAAAAAAATAAAAATAAATTTAATCACGATGTTTCGATCGCAACGCAAGAAATCATCATCAGGTGTGAAACCAACCGTTATACAGCGGCTCACTTCACGGACCACTTTTCAGGAACATGTCTGTTCTGTATGTCGAGGGTTGCTTGTACTTGCCATTTGGGGCATAGTTTAAAATTGTTTTTATTATCCTCTCATTTGATTGTTAGACCAAAGTCGCCTGCCGTAAACCATGCTATTCACGTGGGATTAAGTGTTTTTAAATGTGATGGCTTCTTTTGATATTACGACACTCTTCATCTCCGTTGAAGTATCGAGCACAAACTTCAAAAAATGAAAAGCAAGCATAAACAAAGTATGCATTTAGGTGGTGCAGACACTGTTACACAGCTATCAATTAAATGTACATGTAGAAAATATAGATAGTCACAATAACGCCTTAAAAATTTAAACGTGCCTACTTTTTGCAGTAAAAGTAAGCACATTGCCTTCAGGGAGGCGGTGACTCGTTGTCAAAGTTCACAATTTTCAAACGTTGCAGGAGCCACGCTCACGGCACCGCGTTTTCTTCAGGAGCCCTTTACAAATTGCATTTTTGTGCGAGCCCTGGTCATTTTCCCCAAAAGCAAAACCCCGCCCGGTGAACCCGCCAGGGGGCGCCACAGCACTGAGAACCGGCAACCGTTCCTGGCGGGGCGGGGTTTTCTGTTTGTTTTAAACACAAAGCAAAGGCCTCTGGTTGTACCCATCTGATGCCCAAATGCATCTGACGTTGCTGCAGCAATTTAATTGCGAAGCTGCGCTCGTGCGCCGAGCGTGGCTTTCTCAATCGGGAGCGTCTCGTCTGGCAGGGACTCCTGCGTTCACGAGTGTGGGCGCGAGAGCGAAGACGCGGCGTTGCCACTTGCTTTGGGATAAAATAATATGGGTGGGTGAATGCTTAAATGCGTAAAAGAAATTCTTCGTAGAAGAAAAAAAAATGCATTAAAGGCCTGATTAATGATGTCTTCAACGTTTTATAGCCCAGTTGTGATTTCCCAGGCTTTGGGTAATTCATTTTATGTAAATTAGGGTATTTTTGTGTGGAGTCTGTGCAATAAACGCAGCAGTGCTTTGAATCAATGGGCAATTACACGATATAGCAGAACATATGACGTTACCTTGCAGGCTGGTAACGTGTGTCATGGGCACAGTACGGCTCGCAGTGTATACCGGAGTGCAGGCTAATATGTGGCAGTAGTGTAGCGTGGCTATGCTATTTAAATTGTTCCTAATACCGTTAGACCGGTGTGCAGTGGCTTTCCTGCCATGTAATATAAAAAGGCTCTCGCTGGCGGGTTGGTAGTGCTGGTGGTGGCCAGACCACTCTGCTGTGCATGCATTAGCATCTGCTTGTAGCATTCACAGTAAAGATGCTGGAGCCTTTGATTTTAGAAAGAGGAATCACAAGCCAGCATTATTAGAAATATCTTGGTGCAATGCTTCGTGTGCAGCTTTCACGCATTTGGCAGGAGCCGGCGCAATGAGATGTGGTGAGAAAACAACAGTGAAATGTATACTAAAACATTAACTTGAGAAATTAATTCAGAGTTATTCCATCCGGGGGGAAGTAAATCCAATGCCCTTATACAAGAGCGGCTGTGCATATCCATGGGAATGTGGCTCCGCTTAGAAGCAATTTGCGCCTCGTGATTCAGCGCTCTGGGGAGCTCGTTTGCTGCGAAGGCCGATGTGGCCAACTCGGCGGGGGGGGGGGGGGGGAGGTCCAAGCTCGCTGGGCTACACCGTGAGTTGTGGAGAGACTGTGTCCTGCCTGGAGCGTCCTCGTGTCCACGCAGCTGGGCGTCTGGGACACACGCTCACAGTGGCGCAGCGTGAAACCTGCGCTGCCAGCAGAGACCGTCTGTCGCAAAGCTCTGCCAATCCTGGCCAACTCGATCGATTGTGGTACAAATTAATAGGGCAGCGTTAAAATTAAACATTATTTACCTGCCGGTGTTGCACTTAGCCTAGGCGCTAATTGGTTTTAATAGCGGCGGCAGTCTTGCAGTGACTTGCATGGCTATAATTTCACGTCGGTCGCGCGTACGGTTAAATTGCGGATCAGCAGTGACCGCGAGCAGACTTCATAAACAGTACTTTCCCAAATGACTAGGTGGCCGTGAGAGAGAGATGTGTCACCGACAGCCTCGGCGCTCAAAGGGGGCGGGGGGGTGGTCTGAGCCATGGGCGGCACATTCACGGAACTCCTGTCGCACTGACATTCTCGGAGTTGCGATGGTCGCCGCAGGAATGTGAGCTCCATGCGGTCGAGACGTGCGCTTTTAAAACCGCACCGCGGGCTGGTGCTTTAAGTACGCGTCTCTCACCCACAGACGTCAGTCGTCTTGGCACAGGCGTGCACAAGGTCGTGGCAGGATGAGAGAGAGGAGAGGGGGGGGGGGGCAAGGATGAGACGGCGAAGTGAAGCGATACGGATGTTTTCCTTAAATATTGCAAATTGGTACAACTTAAGCCAAGGGAGGCTGCCTTGTGCAATTGTCGGCACCTATGAAACCCTGACACCGGTACCGAATGACGCTCGCGCACAATCAGCCGCAGCACCCGGTGTCCGGCGTTAACGGCAGGAGTGCTCCTCGCTGGGATGCCAAGGGTGTTCGGGTTCAAGCGCGCGCAAAATATCCACCCGTTTCCGTACACAGCCATGGCATCCCCGAGAGGCTCACCTGGCGCTGCAACCACCAGAATTCTCAATCCCCGTGCGAGACCGGACTTAAGCTGCACGCTTTGGACTTGACCTGGCGCGAGCGGCGATGACGTCCGAAGGAAATGAGTTTCTACGTCGTTCGTACAAACAACTCTCACTAGGGGCATGACTGTTGGTCACTATTCGCCCACTCCCCTCTGTGCTCTGTGCCTTGAACAAATGGCTCCATCACAACCTCGTGCCCCTTGTGGGTGCTTATCCGCAGGTCAGCCACACCTTGCCGTGGCCGTGCCTCTCCCCTCCCCCACCACCACCCCCTCCCCTCGCTGCAGCACAGTCCTCCCACCGGCCGGCGTGAGCCGGAGAGGACGGCGAGTGCTCTCGGGTTTATCTTGGTTCTGTGCCCCCCCCCCCCCCCCCCCCTTGGCGCGAGGTCCGTGGCCTCGCCGTCCCACGCGCTGCTTCCTGTTTTAATCGCACGTTAATATTTTGCTGGAGGTGGGCCAGCTCACGACCGCCCAAGCTGCACTGGGGCTTTTCGTGTGCTTTGTTTAACCAGGTGAGAACGCAGGAGATCTGGATGGTCTCATTTGCAAGAATGATCCGGGTCATTAGTTGTTGCGGATAGCCTTTTTGTGTTTTTGTATAATAAATTAATGAATCAACCTAAGCTGCGAGGTTAGGGCAAGCGGATGGTGTGCTTGCCACAGAGCTCATTGAGCTTGCAGCAAGCAAGATTGATTCTGCATTCGGCCAGAAATCTACACGAGGCGTCATTACCAAAGTGCACCGATCTACTGTGCAGTTGATATTGAAGACACTATTCTCTTTCCAACTATCTCAATTTTGAGAGAGTAGACCACCCTTAAGCTCTGCGCAATGGCTTCCCGTCCAACTCACTTAAATGTAAAATGTTCAAATTAATAGGACAGCATTAGCATTAATTATTATTTACCCACTTGCAGTTGTGAAGTATCTTCTTGGTTCTTTCGGTAAAGTCACGTAGAAGGGAAGTAATAAAATAATAAAAATAGAAACATAATAAAATAATTCTCACGACGTTTCGGCCACAACGCAAGCAGCCGTCCTCAGGTGAAGACCAGGTCTGTCCCTTCTACGTGACTTTACCGAAAGAACCAAGAAGATGAATCCCTGCAGTCACGAAAGCTTTAAATCAGTTGTGAAGTATACATCGGAATTCTACAAAATAAAACGCACAACAATCAGCGTAACTGCTGAACCCCACGAGCATGCCTCGGCGAGCCCCCCGTGTGAGGTGGCACCGCGGGACGGCTGCGAGCCTCGCGGGGCGAGGTTTATTTACTGCTCCGCCGTGACCCTCCCACCCAGACACGCTGGCGTTTGCGGTTTTACGCGCCGTTGGCAGCGGTGCTGCGTGCGCCCTCGGAGCCAGACGGCGTCCCGTTCGGCAAACCTTGTGCCAACTTTGGTTGGCGGCATGAGCTGGTGGCGCTCCTTCAGTGCGCCAGCTCGTCGCCGCGCCCGTGGGTGCTCTTGCTTGTTATTTATATTTTTTTCAATTCTCCAGAGCCTCTGCACTCAGGGTTTCTGGGCCTTTTGTCCCGAAGATTCCACACGCAAAAGCTATGCATTGTATTCTTTTGGGAAAATGTATTTTGAAAACCGAAGCACGCAAATTATATTTTAGAAAATGTGAATATTTCTGATGGTGACTAAACACAAGCAGGTGACTAAACACAGGATGGACAGTTGTTTGGTCTGGAACATTCAGAACACGTTGTCTTGGAGGTGGCTAAGTGGCTCAAAGCACTTAAGAAGCTGCGCTGAGTTTGTATCTGGGCAAACACACGTGGTTGAACTGAGCTCTTTGGTGTAGCGACTTGATCTTCGTCTTCCCCTGTCACCACAGTCGTATGCTCATCCATTATCAGGCACGCGATTATGTGGCCCGTGACCCTGGCGGGGTTCTCCACGAGGCACAGCTCCTCTTCCGGAAGCCGACTGGTCGATAGACGCCCCATGGTCTGTTTCTCACCTCGGGCGCACGTGTCAGTACCGTTCGAGTAGCCCCACTTTCCGCACGTTGACTTTTGACCCTCCCGATTGCCGTTCGAAGGCGGTTTAAACATATCCTGGTTGACCAATCTCACTCTGCGACAGCGGCGAGGGTGTTCCGCAAGGTCAGCTCGCATTTTGACGTCCTTGGTTATCGCGTCGATTCGTGTTCACCGCATTTCCAGTGGCGTAGCCCTCGGTGATATTTTTAAGCGGCTCCGTTGCAGCTAGGAAGCTCTTCCGCTTACAGCTGCTGGCTGTGTGGCCATGCAGTGGATGTCCAGTGTCCTCACCTTGTCATGATCTTTGTATTTAGTTTGCCACCGCTCTCGCGATATCCGGTGGGGCGATTCGGGCGTGCACTCACTGGCTGTTCGCATTTTTTGGTTTTCGGCATCCGGTAATGCATCGGAAGCTGTCATTCAACACAGGGTACAGCTTCTTTGCGTGAGCCGATCTTTCCCACACTGGACGTGTGTATTCTGTCAAAGAATAGCAAAGCGCGAGTGCATTGGCTCGTATTGTTCCTGGGTTGCCTCCCCATGTTGAGTTTGCGAGCTTCCTGAGTTTATTGTTCCGGGCACAGGCTTGGCCTTTTCACCCTTCCCCAGGTGTTGCCTTGCAGGAGAGCATGTGGGCTAATGTCACTCCAAGGTAGACCGGATTCCATGAGCGAGCAAGCGAGCGGTACCCTTGCTCCAGACGATGCCAAGTTGTGTGTTGGCCTCCCAGTTGTTACTGAGATGGAAGAGGCTCACTGGAGTCTCAGCTGTTTTGCCACGTATTGGTTCTTGGTGTAGTCGACTGATAACCCAGATAGTGCTGCTGTGAGTGTCGCTTCAATCTTGGTGGCTTGGGTAGCGATGCGTAGCTCATCGGCGTGTCACAGCCAAGTCACCAACAGCTATATAAAAACCCACCATGTTAAGTTTAGTTTTTCACTTATTTTTGACATCCTGCAACTTAAAGATTGAAACATGTTGTTCATGTCGCTGTCCGATGAACACCTCTGTCGAGCGGGGCAGGTGTGAAGGTGCGCACCGTCTATCGTGTGGATAAGAGGCATTAGATGTGACTTCAGAAGTAGTTGTGAGATGTTCCTTTCCAGAGTCCGGCCTCTGACGTTGGGTGACACACACTGCTTTCTGCGTTGAATGGGTTTGTGAATGGAAATCTCGCCATCTGATAACACGATAGCGCATTTGTTAATATATTCGTGGTGGTGGTCTGGGAGGCGGGGGGGGCAGAGAAGCAAAAAAAAAGTTAAGCAATCATACGTGACGGTGTTTTGAGAGATTGCAATAGTTGGCATTATAGCAGCGTAAAGTGATATTGATGTCCGGTAAACTGCGCGCCACATTTGGACTGGCACCTACCGAAACCGTTTTGGAAATGTGTTAACCTCAACTCAGGCTACAGTCAGTATCACCGCGTGAGCTCTCAGGCAAGAGTGGCATCAGGGCGCAGTGCCTGTGGGGTGGCGCGTGTCACACGGGCACTCCTCGGCAATGAATCCCATCGCCCCTTTTGAGTTACAAGTGTCACACTCGCTTAGTTCCTCACCGTAACGACTGGCTCGTCTCCTTCTGGAATGGTGCCTCCAATTGATTTTGCCGTGGCTTATTTTGAGTTGTTGTTGGTGTATCGGAAATAAACTTGCGATGGCGATGGATTACCAAAAACACAGCATGCAAAATACACGTAAGTATTGTTCAGTTTATATGAAGTTATTTTCTACTGAATTCCAATTAGTAATGATGCTACCCACACATTCACATCATGTGATTAAGATTTGGTTTCAAATGCCGTTAGCAGGAGCAGCACATTCATTCTCACCAGCAGTCTTATTCTTGTGTGTCAATGTTTCTGTAGGGAGCAGTGGTGCAGTGGTTAGCGCACTGCGCTACGAACCCGGCGACCCGCGTTCGATTCCCACTTGCGACCAATAACAGTGGAGGATATTTTAACCGGTCACAGGCCTCCTCTAAGTCGACTCAGTCTTAAGTTAGTACTTTGTGCAGTGTGTAAACATCAGCATTGGGGAGACAAAGGTGGCTGGGTGTGGTGTGTGCCGTGTCGGCCTTCATAGGTGCTCCGCTAACAGCACGTGCCCCAACAGTTCTCGCAACGGCTTTTGGCTAGTCATCGAACAAAGTCGGTCACTGTATTGCGCGCTTTCAGATATGCTTCTGCGGCTGTCTGGAACGCTCTTCCGATATTAGGAAGCCACTGGAGATATGCCCTATTAAATCAAGATTGAAAACGAATTTCTTCAGAACTGCTTTTTGTGTTCAGTTTGTTACCTTTCCCATGCACCTCCAATTAGCACGGTTGACTACATACGATGCGAAAGAAGTTCAGCATACAAGGCTACACGGCAGGAAGAGATCTTTGTCCGTGTGTGTGTGTGGGTGTCGTGCGTGCAGGATGGAGAGGTTTGCGCCGGTGGTGTGTGCGTCGCTGCGGGAGTTCAGGGCCCTGCTCCAGCACAGCCCCTGTCCCGTGGGCGGCACCCGCATGCTGCAGCTCATGGCCATCAACATGTTCGCCGTGCACAACAGCCAGCTGAGAGGTGCGTGTTCTGCCCGTGTGTGTATGCGTGCGCGCGCGCGCTTCACGCCAACGACTATTTTCCGTGGCTCGTAGCGCACGGTCCTGCCACACGGCCCTCGTTTGAAGGGAGCCCTTCCGTACAGTGTGCGGTGACGTTGATGATGCGATTGTACGAATGGACCGGTACATGGCCCCACTGCTTAACCCCTTTCCCATTCCCCGGTACGTCTTCGAGTTGGAAGGAGTACCGACGCTCCCACAAGGCCATGCCGGAGAGCGTGTGGTGCAGCTTGGTGCCAGCTATCGTAGAGTGCGGTCGTGTCGCTCCAATTCTCTGCGGTGAAAACAATGTATTTAAAAACAGCGGCGTTATGCCTCTCTAAGTAAAATCAACGTGAACTGCTTGAGCGTTCCGAGATTCAGCGGTGAACGGGACCCACCCTGCAACTTACAGACGTCTCGGAACGGGAATTAAGGCATCCCCACCTAACACGGCCATAATTGAATGACATCACTGCATGACATCACAGCCTTGTGATGACGATGCAATCACTCGAGGATTTAATGATGTTTAAAAGAAAGAAGCAATGTTTGTGTGTAAATAATGATTGCTATTGGGTTTTATTACCCCCTGCATTTCAGGTACATCGTCAGTTTGCAGTCACAGTGAAAAGTGTTTTACACTGTGATTGTGAAATCATGCTTGTGCTTAAATCACGCGTTCATTTTCAACCAGGTTGTCGTGTATTCCCACTGTTGCTAGGGAGGACAGGGACACGCAAGAAATAGATATGATCCAACAGCTGCTGTCAAACTTGAGCTTTGAGTTAAGGCACTGCTCATATGACAACCTACTCTTTTGTTGAGTCAAGGAGTCTTTAATGTCCACTTTGCAGAAGGGATTTCAAATGCTTTCCTCGTCAAACAGAAAAGGCTCCAGTGTGGATCTGCCCTCCACTTGGCTGTCCCCGTGCACCACATGCCCCTAAAGATGGGGACACTGCGGCAGCTAATGAGGAGGGAACCGTGTTAGGTTTGCGCAGTGCTCGCAGCAGGCAGCAAATTTTTTAGCGACAAGAGAAACCCGAATGTTAACTTGACGTCGGGGCGATCGCCTCGAGTGCACGTAATGAGCTCCTGGTTCACGCTGCGGTGCAGTCCATACCACGTGGAGTCCATTTAAAGCTTGAGTCTCAAGGCTTTCGGGAACTCGGCTCTCTGACCGTGGTGTGGCTCCGCGAGGGGAAGACTTGTTACCGTCGCAGCCAATAGAAAACGAGGGACGTAATGTTGTTGCACCTGTAGGTCGCAGCGAAGTGTGGCTAAGGCCCCCAGTGCTTAAAGTGTCAGCATAATATTGAGCCCCCTGTATAGTTTATGGCCTAATGACGAGACCGGTTCGCTGCTGTGAGAGTTTGCACAGCCCTCCACAGTTCAAATTGCAACGGGAAACTTGCGTTCACTGGCGTACCATTTATTTTCAAATGGATGTCATCAAATCGTTTGTGGATGCCGAAAGTCTCACTGACTGGTAGGGACTTAATTTGTCTTGATTTCTTTGTTCATAATCCGCCAGTTAAACGTGCCGCACACTCCAGGCGGGTCTTGTCATAATGACGGGGCTAATGCCTTTGGGGGCAGTGTTTGATAACCAGACAAACGCAGTCGCGTCTGCCGGCTGGCACAGGATCCCGATTGCTACCGACCACACTCCCTGGACCGTAATGACACTTCCCTCACATTAATCCGTCCATCTTTGCTGCGGAGCCAGGTCCCAAGTTTAATCTGGTAATAGAGCATCAGAAATGATGGGAGCAAGTGGGGGGGGGGGGGGGGGGGGCGGTAGTGGTGGGGTGGGGGGTGTCTTTCCACAGCAGATGATGATAATAATGATATTAGAAATATTGGGCTGTCCCAAGAAACCAGAGTAAACATAAACGGCATTCATAATTAATTTGGCGCAGGGAATGTACAGCATGTCGGTGATTTTTTAGTCCACTGGGTTAAGTTTCGAGAGCAACGTTCGAAATTTAGAGCTGTTCCTTGAACAGACGCGGCGTTTAGTGTTTTGACGGTACCCGTTTTGATAGCAAGGCGTTGAACACACATTGAGATCGGGCATGATGCAGAACGTATGCGTGCCCCAACAAAGAGTCGAGCACTCGTGTTTGGGTAGCCACGTTAATGGTGCGTATGAGAAATAATAGGGTTTTGTTTGCTTCTAAATAGCAGAAGTCATTGCCTGACCTTCCTGCACTTTTTAAAATCTCTCACTTGAAAATTACAATTCAGAGAATGGCAGGCTGTCAGTCATTGTTGTAAGCAGGATACATGTTGCTGTTTTATATATAAACTAGACTGGCTGAACAAGTCATTTCCATTTGCCAGCAACAAAAATCCATAATTTTGTTATCTATTTACGTAGGGAACAAACTGTGTTTTCTTTGAGGGGTACAACCTCATTTTTTTTTTGCCTGTATACCATTGCTTTTGTTTTTTTTCATGCTGTCGAGCTCTAACGTGTGTGTTAGAGAAGATTGAGGCACGGATGTATGCACACACGAACTCTGAAACCTGTGGTATTGGATGTAATAATTTGGTTTCTATGCCAAGCATGCAGTATATGCTGCTGAGCAGAAACAGTAATGCACAGTGCTCCCCTGCTCACACACGCGCGCGTGACTTGTGCGCCCTCCCGGCTGCATCGTAATTTCTGTTTGTCCGCACATTGTACGTTTGGGATGGGTGAGTCCCTCCAATTAACCACATAACGTGGGATGCCACGGTGGCGTTGATGTTAACTCCCTCGCCTGGAATGCAGGAGGATCGTGGGTTCGAATCCCGACCCCCGATGTCTGCTGTTTATTTGGAGCTTGCGTGTTCTCCCCGTGGCCGTGTGGATTTTTCTCCGGGTCCTCCGTTTTTTTTCCCCCTCCACATTTAGAATCAACAGGCCTTTAGAGTATTTGGCTCCTATACATTTCCATGTGATAAGCCACTTCGTTGAGCTATTATTTGTGGCCAATCGCTTACGGAAAAGAAGCTATATCGCTCAGTGGGCCTTAGTTTGTAAAATTTAAATAGTTTAATGGTACCAGATTGCTTGCACTCAGTGCACTGCATGCAGGACATAGGCATTTATCGTTGCTGCTCCTTATGGATATATGCACAGATATTTGTTTGTGTGCTCTACACGTGTTTATGTTTCTAAATTTGAATGCTGTGGCTGGTGTTTTTAATGTAGCTAATGGGATACTTATTACTTTAGTCGGGACATGTCCATCTGTGTTGCTGCCCATCCATTTGAGGGCATATCACATTTTTACAAAAACAACAAACCCTTACGTTGTTTGTCGTGAAACTTACTACACAACTTGGCAATGCCAATGTCCACAACAGAATAGGTATTTGGCGAGATTGACAAATTGCGGGACACTTTGTGCCTTCACAATTAATTTGCGCGCTTCTGAACGTGGGCAACATGGGTCTGCGCATTTGCACCCTTGTGGATTTGTTCGCATGTGCATTTGTACGTTTCCGTGTGCGCACTGTCTCCGTACCGTCGAACCCCTAACAACATGTCTCGTTCTCTTAGTAGACTGGCTCGCCAGCTTGTTTCTATACCAAACGCACGTATGGTGCATTTTGCTGGCGCTGTGCATTTTGCAAACTGTTCCTGGCCATGAAGCACAACGCTTGTGACAATTGAAATTTGGAATCTGGTTTGGGTCTGTCCGTAAAATGAGTGTCTAGCGTGTGGTTTGTTTAGGTTTCCGCTGGGGTGGCAAAGGCGGCTTGACTCACCTAGAACTGGCCACAACCACCCCCTTAGGTGCTACATTGGCCTCAGTGGTTGCACGCCAACATTACTTGTCTGATGGACGATAAATATGAATGCATGACTTGCGATTTTCTATTTGTAAGATCAACTTTACGTGTTACACTTGGCAGCTTAGCATGTATTGTTGACATGAATTTTGTTTAGTTTTTGCGTTGCAGCTACTTAAAGCAGCTAAAACTTGTATGTATCTATTTACCATATGTGTGTACCCATGCACATATCTACACACTGTACAACAACAACAAAAGTCTGAAATAATTTGCAGTTAAGTAAAAAAATTATTGAATTAAAAAGTCAACATTTATGGCTTTCTTCAAGATGGGGGGGGGGGGATTGTTCAAAGGCGTTTGTGTGCCACATGGCATGCTGATGCCACTCGGCACAAAGCCGCCTGACCGCTCGTGCGGGCTCGAAGCCTCGGGGTCGCTCGGGTTACTCCAAACAAAGGGAGCGTTTGAGACTCGGCCGTGATGAGGCAGCGTGGCCATCTGGACCGATCGCTCTCCGCTCGGCGGATGTGGGAACACGGGCGAGACAAAGGCACCGCTGAGCTGTCTGGGAACACCAGGGCTACACCGAGCGTTCACTCACTCCTCCCTCTGCCTCTCTTCTTCTTTTCGCTCTCTCCCTGTGCCTCTCTCTTCTGCCTCTCAGTCTCCTGTGCCCCTCCAACCCCGCGCTCACTCTTTCACCCTATTTCACCCATGCACCCCCTTACGTTTTTTCTGGTCTGCCTCTCGTGTACCCTCCCTCGCCTCTCATGCTTTCATTTTCCCTCTTACAGCGGTGAAGCTGCTGCCGTGTTTCCTTAGCTCTTGGAGCCTCCTTGTTCACCCGGTCTCTGCTGTCCCCTCCATGTAAGTCCACTTCCATTTACGAGAGCGGTGGAGAGGTGGGGGCGGTCGCGTTGATGCCTGTATACAAGACCTTCCCGTACGGTGATGAACACCGCACCTTAAGCCTGACATGGTGGGCAGATGTGAGTGTAGCCTTTTCAAGAGGCGGCTCGCCGCCATCAATAGCCACTTTTTCCAGGAATGTTGCCGTCTCTCTACCAATCTCTCGCACGATGGTCCTCTTTGAAAGATGTGAGTGGGAATGCTTTTTAACATTTTTGTTTTTCATTTTTTTCACAAATATCACAATTGTGCTTTTAGCCTCCAGGCACAATCAACTCT